CTTCTTCTAACCAGTCGGCGAAATCGGGAGAAACTTCGTTCCATAGCTCGAGGCCTGTAAGATTCCTCTTCTTATAGGTCTTAAGTAGGAAACCTATATAGGAACCTAGTTGCTATAGGCTAGCGTTTATAAGGTCGATTGCCTAGTTACCCTATACTACTAGATCGATCATACTTTCGATTCTCTATAGGATAGGGACTGTTAATTAGCTTTTAGTAGTAACGCCGCTCGCGGGCGATCCTTCTCGTGAATTTCGCTCCATTCTGACAGTATAAAAGGATTACTTCGTAGATTCTCTCGTAAATCTCTCTTTCTCGCTTCGGGCTTCGCTCCTCACTATTAGGAAGTTTAGAATCTAGCAGACAGTTAGCCTTATAACGCCTACAACTACGTGCGTTTCTCCTAAGCCGCAGCCTCGGAGGCGTATACGTATAGCTATATAGGCGGATTACCGCCGGTAGTCTCCGCTTGCCTTTCGGCGTATTCTTCTTCTAGTAGGGAGGTCTTTTATAGCAGGCGCCTCGCGGTTAGCACCTCGTCTAGGGATTTATTAAGAAACTAGCAGGCGCCTCGTAATTAGCACCGCGCGTAGGGGATAGTTATAGTTAGGGAAGTTGTTATCCCTTATAGGATTCGTAAATCTTCGCCCTTATAGCGTAAAGAGGTTAGAAGACCGTCGATTCGGTAGGTCTCTTCTTCTAGTGATTGAAAACGCGTGATAGAACGCTCTTGCTAGCGATAATTAGCTACGATTAACCTTATCCCGCCTAAGGTAAGCATAGCAATCCCTAGGTTACTCGAATAATCAGATTGCTAGTAGATTCGAGGAAAAGAAGCTTTCTTCTACTAGTTTCCGTAGATCCTAGTTACTCTCGCTTCTTCTCTCGTTAACACGAAATCCCTACTTTTACCTAGGCTTAGGTATCCAGTTCAAGAAGTCGTCTCTTCTAGTATTAACCTTGCTAATCTACGGTTTATCCGTAGCAGAGTAGTAATTATAAAGTTAACCAAATTAATAGCAACTATAAGGTTTACCACTGATCAGTGTAGGTTTCACAAGGGGTGAAACAGAATTCCGTTCGTCAATAACAAATAATAGTAAATTAGTTCTAATCGATGGTTCATAATAGTTGAAAGTAGTGTTGTTGACTAGAAGGTAGGGATATTCCCCCTTGGCCTGTCACGTGGGTCTGGGAGGCTTGGGCCTCTCAGCCTGGCGGGCGTGTGGCTGGAAGTGCCACACGACTCCGTATTCCAACTATCGCAACAACAACCGAAGCTGGAGAGACCGTAAAAGCCAAACTTGTCCGTTCTTGCCTTCGATGTCAATTCAAAACTGTTGAGTACATGAGTTGCCACTTCGGCACGAATGGTAATGTGTTTAAACCAGCATTTGCCTCCAAACTTTGCAGACGAAGAGACTTTGGCAATTGAGAGACTCTGTCGATGGTACTTGATGTCGTAGTCATCAAATACCATTCTGACAAGACTACGCGAAAAGCTCGATAATCAATGTCGATACAAGATATCATTGGTAGTCAGCAAATTATAAATGTTAATGCTTAATTTTGGCGATTCGACTTCACCTTCATGCTTACTCAGTTTCAAATCTTTACATCAATCGCGATTACCACCAACCGTTAAAATTTCATATATTGCATTGACATGTGACGAACCTGTGAGCGCTTGACAATCGAATTTCGGGGGAAAGAGACGTGAAGAAAAAAAGATTGACGATAGCTCCCATTTTATTCTTGGGGCACATATACAACCTGCTCAGCTACCGCGACCCTGCCATGACACTTGATACGAAAAGGTCATGTTACATTATGCGAACTGGACATAAAACTTCCAGCTTTGTGATGGTGATAAATGAACGTCTGGTAAAACGAATCATCACTATTCTCTGTTAGGAAATCTTCGTCGACTTGGTAACGTCTGTCGGTATCTTGTAGCAACGTATTCGTAAAACGTGAAAGTAGAATCGAAATTCTCAGAACAGCTTCAGCTCGTAGGAGATAGCGTCATTTCGTTCAAAATTAACTTGTTTGCCGGTGGCAGGCCGGAGAAGTAGAGATATACACTAAATTTCTCATCCGGCAGTTTGCATGACTCTGACTTGTGGGGGCACCTTTAGCAATTTGGCTTGCGATTCATGAACTCGTTTAGACCCATAGCAGTTGATAAGCAACAGGCACAAGCTTTGGGGTTATATTAGTCCGCCGATCCTAGAGGGGCGGCGAATCAGCTCAGAGAAGCCAGCCTCCACTGTCACTAACTCTTACTAAGTGACCACTTCGATTGCACAGAACCATGCTCAGCAACTCATACTGTCCACAGCTCAATGACCGGGGACTCGTGTCCCTTACTCGCGCAGAGGAGCTTTGAAAATAAGTATAAAGTTGTAGCGATCTCACCATGGTTGAAAAGCCTTTCCGAATTTTCTTGGCAGAGTTCGGTCTTTTTACCACATCATAAGTTGAGTTCAAAGGCACAGAACACATCGGATACAAGTCTCTAAGTGTAACGAGATGAGATGATGTTCGATGGCCTTGGACCTGAATGTAATACTGTTGTGCCCATTTTGTATGGCTACCTCGACTTTGGATGTGACTACTGTTCCCGATACTTCGCAAAGCCTGAAATCGTGCTTGAGCCCCCGCTAAGGAGACTAAAAAGTTTTGAAGGCCACCTGTGGTGACGCAAAGCCCCTCACCACAAAGGGTAACTGCGGACATCAAAGTGAGCTATACATCGTCGAATTATGGTTGGCAACTCAAAGTATCCACCGCTGAGTGGCACAGGAGCGGCTGGTAGGAATTTGTTGTACGTCACAATGGAAAATACATTGAGAAGTGGTTTGGCATAGATGGAAAGCGGGGAGAAAATACCATAAATGCAACTCGTCTAAGAGACATTGGATTCGTATGAAGCTTTTACGAAAAATAACGAACTTTGATGTGGTTTATCGTATCTAAAGATGTTGGTGTCCTTGTCGAAAATCCAGTAATGGTTCACGGCCGCTGGTAAACCTCAAGAAACCTTGCTCAGAACTCATAGTCATTCCGGCTGATGACCCATCAAGTCAACTCGCACGCTTGGGACAGAATAGCGCAGCCAGGAGAAGAGGTTCTATTTAAGCAATCAGTTGATATTGGTAGAAAATTTCCCTGGAGCAATAATGCCAGAGCGCTGGGTGCCAAGACCTGATCTTCCAGTTCAAATTCCGACTTTCGCTCGGGGGGTTGTTTGCCGAGAAAATAATCGACCGAAGGGGTAACGATCAGAAAGAGGATCGTCCGCAAAATAACACAAAGATAATGTAACAAGGATTGCGGAAAGCGCGAAAACCGCACAGACCAGATGGTATTCGAGAGCGGGTGAACGCAGGGTCGAGGCTTCAGGGCTCGTTCTTTTTCTCGGTCTGTTTTGCGTAAAGCCAACAACCATTGTCCAACTAAACACAAGCCAAGCCATGGGAGACGAGGATATTGATGCATTCTAGGAGTTAGAAGTTATACTTGCTCCTCACAGTCAGTTAGTTTATATGGAGATAAATGGCGCCATCGATAGGCGTCGTAACTGAGAGAGCTTCACGTCACCGATCTTTGTGGCTGCATTGTTCGGCTTAACATCGATTCAAATAAGAACGCTCAACAAACCATTCAAAGCTATATCGCCTAGGACTCTTCGTGGTGAGTTTTGATTTCTGTTATAATAGCAGTGGCCCCTCACTGGCCGAAGAGTGATTAGCCCGCAGCGCCACAGTTCGACGAACGACTTACTGACATGGGCTTACATCTTCATCTTAGTGGTTGATTCCTGGTGTTCGTCTTGTCCACTGACACACATGGTCTGCCCCGCAACCGAGGCATTGATTGACTCAGTCCATCCAGGGAGTACCAGGCAAGCCCCTGTAGGTTCAGTAGAGCGATAACCGACTTGGCCTGGGGTATGGATGGCCCTCAGCCAAAAGGGCCAAGCAAGAAACCATGCGCCGCTTTTCTACTTCAACATTGCAGAATAGGCCTTGAAGGATCGTCCACCCCCTAAGGCTGATGATGTTCTCTGCAAAAAGTCCACTTGAAATAGGACAGAGGAATGTATATTTCCTTCGTATGTGGTAGACAACGGTTGTACCTGGGTTATCCTCATCTTCAATGATGTACTCAAAGCTGGTTATTTTCTTAAAAACTTGGCATCCTAAGATAAACCTTCGGATGACGATTCGGAAGAATCAAAACAGCAGAAACCTTGATCGGAGCCCGCGGATTACATCACCTCACTGACAAGTTGGCAGCTTGCTCCGGCGCACCCAACAATACATGCGGCAATCTGTTGGACCTGGTGGGCTAACTCAGGAGTGCATTGCATCTAGGACATTTTACAATTTTTGTTTTGGAGACCTGATTTTGAGACAAGCAAGTTACAAGACAAAGGTGCCCTCTCACAAAACCTGTCGCGGGGTCAAGTGCTGCGAACGATTGTCATGAATAATTACCCAACTTAACCAGGTACTAGTCAGGGCTGTCCCAGGTGGCCTTGCCGCGCCGGCTTTTAGATGACAGAGTTCTCTGTGCCGATACTTAGGCGCCAGGAATTCTCATTTATCAGCATGGTTTATGGTGGAGGTCACCACTTCTTTCAGTCCCTTGCGATTTTAGGGTTTACAAGGGACAAGGACACCCATCAACAGCAACCCGAGGCCAATCTTAAATATAAGATGGCACAGCCTTAAATGGCATGCAGAATTGTGGTCAAAGGATGCTAACTGCTCTTTTCTCCGTTGTGTCTGTCTGTACATAACAGGTAAGGCAACCGTCCTTCCCATCGGTCTATTGAGGTTCTGCTGTTGGGGATCTGCGTCAAGTCGAACTTAACCGTGACACGGCCTATTTCTTCCATCTTATTAATGTAAATCCAGATTCCCTACCGAGTACGGCCTCCAACCTTAGGGAAAGGCCGACCTCTGGGGCTCAGGCTATCTCGGATTTCCAAAGATGCCTCTTATCGGCAGCGGCGTCCCTGCACGCACACCCCCAGATGGTTATGTGGTCGACTTCAACAACCCGCAACGAGAAGCGGTACCAGAAGCCTTCTGGGTAGCTGGCGTAGGAGCCTTCCTGAGTTTGTTGCTTATGGCTCAACGATTGTACACAAAAGCCTTTTTAGTAGGTCGGTTACAATGGGACGATGGTAAGTAAAGAAGACGCTACTAGCTACGCGGCGGTTGTCATTTCAATCTTCATGCCTCGGATGCAAACACCATAACACATTCTGGACCTTGCTAACCTATCTTTTCGGCAGCATTTCTAATCGTAGCTTGGGTGAGTCAAAAGGAAACCATCTCGTCGCGGGTCAAGGAGTATATTCAAACGAATCGTCCATTGTTCGCGTTGATGCCTCGATCTAATCATGGAAACCATCATTTCTAACCTGTCTTCAGTTAGCATCAATCGCGACAATCACACTGGGGATACGTATGTTAAAGAAATTAACCAACGTATCTAAATGTGCTGATCAGGGTGGCAACAGATATGTTTGCAAGAGGTGCTGCGGGAGTTCACATATGGGAGATGCCGATGGAGAGATATCACATCTTCGTGGTCGTAAGTGGACTTGATCTTTGGGCTACCCTACACATCCTTCATCTTCCCACAGTATCTAACCATATTAAAGGCACAATTCACTGACAGAACACTGAATTTAGGACATCTTCCTTGCTGCCACGATTTACATCATTTGTGGAAGTTTCTCCAAAGTTTCACTCCTCATTTTCTACTCGCGACTATCTCCGCAAAAGTGGTTCAGATGGTCAGTCTGGATCACACTTGGCGTCATCGCCAGTTACAGCTTCGGCATTTTCTTCGCCCTTGTCTTTGCCTGTGATCCAATTGCTATGAGCTGGGATGTGACGATCACCGAGGGGACTTGCATCAATCGACCGTCTTTGTATATCGCAACCGCTGTTGCTAACATTGGGTCTGACATCTTGCTTTTCGCACTGCCAGTTCCGATTGTTGTGAAGTTACAAATACCATTCCGACAGAAGATTGGCTTGTTTGTGATTTTCGCGGTAGGATCTCTGTAAGTCTTCAGTTGCTGCACACCCAAACAAGAACTAGGACAAAATCTCATGCTGGAACATGGCAGGACGGTCATTACATCGATTATCCGAGTTTCGCTTCTACCATCAATGCTCAATACAACAGATGAAACCTGGACTATAGCCTACGTTATTTTATGGGTGTAAGTGGGCAATCACCACACCCCATCCATCTGTTTCCTAGTTAACATGGGGTCATTGCAGCATTATCGAAGCCAATTTATTCATTATGTGCGCCGCTTTCCCGACACTTCGCAAATTCTTTCGCCATATAGCACCCAAGGTGATTGGCGAAAGCACATATGGAAAAGAATCAAAAAGAGGCGGCACTGGCAGCGTACCCATCAGTCGGCTTACCATTGGTACAAACGCTACTCGCAACCGCAATGAATATTCGCAATTCGACCGAGACAACAGCGGCGAGACGTTCGTGATGTCTAGAGTAGGGCCCAGCAAGCTCTCTGAGACCAGCGCGAGCTCCTGCGAGAACGATGCCACATGGAACGGTGACGACTCATCGGAGAAAGCAATCATTCGCTCCAACACGATCGTCCAGACGAAGACCGTCACGGTGGAGTACAGCTCCAATGACTAAACGACATTGGATACTAGAGGCACGGATATTCGTCGTGAAGCAGAGTTCAGAAATCCAAGACAGATGATGATATCAGAGTTGGGATGATGCGCACCCAATCTTCAGATCAGCACATTTTCTGTCTACTGGAATATGTTGGGACACGGAGGTGCAAATCATCATACGAGTCTTAGTCTCCCAAACTTTGCAAGGCGGACGAATGTCCACAAATTTAATGAATAAAATATAATGCTTCATCAATTTGACTTGAACTCAAAGCCGAGACCCCACTTTTCGACATATCGTGCAGTCCAACCAAAGTCTTTTTGCTCTATTCCATGACAAAGCATTCGGCGTAATGGAGCCAGAAAGCAAGCCAGAAAAGCAGGGTTTAGCGGCCGCCAAAGACGATGCCGATTGCGGTAACTGAACCGCGACTTGCGACTTTGGTTTGTGGGAAAAAAGAAACCGGCGGCAACAAAATGAAAAGTTATTACCAACGTATCAAATTTCTTGCATTATATGAAGCGGACGAAGTACTCAGTATTTCCTCCCTTGCAGTGGATAAACGTACCTGGTAACTCAAACTTAGTAGCCATGTACTAGAAACAGCTGAGCGAAAACGGAATCAACTTATTGGTTTAATATCAACCTGTCACGGCTTCTAATCAGCTGTGGTATTTGGAAGTCAAAACCCTTGCTCTACCACTGTCGATTCTTCGTTACAGTACTCATACCGTTTAGTCAGAGGGACCAGGAGTTTGTTGCCACACAGGTGTTGTATGGTAACACTTTTGGAGTCTGAACATGAGAACAGCATCATTTGATTAATAAGCTACAAATTGTCCAGGAAATCATGTGACAAATCCATTAAGAAGAGAGATTCAGATAACGGCTATTGATGGTAGATTTCGTCACCGTTTCAAAGTTCAGGTGCTGCAATCTTCAGTATTTTCCCTCCTTGCAGCGTCACCACCATATCCATGCCACGAAGTGCTTGTGGTCGATGAACAACGGAGATTACTGTATGAGAAGAAAACTCCGTCTCAATGATTCGAGACATTGTCTCTTCGGTTTCTTGGTCAACAGCGCTAGTAGCTTCGTCAAGAATCAGGATTTTGCTTGAGTGCTTCCGTACAATTGCCCGAGCGAGACAAAAGAGCTGCTTCTGCCCCTTTGAAAGTGCCAGACTGGAGACATCGACGTCGAGACCACCGTTAGCAGAAATCGTTTGCCATAGTGAGACTTTGGTCAGCGCGGAGATAAGTGATTCGTCTGAAGGTATCTCGTCAGGGCTAAGATCATCGGTGTAAGGAAACAGATTTGTTCTCAGCGTTCCTGGGAAGAGCAAAGGCTCTTGGGGAATAGCGATGAGGCGACGACGGAGAAATTCGTTAGGAACCCGTGAGATGTCGACTCCATCAATTATGATAGAGCCTGCGTCCAAGCTCAAGAGCTTGAAAAGAGTTAGAGTTAAAGATGATTTACCGCTGCCTGAGCGACCACAAATGGCAACCTTGGCGCCAGGATTGAGGGATAAGGAAACATCTTGCAGAGCTGGTTTGGTGTCGGTGGAGTATGACGCCGTAATGTTCTTGATTTCAAGTCTGCCATGTGAAGGCCATAGAGGCGGAATATTCTTCTGCTCTCCCTCGGCGGGCGATGCTTCATAGGGCGTCTTCGACTCGAATTCCCTCAGCCTCGAAATGGCGCCAAGCGATGTCTCCAGTTCCGTCCAGGAGGTGATGAGGGTTGCCAAAGTCTCATTGAAGCTGAGCACATTGTAAAAGGCGATGGCAATGGCACCCGTACTTGTCGAGTCGGGGATCATCATGGCCAGCGAGACTAGAAGAATCGCGATTGCTCCAACGAAGATATCGAGAACCAGAGTCAACCACCTCTGGATGCAGAAGAGGAGGTAGTACGGCTTCTGCGACTGATCCAGTAGATGAAGAGATGACTCACGGAATTCGCTTCGCCAACCGAAAGCCCGAATTGTTGATAGACCGTCGATCGTTTCAACCAGTTTGTTGAAAAGTGGTGCTTGAGCCTGTAGATCGAGAAACCGCATCTGGCGGGACGTTCTGAGATAGAAGGCTTGCAAGCAGTAGAGAGAGATTAAGGCAACAGGGATGACAGCAGCGAGGTACTTGGCACCAATCATGATAAGAACTGCAGCCGAGAGGCAGTCAAGAGTCGCTATATCTCGTCAGCCTAAAAGAACAAGATGTGCCGATCATGATACTTACCAATCGATGTCATGAACAAGGCAACCGGGAGGTCGCGATCGATGTGAGACAGGTCCTGACTGAACCTATAAGACATGAATAAGCATCTATAGAACATGATTCAAAGGCTAGAATAAGCGAACCGATTTATCAAATCGCCTGTATCTTTAGTGATAAAAAAGGATAAGGGTGCCCTAGAATTCCTTGATGAGTTTCTTGCCGTAGCTGCTAGATCATGATTAGCTTACCTCATGACGGTCCGTAGCAGCTTCCAATGCAAGTTCTGCGACGACTTTGGCACAATCATAACGAACATAACCCTGGGCCATGAATTAGTTCTTGGGAGTTCTAATAGGCTTCCGAAACCACTTACCATATGTTTATTCCAATGATAACCAACCCAAACATGGACATGCCAGCGTAGATGCCAAAATACATGCCAGTGTCTGCTCCACCAGTTCTAGCATCATCCTCGGTCCAGTATTTGAGCCATATTTCTGTTCGGGTTTTCGTTAAGTTGATCCATTAATATTGGGAAGCCATTGGATGACACTTACGTGGAAAGATGCGGACCAGGCAATCCCCGATTAAAAATATCGCGCCAGCAGAACCATAAAGCCAGCCAATGGACTTCAGATAGTACCAGTAAAGAGAAGTGTCTCCTGCCTTTCTAAGCAAATCTGCTTCCCTATCATTTTCCTCGACGACTTTCTTGCTTTTGTTTGGTCCTTGCATTTCCTGTGTAATTGCAGCGACCTTATCGTGGGCTCTACTACCATGGCTGCCATCCAATGACAAGCTTGCCAGATAGGCACTATGACGAAGATCGTCGAAGGTTCCTTGGTTGGCAACTTGTTTATCATCACCCAGTATCACAATTTGATCTGCATCATGTAGGTAATTCACTAAAATTGTTAGTTTCGCGGGATGCAGTGTGAAAATTTCTTGTTGCCTTATCAATAACTCACATGAATGGGTGGCCAGAATTACCGTTGTCTTAAGCTCACGAATGAGGCCAGTTGAACGAAAGACGTGGTCCCAGATATGCTTCTGAGTCGAAGGATCCAGCCCGCTAAGAGCGTCATCCACAACAAGAACAGGCTTCCTTGCGTAAATAGCCCGTGCCAAAGCCTAGAAATCATGAGTGATTATTCCTAATTTCAACCTTTGACGTTGATGGACCAAACTCACGACTCGCTGTTTTTGACCACCGCTTAGAGATTGCCCCTTGCCTCCCACAACTGTTTCGTCTCCTTCGGGCATTGTTGAGAAGTCTGGCACCAACGCACAGGCATATACAACCTTTTCATACCACTCTTGGTCCAGGGGTGACTGGGCAAGGATGTTCTGCTTTACTGTGGAGGTCTCAAGCCACGTAGTTTGAGCACAGTAGGCTACATTACATTCCAAGGTTTTAACGTGACCTGTAATGGCTAGCTCACCTAGGAGACCTCGTAGCAGCACTGTCTTTCCAGAACCAACGCGTCCAATGATCATTGTCATCGTTGACGGTAGGATACGAATATTTACGCTGTGCAGGAGTGGCTCATCTCCTGATCTAATCGAGAAAGAACCGTTTTGAATCATGGCAACTTCTGCCTTACTCGAAGGAGTAGTTACTGTGCCGAGACTGTGGTCATTCACCGAAGAGCATGGCTCGCTGTTGCTTTCGGACGCTTCGCTTACTGAAGATGGCCCAGTCGAATGCGAGGGCTGGCTAATGAAGGTCTGAATTCTCTCAAAACTTCCCAACGATGCGAACAAGCTGGGAACCGATGCGATCAGTTGAGATAATGGGCCAGCCATCAAACCGATAATTGACAGGGAAGTGAAAACTGTTGCGATAGACAGCGACGCCCCCGCGTTGACCCTCTTTGCAAGAAGTGCAATCCCGAAGGTTACTACGGGGCCAATCATCGATGGTATATTACCTATAACTAGTTAAGAACTGACTTATCTTGGACGTGACAAGTCTAGCTTACCGAGGATATTCATGTAAGTGATCATTGCACGGTACTGCTTTGCCTTGGAAAGCTCAATGACTCGGAAATTTTGGATCGCTTCTTGGAGGAACCCAACCATCCCAAGCATTTTTACTTCTTTGATAGATCCGAGAACCTCGGATGTTACCGTAATGCGTTTTTGGATGTTTTCGATCCAGACTTTCATGGCTGGGGGCATCAGCTGCGCCAACTTTCCCGTACCGATCGTAGACACTGGCATCAATCAGCTATTTGCCTTTGAGTTTGCAATCCATAACCGACGAACTTATGACTGTGATAGCCGGCCCAATGCTTCCTAGTCCAAGCTGTCTTTGCAGCAACCATATGGCGATACCTATTTCGATCGGATTCGCCCAGACTTCGTGGACAGCTTCAAAAGACTTGCAAATATTCTTGACGTCAGAACTAACAAGCGTTAGAGCAGCCGATGAGTCATCTGCCCTACTAAAATCATTGTCTAAGTTTTTTGAGAGAACGAGGGATGCTAAAGAGCCACGAGTTATGGTGATGAATCGGAAGAGCTTGTGCTGATAGAAGCCGTTCAGCAACTACATCCGTAAAAGTCAGCATACTACACATATGAACCAAGATTCTTCAAGTAGGCCTCACAGCAGAGCCTAGGTAGACCATGCCGGTCGCTGCAATGAGTCCATAAGCCACCGACTTTGGATCCGATCCTCTATCGCCATCGACATAGTTGATGACTCTATTGATCAAAAAGGGTTGAGCGAATTTGAAGCCGATAAGCATCAGTCGAGGGAACGCTGTGAATATGACGGCTGACTTGGTTGAGTGAAATAGCGCGAAAAGAAGTGCGTGCTTGTCTTTATCTTTGCGCTGCTCCCATCCGTGGAGTATTCGCTGTAGGAGTATTTCAGATTGTAATCCTTCATCAATATCGTACAGAGAGGTGAGAGAGAGCGTAGCTTTGAACCCCCTAGTCATCAAGTCGTTCAGCCACCAAAAGAATCCTCGGCTAATTATTCCGCTCGTGGCTTCAGGACTTAGGCGTTGGAGAGTGGCCAGGAGGAACCGGCGCTTCCCCTGAGCTTCCAGAAGAAACATGGTAAGCTTCATAGCCAGCGCCGCAGTAGAAACAGCAGCCAGGTCTCCCAAGTCCGGAAGAAGCCATAATGTGCGACAATGGACAGCGTCAAAGACGAGAGAAAACATGAGGTACAAACAAATTATGGTCGATGGCCGGACGGATCGAACGTGTTCGGTGTGGCTAAGGACTCCAAGTGCTAGGGCATCTACGACTCCTAGTACAGCGGCTGCTATGGAGACGCGGTTGGCGAGCGGCGCTCGCGCCCAGAGCACCAGTAGAGCCATTTGAAGACCACCAAAGGCGACACATGCTGCGATTTTGGCGGCGTTAAGAGGATGTTGCAAGACTTTACGACGCTGGCGAAAGAGTTGTTGGAGACGTAGTGGCAGGGCCAAAAGCAAAACCGCCGACGGTCCTATGTTGAGAAGTGATTGCTCAAAAAGCAAGGTGAAGTCAAATCGGTCGCTACAAAAAGTCGCTGTGGGACCGAAAGAACTATCGCATTCAGCGATCGCGGTGAAATTATCCATCGTTGTCGGCTTGAGTGAGTTGATCAAGCTATTGGCGAAGGTATGCCGTTAAGTAAACAGAGATCTTGACCTAACAAGAGAGTTGATCGCAGGGAGTTCCATGAGTTGATCTCGTGGTGCAATTGTTGGGTAATACCGTAATCTCCGTTACGAACCCTTTTCGTCAATGCCGTAGCAAGATGCGTGGATTTTTGCGACACAAATGACTCGCTCCTTGATAGATTATAGTCGTTAGAACGGATATGAACCAGATAAGACAAAAACTCCTACCAGCGAAAGAAATCTAGTTTTGTTGATGCGAGAGCAACCTCTCTGTATTAGCAAGTCCTAACGTAGAAGCTTCAGGTCTGCATTCAAGGGGTCAGGCAATTTGTGAACGGGCGAAGAAAATTGGAATACCAGTGCATGCACACAGATTCTGTTGGAATCTCGACGCTGCCCAGATAAAACCAAGGGTCTGGACCGAGGGCATACATGCACACAGATTCTGTTGGAATCTCGACGCTGCCCAGATAAAACCAAGGGTCTGGACCGAGGGCATAGTGCTGACAACTATGGTGCAAATGTCCTGCTGTTGGTACGAACATCCTTGAAGTGTACGAATTGGCTTAGTTTACTCTTGGCCAACACTGTTTGGCCACGCGGTATTGCGCGTAGGATGCGTGTACAGAGCCAGGGTCATCCAACGCAAATTGCGTAAAGCGCATGCTTATCAGCGGCAATCGCCTTTTTTGGTTTGGCTTCGTGGGCATACACGTTAAAATCTAAGGTGTTTTATTACTACTATTCAAGCTTTAATGAGACCTACATAATACGACGGACTGAAGCTTGTTTTGTATTTTCAGTGGAGTAACCGAAGCGCTCCCTGGGATCACCCTGCTTCTCTGTAATGGAAATTAATTGCTTCAGGCCAAAATAGCGGGTAAGTTTGCCGACGTTCCATGACTTCCTCTAGAATGAGGAGAGTATCTCAGCAGGTAAGACAACAATTGTTGGCATGATCCCACCACTGGGTTGAAAATGGGCCATTTAAGGGACATAGATACTGTAAGGATATGAACGGTGTCTGAGTCTCCAGAAGTCTTTGCTTCATCTCTAGAGATCGCAAGGAGTTACTGTGAATTTACTTTTCTTCAAGATGCCACTGTATGATCGAAGGTTTGAGGACTCTTTCGCTTGGGCAAAGGTTGAACCTCCCAACATCAGTAGCCGAGTGAGGAATAGCTAATTCTGGGGTGTGGGCAGTCGAGCCGATCAGTGTAAGAGGTGTGCTGCTCTGCTCTGCAGATGGCGTCTGCCGATATTTTGCGAAGGCTTCTCGCTTTGTGACCCAATCCGTAAATGGTTGGTGTAGATGGATGTTGTTGTTCCTCGGAATGTTTAAAAAACAGCATGAGAGGATGAATTAGACTTTAAGATATGCTATCCGATTTACCTGATTACTTATGATAAACTAACTTGTTATCGACTCTTGTGTTTATCCAGCGAATTCGGCCTGCGAGGACTGAATAGCTTCCGCCAACGACCCTAAGCTTCCCCCGCCAACAATCTGATTCAGGCCAAGTTCAACAGCCCACTCACGACGAATGAAGTTCCGCAGCTCAACTGCCACGAGCGAGTCCAGACCCAAGTCTTCCAGTTTGGAGGTCGAGTGTAACTCCTCTAGATCCATCATCGTGATATCCGCAACCTTTTGTGTGAGATTCTCGAGTACATCTTGGCTCGGCAAAACCCGTCGAGCCTTGTCGCCTGGTTTTTTGGTTGTTTCAAGCTGGCAAGTGCCAGAGGAGCCGCCGCTACCAGCGATGCCGTTGCGGACAGCCATTGAGTAGTTCTGGTTCATCCATGGGAACTGCGAGCCCTCCACGTCTTGGGCAGTGAAGCAAAATGAGAGACCTACGCCATTATCATAAAGAGCAGATGGGGCGACGATGGCGCTCTTGACGAGAGAAAAGATGTGCTCCTCTTTCAACGTGAGGCCAAGCGATCGTCTCCACTCATCTTCGTTTCCCAACGATTCGGCAACATATCCAATGTCCTCGACAAGGGGTAAGCAGATGGAACTAGCGGGGAGGCCGCGGGCTAGGCGGTACCGCGCAAACGAGTTCAAAAATGCCTGTGGACAAGGGTGTTGATTAGCCTTTTATTCTTTTTTTTCTTTTTGAGAAAAATGTTGATTGGAAAGCTGAGAGACATACCGATGCTGCACAGTAAGCTGGCTGGCCAAGAGTTCCAAACACTCCAGTCATTGAACTAAGAGAGATGAAAAAGTCCAAACCAGGGAGAAGTTCATGCAAGCTCCACGTTGCAGCAACCTTGGGTCCTGTAATCTTTTGCCAGTCTTCGAAAGTCGTGTTATTGAACAACGCATCCTGGCGAACAAGTTTTTAGCATCCCTCTAGAATGGTGAAGCCATCATCGCTGAACTTACTCGAAGGTAAAGAGCACCATGGATCACACCACGAACGGAGGGAAGGCCCTCGCTCTTGATCTCTTCTAAGGCGCGCACGAGATCTGATCGTTGCCCAACATCACAAGCTACAGCATGCAGACGGCCAGGGTACATTTCGAGCAACTTAGCGACCTTGGGCTGAGAGGCGCCGCTACGACCGAGCAGAACAACATGGCCAGCGCCATTCTGAAGCAACCACGCTGACAAGGAACGCCCAATACCGCCGGTACCACCCGTGATAAGATATGTGGCCGCGGACGACAGCCAAATGGTCGTAGATGCCAATCGTCTGGGTCGCTCGGCCAGTACCATGTCCGATTCTGACACGGTAACAACCGCCTTACCAATGATCTGGCCAAGCTGCAATTTTCGCAATGCTTTCTGGATTTGCGATATCGGAACGAGTGTCAAGGGATGCAGCGGTTTGAAGACGCCCTGCTTTAGCAGCTCGACGATACGGTCCATGACCCTTCGTCTTTCGGACATGGGCCGTCTGGATATGTCTAGTCCCATGAAAGTAGCATTTCGATCAAAAGGTCGCATGGCCAGTTGGCTGTTGGCAATGAAGTCGATCCGTCCAATCTCGACGAAGCGGCCATAGTCGGCGACGACATCCCACGTGGCCTGAAGAAGATTCCCACTGAGTGAGTTCACAATAACATCCACACCTTTTCCTTTGGTTGCTCGCAGGATCTGTTCGCGGAATTCTGTGGTACGACTATCAAAGACCTCCGTCAAGTGATAGCTTTGTCGTAGGTAATCTCTCCGCTCCGGAGTCCCAGCCGTAGCGAAGATACGCGCGCCAATATGCTGGGCAAGTTGTATGCATACCTGGCCGACGGCTCCTGCTGCTGAGTGTATGAGCAGCGTCTCACCTTCTTGCAGCCTGCCTAGAGTCTCGAGACACGCAATGGCGGTATAGTATGCCGTGGGTAATGATGCGGCCTCCTCCACGCTCAAGAATGATGGTACTTTCGTTGCGTACCAGTGAGGAACTCGGACAAAGTTGGCAAAGCTGCTGGCCTTGTCTGTTGTATAGAAAAAAACTCGGTCCCCAGCCTTGACAGACTGCACCTTTGCCCCGACCTGCACCACTTCTCCCGCCCCCTCGCGGCCCGGTGCATACCAAGGGATAGAGCCGAGGAGGATGAGCACATCGCGGAAGTTGAGAGATGCTGCTTGTACTTTGACAATGATCTCGTCGTCTTCAGGTTCTGTTGACAAAAGCGATGTTCGTTGAAAGTAGATTGCATCGATATCTCCTGTGGACGAGATGGTCATTTCAACTGCTTCATCTTGCGGTATCATCTGCTCTTCCTTTGCAATGGCCACGCCTTGTTCTTCTGCAAAGACATCTCGACCCTCCTCTTTTTCCGAGAGACGACTGACGTGTACCTGTCCATTCTTGAGAACCAAGTCCTGATCGTGGCGTAGCCTCGCTGAATCCTCGTCTGTTACCAGTTGCTGGGCTATCCTCGCTACGGCTTTGGCTGATCGTCCTTGATCATCGCCATCTGTGAATACTGAACCTTCCAACAGCACCTTCATCTTTGCTGGGTCTTCGTGACGAAGGGATCGTAACAGGCCCTTGCTTAGGCCAGCCTCGGGAGGGGCGTGTTTGGAAGAAACCCACAAGATGCCTGCGCTATCGAGAAGCAGGCGTTTTAGTTTTTCAAAGCGGCTCGGTGAAATGTTGTCAAAGATGCTTCGATGGTGTCCATCTACAAAGATACAGTAGACCGCCGGATCGACCTCGAAGTCGGAAAACTCCTTAACGGATGGCAATGACTCGCACTTTAAGCGCCTGAGCACTTCGCGCGACACTCTCTGGGCGAAACCGCGAGCCTCGGCTTCGTTTTCATCGTCCCAGAAACCACAAATGGTCACTTGGGCTGGGCGCTGAAACACGTCACCATCTTCAGTGCTGGTGCTGGCAGAACTGCAAGACCCTGCGACTGTGGACCAGATAGCCGTGACGTTCCGGTCAGGATGATCAGGGTAGTCTTCAACGGCACCATCTATCCCTGTGAAGCCGCTGTCTTTGAGAGCGCGGTCCCATACGTCTTGTCCAACTAGGGGCTCTCCTGAGGCTCGATAGGCGTCCTCTGCGAGCCACCAACCAGGAAGGCCGAGATAGGCGAGGTCAAGGGGCGCCATATGCATGCTTTCTAGCATTAGGAGCCTTCCCCCAGGCTTGAGGAGGCTTCTTACGTGCGACAGAGTCACGGCAATGTCAGGCGTTGCGTGTAAAACGAGCGAAGCAATAACTAAATCGAACGAGCCCGCCGAGAATGCAGAGCCCTGAGCGGCGGGATCCTTAGAGATGTCAAGCTTTTCAAAAGTCATCCTATCAGACCATTTTTCCAGCTTTTCTCGACCGGCTTCGAAAAAGCCCGAGGATATATCCGTGAACACGTATTCCGCAAACGGGAAAACTTCTTGAGACGACAAGGCCTCGAGAACCGGCTTGGTCGTGCCAGCTGTGCCCCCTCCCACCTCCAATATACGCAGGTTAGATGTTGTCGTTGCCAAGGTGCGGGCGTATTTCGCCATTGCTTGGTTACCTCGCCTAAAGGCGGCTTCATCCTGATAATGCTGCCAGAGCAGTCCATCCTGCATCATTAGCTCCAGTGATTGAACCTCGTTGCGCATGATAGGGACCAGCTTCTCGCCGATGATGCGCAGCAAAGTGCCTGCGGGCCCGATGGCATCTGCCAGGGGCCGCAGGGTGGCTAAAGATAGCTCTCCCATTTCCTCTGGCAAACTGGGGCCGGGCCATGTGTTCACAAACTTCTGCACGGCGGCCCGTAACTTGACTAGGTGAGAAGGCAGATTCGATAGGTCGTCCTGGGCTGTCTCCGGTAACGCTAGTGCCATATAACCGCAGGCGACCTGGTTTCCCAGACGTCGCTTCTCTAGCTGGTCATGCTCGAGTGAATAATCGGTCAGTATCTTTGCCAGCTCACCGCCGTCTACGAGGTCGATGTGCGGTACAAGACGCTCGATATACGTGGTGGGAAAGCTAGACATGATGCTTTCTATTGTGGGTTGTCTGACCCGTTTGACTGTCGCTCTGTCAATCTCCAGCACTGGAACTTTGGGTCCCGGATCTTGGAGGGAGCCTAAGAAGACAACGATGCTGAATTCCATTCGGCCATTTTGCCGACTGTGTTCCAAAACGCGACTGACAACCGTAAATTTCTGGCCGGGTTCTGCCTGGATGCGGTTTGACACGCGCAGCCGCGAGACGTTCGTTGGGACGTATACGCCTCTCACCCCGTCGGCGCGTTCGTGGAGAATGTGGATGCCGTGGAAGAAGGAGTCGAGAGTCGGCGGATCTACGGTCACGGGGGAAAGGGGCAGGAAAGTAGACGGCGGGTTCAACGCTCCTGACCGCAAGATGTTGACATGCGTCGTCACATCGTGATTCGGGCTTTCCCACAGCTCCGTCATAGTTGCGAAAGAGGGGCCATATGCCGTACCGGAGCCGGCTGCGGTCCGGTATTCCTTGACGGGATCTATTCTTCTGAGCCCAGGGCCGCTGTTCATTGAGTGTTCAATGGCCTCCAGGGTTTCGGAGACGACGAAGCTTTCTGAGCTCAGTGGCTCTGTGGCGGCAATGCAACCACGGCAATGTAAAGTCCAGCCGTTCTCATCTGACCAGGATAGTATCTCAAAGTTCCAGCTTGGTGATGATTTGGCAGATGTTTCGGATCCGACTCCAGAGGGCTTCAATTTGGTAGTCACATCAACAGGCTGGTCCTCAACAAGTTTCAAACTCCGTCTCACAACCAAGTCCTGAATTTTCATGCTCTCTGGTGTGCTGCCACTCGCTATGAATGTAGTAACAGTGCGCACTGCCTCGAGAGCCAGAGCTAAGAATCCGGTGAAGGGGAACAGAACGTCGCCACCAACGACATGGTCTCGCAACCACGGCATGTCATCGATTGTGAAGACGTTACGGAACGAATGCTCCTCTCCTTCGCAGTATGCAGTACGGCCGCCCAAAAGTGCGTTGTACGGAGTGCCGCCCAGCAATTTCTGCTTAGCAATGCGAGGCCGATGTAGGTATGTCGTCTCGTGGTTCCAAGCGTAGGCGGGCAGATCCGTTATTAGTCGTGCAACACTGGTCTGGTTTATTTCCTCAAAGTTCAAATCGAGTCCCATCTCAAAAAGTCGACTGGCCAGATTCAAGATGGCTAGGACAGGGCAAGTGCCTCGCTGCAAAGAGGCGAGATACGACGCCTGCTGTGGTCCCGTCGTCGACCTCCCTCCTGCATGTGCCTGATTCGAGTTGCTTCGCAAAGAATCTAGTACCTGTCTGATAGGACCTCTGAGTGCTGAATGTGGACCGACTTCGATAAGAACGTTAGAGTTCTTATCTTGCTCACCGTGTTGGAAACTCAGCAGGCGCTCAAGTGCTTCCGAGAATCGTACGGGCTGAACGAGGTTGCGCACCCAGTAAGATGCATCAAGACTCATTTCTACTTGGCCAGTTACTGAAGATACGAAAGTAGCCCGAGTTTGAAGCGCGTCGGGTCCAGCTTTTTCAAGGCCTGAGCCTAGATCAGGATCGGGGCGACAGTAAGGCTCGATCAAAGCCTTATACGACTCTGCCACCGTTTGCATGTGATGGGAGTGATATGCAACACTGACTTTAAGCCTTCGAGGATTGAGACCTTGCTGTTCAGCCGCTTGCTGGACGGAATTCACGGCCTCTTCATCTCCAGAGATGGTGACGGATGCAGGGCTGTTCACAGCTGCAACAGTCACTTTGTCGTGACCATCAGGTCCTAACGTCTCAGTAATAAGCTTTTCCGCATCTTCTTCGCCTATGCTAATAGCAACCATGGCTCCCCGTAGGGCGGTATTGCGCATGATCTGGGCAGCTACTTGACCGCGGTAATATGCAACGGCAACCGCGGTCTCGAACGATATCAGACCCGCGGCGAATGCAGCAGCTATCTCACCGCTTGAATGACCGGCCACTGCCGTCGGTACTACGCCCCAAGCCCGAAGGAGCAGGACTAGGGCAATCTGGACCACGGTACATGCTGGTTGAGAGATCTCAGCGTCGTTGACACGCGAATCGCCTTCAAGTCGATCTAATTCATCTTCGATCGACCATGGCGCTTCAAGTCTCTTGAGACACTGGGATGCCCGTGCCAGTGCGTCAACAAATTGTGGATAACGCCGGAGCCCTGTAATCATGCTCGCATGCCTTTGGAAAATCTAATCAGTTTCTCGACATCCATATCTGCCTGGACGAGACTTACTGAGCACCTTGGCCGGTGAAGATAAGCACCGGTACAGGTACAGACCCTTTCAAGTGTGTTCCATTCGATCTCTCGGAAACACCAGAGATCTCTAACAACCGGTTCCGCAGATCATCTAGAGACTGAGCGACGACTGCTCGTCGAGACTGCCTGAAGTGTGTGCGCCGCTGGCCCAATGTGAAGCTTATGTCTCGCAACAAGTTTGGCACGTTGTGAGCTTGATCAGAAGCCAAATACTGTGCAAGAGAGGTTACATAGACGCTCAAACTTGAAATTGATCCAGCAGATACGGCGAAGACTTGAGAAGTTGCGTTTAATTGATCTTGGCCGTTGACTTGCTCGTCAGATTTGAGATTAATCCGATCATCGTTAGGAGGTTGCTCCAGCAAGATAGCAGAGTTGGCTCCGCCAAGTCCTGTACATCATCAGCCGCGAACAAAGACATGCTGCATAATGCCCAAAATATAGAGTGGTAGGACCGCCTTACCGTAGTTCGTCACACATACGCGCCTCGGAGTCGAAGACATTGGCCATGGCATTGTTTCCTTTAATACTCGCAACTTGTCGGCGCCGCTGGCTGCCATTATAGCTGGATTGAGCTTCTCAAAATTTGCGTTGGGAAGCATAACCCCACGCTCAAGCATCAGCGCCGCTTTGATGATTGATAGAAGGCCGCTAGCGCCTTCAAGGTGGCTACAAGTTGAATTCTTGTTAGTAGAACGCACAATTTGCCTTCCTTCAAACCAAGATGGTAAAGTGTGTACGGAGTAGCAGAGGAGGCTTCTTACCCTATATTCGATTTGATCGATCCGAGATATACAGGGTCGACTGTCGATCGTGGGCTCCCATACACAGAGGCAATGGCAGCTGCATCAATGGGATCACCAACAGCTGTGCCAGTGCCGTGGCCCTCTACAAACCCAGTGTCCTTGGGATCCAGCCCAACCTCCCTATGTACACGCCTAGCTAATTCCTCCTGGGCTTCCTGAGACGGCATTGTTATGCCACCGGTTATTCGACCTGAGTGGCTAGCTGCTGTCTATAACAGCAGTCAGTAAATGATCACCCCGCCTAGGCCTTTCGGCATAATGAGGGGGATGCAGGAGTAAGCTGCTCCTCAGACTTCTGTAGGTAGGATTTTCACTTTGGAAAGTAACAGAGTGTGGAGACAGGTTGAAGACACATAGAAGCCATAAAAAATTGCTGCAACGGGTAGCTTACATTACGTATAATAGCGCGTATAGCGTCGCCATCAGCGAGTGCCGCAGCCAATGGCTTCACCACAAGACATGCGCTGCCTTCACCTCGTCCAAAGCCCGAGGCCCGGTGGTCGTACGAGAAGCATTTACCCTCAGATGACAGTACACCGACAGTATCGAGCATCGACCAAAGCTCCGGCCCGTTCAAGAGGTTGGCCGCAGAGACCAGAGCAGCACTACACTCCCCCAGGCGTATACTCTGACATGCCAGGTGAAATGCATACGAGCTGCTGGCGCAAGCCGTATCGATGGCAGCACTCGGGCCGCGTAAGTCGAAGAGATACGAGATCCGGTTAGCTAGCATGCACCCGGCAGTACCACTGGCGCTGTATGCACTCGTGGTTAAGAGGTCCTCGGCTGCGTGCCCGGCGTACGTCGACCCCTGATGCGCCGCGAACACGGCGATGTTACGCCCGGCTACGTCTTGGAGACCCCATCCGGCGTTCTCGAAAGCTTCGAAAGCGCACTCTATGGTGATGCGCTGCTGCGGATCCATGGCTTTGGCCTCGTCTCGCCGGATGTTGAAGAAAGCGGCGTCGAACGCGTGAATGTCTTGCGGCATGAAATGCCCGCCTTGAGCATGTATGTAGCCCGGCTTTTGGTAGTCAGGGCAATAATACGCATCCTGGTTGAAGCGAGAAGGCGGCACTTGGGACGATGCACATTTTGCGTCTGCCAGGAGATCCCACAGGCCAGATCGTCCCACGTCGGGGGCTCGGTAAGCATAACCAACAATTGCCAATGCCGAATTATTATCTTCTTGCTGGCAGCCAATGCCAATGGTTCCTGATGAGTTGGCCATGTTCTAAGGTAGCTTTGAATGATCAAATTTGTAGATGAAAGAGTATCTTGAAATTCATCTGAAAGCAAACGTTGAGATACGATGTCGATTAACAGGATAAGATCCTGTCTGAGTGGACTGGCAATATTTATGAACAACTTAATCGGTTATTGTCTAAAACTCTGAAGATTTCGTGCCAATGAGCAGCATTCGTAGTAAATGAGAGTAATTTAAAAGAATTCAGTATTGTTTCTTCCAAAAGCTTTCCCGTGGCATTTCTAATGATTACAATGGTAACTTAAGTTTCTTATTAATGTAGTAGTTGTAAGGTGTCATGAGAGCAAGCAAGTGGAGATGTATGAGTCGTGGTCCCTAGATGCACATCCATTGCTGGCCAATCCGACAAGTAGTGGGCCACAAATCACCGTACTTCGAACTCCCTGCTTTTACGTGTTTGGGGTTTTCGTGACGAAACGAGTATTATTTACGTCACATCAGCTAGCACCAAATGTAGCACTAAGAGTGAACTGAGTCATACAGAAAGTTATTTTTTGTCATGTAAAGATTGGCGTTGACGGAACTATTTGTTGCAGGCAAGTATCAAAATGAAGGATGCCTACGTGTGGGCTGGGATCGCCAGGGGATATAACTGTCAAACAATACGGTACAACTTTATGGCCCACCTTTGGGCTTTAGTAAAACTCTATACGGGGATGAACATGTGCCGTGATTCGTCTCAAAAGTGTTGCTCGGATTACCCAGCCACCCGTGCTAATACTAGAGTTTGTAGCAGTAACTCATTACCGTGTGGGAGGTCAGTTGGGCTGTAGTAGTTTGTGCTTTTGTCGTCAACCGTGGAGCCAGGTTGAGTGTGTCCAGAAGGTGTGGCCATTATTTTTACAATCTGTGATGAGGTATAAGCCCCTTATACCTTAACTCGCATCATCAAAGAAATGAAGAACGCCTCCTCTTCCCAGCACAGAGTAACTAGAATTACTAACGCGCCAGATAGTCACAAGAATCATGGATTCCACGCTGGTAAATCCGGAGATCATGAAAGAGATCGTTGAGAGATGCTCAGTTCCCGCCGACGCGATCGAAGACGTCTTCAAGGTAACGGCACTTCAAATGGGCACCATGATCGAATCAACGATGTATCCCAACCGGTACAAACACACAGCTGTCTTTAGTCTCGCGCCGTCTGTCAACTTGCAACGTCTCGCATCATCACTGGCGAAGCTTGTGTCTCTCAACTCCATTCTCCGCACCCGGATCATCGATACCAGCAGTCAGGGGCTTCTACAAGTGGTCCTGAGAGAAGAGCATCAGACAGCATATAACTCGCAAACAATCGAACATTTTCTGAGAGAAGAACAGGCTCTTCCCATGGGGCTAGGCAAGCCTCTATTGCGTAGTACTTTTGTCGATGGGAAACTGGTTCTTACAACACACCACGCAATCCGAGATGAGACATCTACCGCTCTCATGCTTTCCGATCTTGATCGCCTATATCACAGCCAGGAGCCTGAATTGCACGTCCCATTCAAGGATTTCGTTGACTTCTGCCACAGCGTCGAGGAATGTGAATCGCGGGCCTTTTGGACTGAGTCATTCAAGGGTGAGAGCGCCATTTTCCCCATCCCAAGACAAGGAGAAAGTCGCCTTTCCAAGCCTTTTGAAAGGCAACATAAAGAAATACCGTTGCCGACCACTGTATCACAAGCTCAACTTCCGGCATACGTGGAGCTCGCCTGGGCGCTTACAACGAGTGTTTATGCCAATGCCCATGCCATTGCATTCGGGCTAGTATTCTCTGGCCGAACGCCGTCTTTCAAATCCACGATAGGTCCTACAGCTGCCGTTGTACCTGTCCAGGTTGTGGTTGATCCATCTTTAACCATCCGGGCCTTACTCAAAGAAAGGATCGCAGCAAGAAGGCGGCTACTAAATCACGCAGCGCTTCATTATGGACTGGCCAACATTCGCCGGGTAAGCTACGATGCCGAAGTCGCCGCCGGTTTTGAGACTGTGCTCAACATTATTCCTCGTGCCCAGCTCATGGCCGACACGGGCGTGTTGCGGATGGAGAAGGCCTTTGAGGTGGATGTGCAATTCGCCATATCCCTTAACTGTTTCCTTCACGACACTACCGTCTCCATCGAGGCAGACTTTGACCCGGTTACGTTAGAGGCCAGCCAGATGCAAAGGGTACTTCGGCAGTTTGTGTTCACGCTCTCGTGGTTGCTAAACACCCCAATGAACACCACCGTCGATCAGTTTCCAATTTTGAATCCGGATGACTTATCGGAAATCTTGGACTGGAATCAGAACGTACCAGAGTCTGTGGAGGAGTGTCTGCATGACCTTTTTAAGGCTAGAGCGCAGCAACAACCATCCGCTCAGGCCGTTGACGCCCCAGATGGCACCGCAACTTACAGTGAGCTAGATGAGATGTCAGACAGATTGGCTTCTCACCTTCGTCTACGTGGTGTTGGCCCGGAGAACAAGGTTCCCCTTCTGTTTGGGAAGACGATTTGGGCGGTCGTTTCTCTTTTAGCTATACTGAAAGCCGGAGGCGTTTGCGTCCCTATGGATCCATCTCATCCACCTCAGCGCATCTGGGATATCATACTGAGATGTAATGGCTCTGTAGTACTGACATCGGTCGACACAGAGAAGATGATCGCTAGTATGCCACCATCCATATTTGAGCATTTTACGGTCAGCGCGGAGTCAATCAAGGCTCTCAGCAACAGCACGCGCTCGCTGCCAGAAGAATTACCTGCACCAACGAACGCTGCCTATATCCTCTTCACAAGCGGGAGTACTGGAATACCCAAAGGCGTCGTTCTGGAGCATCGGAACCTGGCATCCACCCTCATCCATTATGGCAGGCGTGTGGGTTGGGAAGCGGATGGTGGCTGTCGCATGCTCCAGTTTTCTTCCTTTGTATGGGACACGCATACCTTGGAGGTCTTTGGAACACTGCTTTGGGGCGGCTGTATATGCATTCCCTCGGAGTCTCAGCGGGCCGACCTTGAATCCTTTATCGATGAGAAGGCAGTCGAATGGGCTATCCTGACACCAACCGTCATTCGTACACTCGACGCGCATTCACCGCAAGTTGCAACTTTGAAAACAATTGTGTCATGCGGTGAGCCTGTTGACAAGTTTGCAGTCCGCCACTGGAGCCCCTCGCATCGTTTCATCAATGAGTATGGACCTTGCGAGGTCTCCGGACGTTGTACTTTAACGGAATTGGCACCGGATTCCCCCTTTCCCGAGAGCATTGGAAAACCCGTGGACTGCGCAGTGTGGATTGTGTCGCTACAAGACCCGTCAAAACTGGCGCCTATCGGTAGGTACAGGGGATTTTACGGTCATATCGTCTGGTAGAACGTCGCCAGCTAACCTTGGTCAAGGCACGCCTGGCGAGATAGTCGTTGAAGGGCCCGGGGTAGCTCGGGGATACCTTGACGATGAAGCCCTCACAACTGCTTCTTTTGTCACTCAACCTCCATGGCTTCCTCCAGGCCAGAAGCCTCGCCGCAAATGTCGCTACTATCGCACTGGCGATACAGCAAAGTATAACGCCGACGGAAGCATGACCTTTACTGGTAGGCAGGACGGTCAAGTCAAGATTCGAGGCCAGCGGTTCGAGCTGGGAGAAGTGGAACGGGCGCTTGGCCGCGCCCCAGGCGTTCGTGAGGCTGTCGTCTCCATTCAGCCATGGCGTGAAAATAGTAAAACTCTCACTGCCGTACTGGTTTTGGCCGATGCAGAACTTCAAGTTACGACTGAAAAAGCATTGAGACAAGTCTCCGTGCCAAAGGACTATGATCTAGTTCAGCGTTTAAAGGAGATCAGGGAATATCTGGCTTCTTGCCTTCCCTCCTATATGGTTCCCACTACGTGGTTGGTCGTGGAAGGCATGCCTTTGACGACCTCGGGAAAATTAGATCGCGCCTTGGTTATTGCATGGCTTAAGTCACAAGACTTGGAAGCAGCACGAAATGCTCTCCAGTCCTCGTCCACCCTCGTCTTGACAGCGCCAGCGTCTGACCACGAGAGAATATTGCAGTCGGTCTGGGCTTCCGTGCTTAGCATACGCAAACAGGAGATAGGACGTGAAAGCAACTTCCTGACACTTGGGGGTGACAGCATCACCGCTATGCGAGCAACAAACCTTTGTAGGAAAAAAGGCCTTCTTGTTCCCCTTCAGGCAATGATTCAGAGCTCAAGCCTGGCCGCAACAACAGAACACTGCGAGAGTGTCTCTTTGGCACCCAAACAAGCACCTCCCCAGCCCGTTGACACGCCTGTAACCGAATCTATTCAGATTGAAGGATTTGTCGACAGTGACATTGAAGCTGTTACTGAAGCTACAGACGCGCAAGCATCGATGGTTGCTCTAGGAGAATTGGAACCCCAAGCTTTGATATTGAAGACCGGTGTGGAGTTCCGACCAGCTGTAGAGAAAAGTCGGATCGAGAATGCCTGCAGCCAAGTTCTACAACATCACGAGATTCTGCGGACAATTTTCGTTCACAAGGGACCGAAGCTCTATCAGGTTGTTTTAAAGCGCCCAATGGGCACCCAGATTCTGCCAGACGATGGGTCAGATGACCAGCATGACGATGACATCTTACCACGATTCTATGTGGCTTCCGACGATCAACACTGTTATCGCCTCCGTCTCGAAATCCATCATGCATTTTATGATGCCGTCTCCTTGGGCCTCTTGTGGAAAGACTTCGCTGCTGCGTGTGCTGGTCGAGAACTCTCTAGTGGATCATCGTTCGTAGAGTGGGCCAGGCAAATGGCTCGACTGGATCAATCCCAGGCAAAACAATTTTGGCGCAAGGCCTTGAAAGGTTCCCGTCTTACTTACTTGGCGCCGCCGGGCAAAAACCCCGGAAGTCTTAAGAGGGTCGAGATTCGCATTGCTCTACGATCGCTTAGTGTGCCTGGTATTACGACGGCAAACCTCTTGAAAGCTGCCTGGGCCTTAGTGATGGGACTTGAGGCCGGCACGCAAGACGTTGTCTTTGCCGAACTCCTTGCGAATCGCTACAGTCCCTCAAACGACATCGATCATGAAAACGTTCGTGGGCCGTGTTTGAATACGAACCCTGTGAGAGCTCAGTTTGACTCGAACATGACGTTTGTTGCGGTGGCCGCCCGATTACAGGAACAATCCCTTGCTGCCGCTCCTTTCGCCTACCTTGGTTATCGAACTATTCAAAAGGACTGCACTGAATGGCCTTTAAGCAGTTTGTTTGGATCTGTAGTGAATTTCCAGAGTCCGGAAGCTGTAGGAAACGAGGAGATTGACCTGGGAAACTTGACGAAGGCGCGGTTTATGGCCCCTGTCGCAAGTGTCCCGTCGAGGTCATCAGCCCTATGGGTAATTGCGCGCCCAACCAGCGATGAGCTGATTGTTACCTTCAACTTCTCAAGTACCGCATTCACGGAGGAAAAGGTTCAGGGACTTGCTGCACAGGTCAGGCAGTTACTAGAAGGCAAGCCAACCGACATCAGTCCATGGATCTCTGAAAGTCGACCTTGCTCCTTGAGCCTGATTGCGGAGAAGCTACCACCAACAAGCTCTTCCACCACACAACTTTGCGCGAGACAGGACCCTGGCGAGCATGATGAAATCCCTATGAGCGTACGCCTGGAGGTCCAAGAAGCATGGAAAGCAGTTGGCCTGGAAACGAAGGGTGATTACGCTTCTCTTTTTGAATGCGGTGGGGATACTGTTACTGCAATGTTATTATCCAGACAATATCGCCACAATCTTGGTGTTGGAGATGTATTAGCGTATCCATCACAAGAAGCACAGGCAAGATTGCTAGTCAACGTGGGTAAGTAGCCGAAGTTATGTAGGACAACAGACCGGAACGATTTCAATTTCAACGAGTCGTCGGTCTCTTCACCATCTCCCACTGGCCGAGTAAAAGATAGCTCGCATAGAATACTGATGGACAAGAGATCGATTGTGGCAGTCTGTATACCCTTATTTAAATACCAATCCCTTCATCAATATTTTAAAGCGTATCGAAATAATGAAAGCCTTGTAGCAAAAGTTAAAAATGCAGCAAAGAAGCTGATTGTCTAATACAAAAATGGTGCAAAAACAAAAATTGAAAGGGACGAGACTCGAACTCGCGCGGGTTGCCCCACCAGGAAACAGATGTTAAGCTGACCTTAACCTGGCGCCATAACCAACTCGGCCACCCTTCCTAATGACTGATGGGAATTTTGGTGCAAGCCTGCACTATGACCCCTACGATCATGCGAAATGTTTTTGCCAGGTCACCTTACCAGAACCCCAAGATGATTCTCACATACTACCGTACTAATGGGCGGTTTTAGGGGAGTTCTAATAATCCTTTGGGAGTTACATTCAGCGACTGCAGAGTCATAACTTTGTTCACCTCGTATTTTTGGAGTTGTGCATCGGGTTATGCAATGAGTGAGGGATGAAGGCAGCCAATCCTCCGGTGGTTCCGTGATGGTTCCAATATTCGTTTTGCCAAGCTTCTTATAGTTGAGGTCGTGTGATTTGATTTGCAAGTCATTTTATGTGATGTAGTCTAATTCATCGGAACGAAGAAAAGTCACGCCAGATACTACGTAAAAGAAGGGTCTGGGCATCAATCGATCAGATAGACAGCGGGCTCTGGACAGTGGAAGAATCAAGAAGCTATTCCTGCGACGAGAATATTCTCCGCACGACCCACTAGCCCAGTAACGTATGCAGGACGTCATCGCACGCTAGATAGATAAACCCTGAATTAGCTGATGCTATTGATGGAGAGCAGTTATTATCTCACTATTCCCTTTACAAGTACTTTGTTGTACCTTAATCAACTAAATCAAGCACCATTATCCTGTGTTAAATCCGGATATCTCATTTGATTGATCAAATTGGTTCATTGTGAACCACACATACGGAAGATGTCTCGAGATTCACTAGCTGCATTCCGCAAGTCTCCGTCTTCGGACGATATCGCTGCTCTCGCCGAGAAGCACCTCGAACATGACCTTCGCGATTCAGACCGCGACCTTCTCAAGAGCGCCGCTGCCAAGGTCAGCACACACGCGACAGTCGGTTCTCTAGTGGGTTTGGGCTTGGGTTTCTTCCTCGCCTTCCGACTTAGACGCGCCCGTGCCGACATGTTCGCTGCGTTCCGAGCGACAGAAAAGCCAACCCATGTTCAGTTTGCAAGCGGAAGGACCGGTATGTCGTGTCTGCTACTGATCACTTGAGAATTGTCACTAACAAGCCGTCAGAGCCTATCCCTGATGTAACAGATAAGATGGCACCAACAAAGATGGGTGACATTGCTGCGTATTCACTACTTGGCCTCGGAAGTCTGTTCCTGGGTGGTGAGCTCGGTTTCGTCTCCGGAACGGCGGCAGCAGCAAGAAGCATCAGGAGCGACCCCGAGAGCAGAGCAAGAATTGAAAATGCTTTCAGGAGGTTTAGGGCCGATGCACTCAGGAAGGAAGCCGACCGCTTGGACGGTGGTGAGAAGATCCTTGACAAGATCTTCTAATAGTTATTTTTGGCAGTTGCCGGCCTGAAGGGTAATCGCTGAAATTGGAATATGCAATGTCATGACATTAACCGACAAGGATACCTTTTTGTTCTCCCTTATTTGGATGGGAAAACTCATGTACTTTGAACCAGTTGTTAACAAATACAAAAACTCGTTTCAAATTAACACATTGACTCACAGCGAAGTATTTTTAACACCATCATGGTCTGTTCCAGGGAAAACGCGTTATGGTCATAAACCCATCACTCTGTTGAAGGCCAAGTCTCACACTCACTGAGGTGGTACATTTATGCTGGAAAAGTGTGAAAATCTGCAGGTCATATCTCGTGTATTCCACAGCAACCTCTAGAAGTCTGCTTCCTGTTGATATAAACCTAATCTACTCTATCGTTCTTAAGGTACTCTCATCACTATACAGTAATGTCAACCCCTTTGAGAGACCCCTCAGCGCGCCAGGTTTCTATAAATTTGACGAATGCGTTCATGCCCGTAGGGAAAGGTGATCCTCTAGCCATTTTCATCTGTTCCTCTGGTCCGATTACTTGGCCCTCGTTGTTGCTGTAGTTTGGCGTGCAAACACCGAAACCCGCAAACCACGCCGCCCTCGTCAAGAGAAGCCCAGCATAAGCTTCTTCGGCTTCTACTGTGCTCTCAACAACGACCTTGTCAGTATTTCTACCCGCTCTCTTCATCGCTTCACCCAAAATGAAAGCAGAGTGTTGTGCCAAAACATCAGTGGCGTACGCAAAGTTTGAAGAAGTCCCCGCCTGCAGAGGACCTGTGAGGAAAAGATTTGGAAACTCGTTGCTAAGAACGCCATGAAGTGTGCTGGGCCCTTGGGTATGCCACTTTTCTGACAACAAACGACCGTTACGGCCCTTGACAGTCATGTTAGATCCTGCTGACGGTTCGGCCAGGTCCGCGGCTGGCGGTCTGTAACCAGTGCTCAGAACGAGTATATCCAGAGGATAATCGGTCCCATTAGCAACGAGGGAGTCCTTGGTTGCGTGATCGATGCCCTTTCCATCAGTGTCAATCAAGTGGACATGTGGATGGTTGAAAGCTGGCAGGTAGTCGTCATGGAATGTCGGCCGTTTACACCAACCTGGGTACCACGCCTTTAAACCTTCGGCTGTTTTTTTATCTTGGACAATGCTATCCACACGACGTCGGAGCCTCTCTGACCTAGGAGTATCCAAGGCTAGCAGAGTACCGATGTGGTTGGGAATGTCCTGCATTGTGATGGGGTTGTCGTGAGGTCCCCCGATAAGAGCCTTGTAAGCTTTCATTCCTGTCCAGCCGTCGTTGACCAAGTTCTCGTCCGGTTCACCACCAGAGATGAACTCGTTAAAGTTTTGAGTACGGCGGAGTTGCCAGCCGTTACCGTTGGCAATCCTACTCTTGAAATCTTGAGGATCAGTAGTCCTCTGGCCTCGCTCGTCAACAGCTGATGGTGTCCGCTGAAAGACATAGAGCTCTTTTGCCCATCTGGCAAGCTGTGGAACCAGCTGGATCGCCGTGGCCCCGGTACCAATGATTCCAACTCGCTTCCCCTCGAGACCTGTAAGCTGAGGAGCCTCGGGTGGACCATCTCTTCCCCCAGTAACGTCGTAGTTCCACCTCGCCGTGTGAAACATATCACCTTCAAATGCCTCTAGGTTTTTGGCGACTTTGGGGTGGTTCAGAACACCATTGGCAAGAACCACAAACTGCGAACGCACCGTCATCTTGACAGGCTCTTCGCTGGGACCGCGATCCTGCTCAATGATTGTAATCCATCTCTTAGCTTCATCATCCCACTCATAGCTTCTGATCTGCGACCGGAACACGCCTTTGTCCGTCAGATTCCACATGTTAGCCATGCGCTCGGCGTGCTCCAACAGCTCTGGGCCGTATGAATATCTGTGCTTCGGCATATATCCGGTCTCCTCAAGTAGGGGCATATATATATAACTTTCGACATCACACATGAGACCGGGGTAGCGGTTCCAGTACCATGTGCCACCGAAGCCACCCGCGACGTCGACAAGACGGATGTCCTCGGCTCTGAAGCCAGCCTGAATGAAACGGATGGCATACAATAGACCGCCATATCCTGCACCAAGGATGAGGATCTTAACTTCATCGCCGTCTTTGAGACTGGGCGGTTGGGCGTTGAGCTTGGCGTGGTCAACCCACGGATCCTCGGCGAGCTTACGGAACCTCTCAGTGGACTCAAGCTCAATGTACTGAGCATTTCCGTCAGCTCGTTGACGTTTCTCTTTCTCTTCGGTATACTTCTTGTTCAGGGCCATGAAGTCGAAAGCGGCGGCTTCGCCATTGGTCTGCGCCGGAGCGGGTGAAGACGCAGCCATTGTAGCAGGGTTGATAGGTGTTAGTCCAGCCAGAGAAGATGTAAGGATTCTAGCAGAATAGAGTGGGAGCATTGGATGGAACCTCGGTAGCGATACATCATATTATAAGTCTACAATCACAAAGTCAGGAGTATGTTGGACTAGCCCAAACCGTAGGGACCTGCTGCAGATATTCCAAGCGAGTGTTCATGCATTAGCCATAGTCGTCTGATTTCTTCCAGCATGTCATAAATCCGGTACAATTCGGAGTAAAACATCCACGCAGGGTTTCTTTCTCTCGCCGATCGCCGGTTCTTAGTCACACACAGAACGGAAGGTGCAATGGCTCGGAAGCCCGCGGGTTTCGTTAGTTGCAGAGTAGAAGCTAGGATTGTGTAGGATCGACGCACCTACATGCTCGTATTCGCTCATCGTATCCGAGGTGCAAGGGCAGCTATCTCGCTTAAATACAAGAATGGCAGCGGGCCGCACCGTCTGGTTTAGCGGTCTAGTCATCTGCTCCGTGTCCCGCAATGTCAATGCGCTTTTCGTGAGACAGCCAAGTTTTCATATGCTGGCGCAACCTGTAGGATATTTTTCCGTTGATCAGTACATGCAGCAACCTGACTTTAGCTGCGTCTACGATACATCAAGGCGGGGACACTGTAGAGCTGCCCTTGACCTTCAGTCAAACTAGACTCCATCTGCGTAACAGAATCCTTGACTGCCCATCTCTGTCAAACCTGGTTGCAGATCTCGCTTTCTCAATGTCGTTGTGACTGGCTGCTTGCTACGAGAGCGAAACCGAGAGAAGCAGGGGGTACACGAACGCCGCTCGCTTCAGAGGGAATAAGTGTCGGATCAGCGACGGCAAAGAAGCGTCTTTGAAAGCTCTGGTTATCCCGTCGATTGCATTGCCGAATAGAAGCAGATAAAACCAACCAATGTAAGGTTCTTGTTTCTCCAAGACAAAAAAAATGTCTATGTTCGAGCCAGAGTCATTATTTCGGTGTAAGATTGGCTGGTACCCCGCAGGCCACGTTTGTGTTACCAACTCTCAACCTCGCTGGCATGGACATGTACTTGCTGGATCTCCATACGTGTCCAGACGAGATCTCATCTCATAGTATCATCTCGAACAGGCTCATGGGCGGACTCTGGGACTACGCGCTGAACCATTATCAGTGAATTTGTTTATGGAGGCTGTCGCTTAACAAAAAAGAAGTAGCTCAGCGCGTCCACCGTGTGCCCATGGCAGTAACTGTTGAGTGATTGTCCATGAGCAAATTAGACTGGCGGGATTTCCAGTATTCTTTCTTTATTACAAGAGACTGGCTTTCGGGATCGATATAATTTCAAGAATGCTGGGGGGTTCATTAGCTTTCTAGGTAGACCTAGTTTGAATGAAAAGGGCCATCATGTCCCTCATCAGATGCCCTCTTCTTATATCAGTACCAATTAATAGGTTCTTTAGCTCTCCATGCTCCGTTGAGAAGCTATTCGGAGCTTCTAACCGAAGTACCTTGACGTTACAGAGCCGAACACGGGGGTTAAAAATACCTCGGTAAGGGTTGCTCCAAAGTTACGTCCATGAACAAATCCCCACATCTATACATTTATCGCATACCGAAAAGCCAGCGGGATGACCCCGCTGACCGCTTCTGCGCTATTTGTCTGGGTTAGAGTATGTTTCTATAAGAGGGGTAAAAATTTCGTCCTGCAGACTTTAAATCTGAAGAGTTGAATGGGTGCTAACAAGCAGCTATCATTTTGGAGGGATATTTGAATGAAGTGAAGTTCATTGTTCGATCCAGGTTGGTTCGACCACGTAAATTTTCGAAGTAGATCACCAACACGATACCATGGCTTCTTTAAACAAGACCACCTTCGACCTTCCTGATTTCGATGATTTGCCACCAGTGGAGGGTATGCCTCAGGGCTGTGCCTGGGGTGTTTTCGATAAAGATGGAAAGAAGGATCTTTACGGTACACTGAACCTTCTCACGCCTGACGTTATCAAAGCAGCTGGTGCAGAGGTCCGGGATGGAGTTTCCATCTCCCTCAAGTAAGTTGCATGCAAAAATTCAAACAATCTTTCGAGTTATGCGTTTTCTGATAACCAAGTAGCTGGTCTCTGGACGGCCTGACCAAGCTTCACATTCCAGGCCGAAAACAGGTCGTTCACAAGGTTCACACGCTTCAAGCCGCAAAGTTGAGCGATGGAGTTGGTTGGGACGACGAGCTGGAGTTCAACACTCAAAACAGCAGTCAATGGGACAGTCTCGTTCACTGGCACCACCAGCCGAGTGGTCTCGCCTACAACGGTTCCAATCCAACCCAAGAGGACATGTGTGTCAAATCGACAGCCGACAATAAAATACCTACGATCGACCACTGGCACACTCGCGGCGGCGTGGTAGGCCGTGGCGTTTTGATCGATTACAAAGCTTACGCAGACGAAAAGGGTATTGAGTACCATCCATTTGCCGGCAACCGCATTACCGTCCAGGATATTGAGGCTGTCGCTAAGCATCAAGGCCTCGAGTTCAAGCACGGCGATATATTCCTTATTAGGTTTGGAACGACCGAGACCATTGACAATATGCAGCCAGACAGCCCGACCCAGCCTAATGACATTCAGCTATCCGGTGTCCATGGCTCCTTGGAGACAGCCAAGTGGTTCTGGAATAAGCACTTCTCTGCCGCCGTTTCAGACTCCAATGCATTTGAGGCTTTCCCCCCCGTGAAACCCGACGGAAGTATCTCCGGTTGGTCGGACCTAGGTAGGTTTCTCCCATTCTTACATAAAGTTGCTGCATGAAGTCCAACCCACTCCCAAATATTCCCCTTGACTGACTCTTCTATTGAACAGTTCTTCATCCTTGGCTTTTGAGTTTGTTCGGTATGCCAATTGGCGAGTTGTGGGATCTCAGTCGTCTATCGGAGTACTGCAAGAAGACTGGTCGGTACTCTTTTATGCTGACGTCGGCGCCTATGAATATCCCTTGCTTAGTGGGATCTCCGCCGAATGCTTTGGCAATCTTTTGATTGCTCTAAAAATAGTGATAGGAGCGGGTGTTCTTCTTCCAACGCGAATTAAGATGACGTGAGACCATAGGAAATGGTTGCTAAAGCTATTTCATTGAAAAGTGAAAGTGGGCCAGTTGTCATCGTCATTGTCTTGTTGTCAAATAACCCGAGTTCAATTAAAAGTATTATTATACTGGTTGCATGCGGAAATTGTCAATCGTAAGATTGTATAGATACGAAGTAATCCCTGGGAACGACTAAATTGAGCTTGCACTTATGTGTGCAGCTAAAAGGGTCAGATTGCTAGCAAAAGTCCAATCGGTTATATAAGAGATCTCATAAAAAGGATTAATGCTAATTCAGAATAGTGTCAGTGTATGTATATGTGTGGTAGTCCTAAATATCGTACCTCCCCTCCCACTGGCCCGCGGCCAAAATCTGCTTTAAGTATGTATTCGTAGGAATAGATCTTCAAACAACATGCCGCCGAAACTAAAGATCCTTTGGATGCTGTAGCAAGCCGTTACTGATTGAAAAGCTTCTATCAACCGCCCAATTCTGCATTTTCTCCCAATCAATGCAAATGTGTGGCATGTGGGCAAGTGGCTTGGGCTTCTCTTGACTTGACAACCAGGTAAAGCGATATAGAGACATATCACCATGACACATTAGTGCTTGGCGTAGGATATGCCACATTAGTTTTGAACTATATCGAAAAGCACAGGTAACACACTGGAGCGGGTATACCTACTTGTCAATGCAATGATCCATGTGCGGACTTATTTCACCCGGGGCAGATGGCTTAAGATACTCCCAGTCTTCCGGATAACTTTTGGGGAATAAGTAGTGCCGGATTGTCTTCTACTAAATGTTAAGGACAGGACATGTCAGCCTTGGCATGACTTACAAGACAATGTAGATTGTGAAACACAGCAGGCATAGCAAAGACATCACCAGAGCTATCGGCGAGCTCGATTGAAGTGAAATTCGCCTGCTTCGCCTCGGAAGAATGCACCCGAATATTCATGCCTAAAAACACGCATTTAGCTTTTCTGTAGCAAAGGGGAATCACGCACGGAAAATTGAGTACTTACCTTTCAGCAAACCATCCCATGCCTCGTCTAGTTCCGGTCTTGGTTGCCCTTTAAACTTCAGGTTCGTCGGGTTTTGAACATCAAACTCATCGTCTAATGTTCGAAGTGTTAGGCGGAAGCCTTCATTTGTGATGGCTAATAATGTCATGAGTTAGATGTCTGAGTTCTTTGGGGCAACCACTGCTTACAATGTGTTGGAAGCTGGGGCGCCTGCTGGAGACCATGCTGATACCCTAAGTAATATGCTACCGAAGAAAAAACAATGCACAAGAGTACAGCAGCGGCTTGAATGAGACTGGTATGTCTGCGCTGCCGTTGTACATCTGCAAATGCCGGCCCAGGCCAGTTTTCAACTTCTTCGCTTTCCCGTGTCTCAAAAGCAACAAGGGGCGTATCAGATTTGAAATGCATCTTGCAAGATTGGTAAATGACGCTCGAGATCTGTGACCGCACTATCGCTGTTATGTACGCAAAGTACCTTCAAGTGTGACTAAGTACTCAGATACCTAAGGGGTCGGTGGGCGTTAATCGCTATGCGTGCCGGTCTTCCGATTTCACAATAGCCAGAACACGAAGATCTTTATCGCGTTCAAGTAGTCTAAACTAAAAGTGGAAGAGTCAACCTTCGGATTGAGGAGCGAAAAGTTCGATAGCATTTCGTTTCGCATACGCACTTTGCCCAAAAAAGGAGGTATTTAAGGTAACTTTAGTTTCTTAAATGAACACGACCGAGGTAGTTCACCATCAGCGTGAAAAGCGAAAGCTTCCCAAAAGCAGCTTTAGATAGAAGACTTGTCAGCATTACAACACATCAAGACGATTTTTAAGTCTCTATTTGACGAAGTTTGGAATGTACCCGAAGACCTCACGCTGCGGTAGGCGGCTTGCTACATCAGGCTGCGCTCAGATTGCCCTACGTGATTTCAATTAATTCCACTTATTTCGCCTGTACGAGTCTTTAGCGCTTCAACTTCAATGTAAGTCACCTCGAAATTGACATGACTCGTTCCTGTTTGAATTCCTTCGCAATAAGATAGAGTAGCACGGTAAATCCTTGGTCTGTATGGTCTAGTGGTCATCAGACCTATTTGCCAAAGATAACGATTCTTCCGTCATCGAAAAAGATACAGTAACGGAACTGGTGCGAAACTCTAAATAGCCCACTCAGTTATAAATGTGACGACCCGCCGAATGACAAGTTGTTTACAGTATTCATGACCATATGACGTTTACTCATCTTAAATCAATCAATATCCCATAACCACGCTGCACCTCACCAAGTCTCCGGCTGCAGGAAAATGAAGCTCACCGTCAGCGTCTCTTGCCTGGTGCTTGCTCTCTCCAGTGCCATTTCTGCGCTTCCAGCGCCAAAAGTCTCTTCGCTGAACAGTAAGACTGTTACAAGTCGCGACATAACGAACCTAGATGCCGACCAAAAAGACGAAATAGTTCACGAGGACAAGCTCTTGGGTGGACTTTGGAAGAGAGATGACGAAATAGTTCATGAGGATAAACTCCTTGGTGGGCTTTGGAAGAAGGATGATGAAGCAGCTCACGAGGATAAACTGCTTGGTGGACTTTGGAAGAAAGATGACGAAATAGTTCATGAGGATAAACTCCTTGGTGGGCTTTGGAAGAAGGACAATGAAGCAGCTCACGAGGATAAACTGCTTGGTGGACTTTGGAAGAAAGATGACGAAATAGTTCATGAGGATAAACTCCTTGGTGGGCTTTGGAAGAAGGACAATGAAGCAGCTCACGAGGATAAACTGCTTGGTGGACTTTGGAAGAAGGATGAAGTCGCTGAGGTGGCTGCATGATTGGTTTTCTTCCTATACGGCTGTAGCCGTTTCATCGCTGGTTGGTTACTTGCAACTCGAATTCAACAGCCGCCTGCGGCTACTTATGTACAGCTCGTGGATGTTTCTCAGAGTTCGATAGTGTTACATGGTATCACACATAACAAGCGACACCCCAAGCCTTCCAAACCGTCTCCGCATCTTACGTGAAGCTTTACGCATCTCAATTGTAGGCTGCCTAAGTCGTACTTTAATCTTATACAGACCAAGTTTAAATCAGGTGTTTATGGATGACTTCAACCCTCACAGTTCTCTTTTGAGTACAGCACATAGTTGCGAAGGCCTAACTTGTGGTCAAATCTAAAAGTCATTCACAGATTCGTCGTGTGGGAAGCCAACACTGCGATAAGTCTAACATCGAGGACTAGACAATTTTATCACGCCCAAAGCTTTATAATGTGGAAAACAAATGTCTATAGGCCGCTGATACTATCGAAAAACAATGCTGTTGAGGTATTATATATGAGTATACAAATGCAGTTTTTCAGGCCCCCTCCATCCTAAACCAATATTTATCCATGCAATATCTTTGCTTTCTCGCCCTTTATTATGAATCAAAAATCGAAAAAAAACTCCATTTCTTGCAGACCGCGCTCACTGCAGCATCTGCTGCATGGCGTTGATTCTGTAGCTCTCCCTCCTGTCCATCAACTCTTGGTGCTTTCCGCTGTCGACGATCTGACCACCCTCGACGAGGAAGATCACATCAGCCTTCTGCACGGTGTGCAGACGGTGAGTGATCGCCAGCACGGTCGTACCGCGGGACGCACGCTCGAGACCCTCCTGAAGAGCAGCCTCGGATGCGGCGTCGAGGGCACTGGTACTCTCGTCAAGCAGGAGAAGACGCGGCTTACGGACGAGAGCACGGGCAATGGCGAGACGCTGTCTCTGACCACCAGACAGACGGGAAGCGGAGGGACCGCACTCGGTGTCGTAGCCATCGGGCAGGGACATGATGACGTCGTGGATGTTGGCGAGCTTGCAAGCCTCCTCGATCTCGGCCTGGGTGGCGTCGCTGTCCGGGGCAGAGCCCAGGTTAACGTTGAAACGAACGCTGCCGTCGAAAAGGGTAGGGTCTTGAGGCACAATGGCGACGGTGTCACGGAAGGAGTTGGGGAGGTTGGCGATGTCGTGGCCATCGATCAGAATGCTACCGGCGGTAGGGAAGTAGAGGCGCTGGACGAGGTTCATGATGGTGGATTTTCCGGCTCCGGAGGGACCGACCAAACCGCAGAACTGGCCTGGCTGCAGAGTGAAGGAGACGCCGTCGAGAATGTTGACATCGGGGCGGCTGGGGTAGGAGAACGAGACGTTCTTGAAAGTCACCTGGACGCCGCTGGAGTTGGGTCGGGGTGCCTTGGCCTTGGACTCTCCAGTGGCCTCGGGGTCCTCCTGAGTCTTGACGTCGCCCACGAGCTGCTTGGGCTGGGTGCCAGTCTTGCTCAGGTCGTCGTTTTTGCCGAGGCTGATGACGTTCATGATGCGAGACAGGGCGCCACGTGCGCGGGAGAACTCAGGAGCCAGAGCAAACATGGTACCCCAAAGCTGGGCACTGATAAGCATGGCGACGAGAATGATGAGGAACTGGGTCTGGGTGTATTCGCCTCTCATGATGAGCTGAGTTCCCCACCAGTTGGCAAGGGCATTGACGAAGGTTCCGGTGACGTTGGAGATAGCCAGCCAAATGTTGGTCGTCGCGGAGGCGCGGACCATCTGCTTCTGAGGCGGGAGTAGCAGACGCTCGTATGAAGACATAACTTCCTTCTCGAGAGACAGAGCGGCAACGGTGCGGATGGACTGAACAGCCTCAGTGGCAACCGAAGTGGCAGTCGAGAAGGCGGCAGAGTGGCGCTCTTCGTAACGTGCCAGCATGCGCAGCTGCATGAAACCAGAACCGAGGAGGAGGGGAATGGTGACCAAGCAGACGAGAGCAATCTTCCAAGCGATAATGTGGGAAAGAATAACAGCAACAACGACGTTGACGCAAATGGCGAAGACGGTACCGATAGTCGAACCACTGAAACCACCAATGGCCGCACTGTCCTTGGTGATGATGGTGAGAAGACCCGAGGGGCTACGGCCCTCAGACTGGTGCCACTGAACGTCCTGATCCATCAGAGAACGGAAAGACAGAACGCGGACAGAGTACAGAAGCTTCTCTGCAACAACACCGAAGCAGGACCAGGCGAAGAAGTTGGCAAAGAACTCGATGCAGGCAAGACCAAAAAGAAGACCAGAGAAGAAGCGACCCATGGACAGGATGCGGGAGACAGTGCTGGCACAAGGGTTAAGAGCACCAACAGTGAAACCGAAAATGAGACCTGAACCGGTGAAGGTGCATCCGACGATGGTAGCAGCGATCATGGCAACAATCAACCAGGCATAGGATGGGCGAATGAGACGGGCAAGACCCTTGAAGACGATGCTGTAAGGCTTCTCGTCACCGACGGCGGGGTCGTCTTCCTTCTTCTCTTCCTCGTTGCTCTTCTCCTGCTTCAAAGCCGCCTTCTCCGAGGGCTCATCAGGGTCCTCGGCCTTTTCTTGGATAACGTGGTCGGTCTTGAGGGTTGAGGCATCGAGGGAGTCGCCAGAGACTGAACCGGCGCTGGGAGCGCGGTCGGTGGTGCCAAGAGTTTGCAGTCTGGCCATACGGGCGAAAGCTCCGTCCTCGCGGGCCATGAGCTCGTTGTAGCTGCCCTGCTCAACGACTTCGCCTGCTTCCATGACGACGATGTTGTCTGCGTTGCGGATGGTGGAAAGGCGATGGGCGATGGAAATAATCGTACGGTTCTCGGTGGCGGCCTGCTCTACAGCATGCTGGATGCGCTTCTCGCTGGCAGAGTCAAGGGCAGAGGTAGCCTCGTCCAGAACAAGAATCTTGGGGTCACGAATCAAAGCACGGGCAAGAGCAATACGCTGGCGTTGGCCACCACTGACAAGAGAGCCGCTGGGGCCGGCCATGGTACCGTAACCGTCATCGAGGCGATTGATGAAGCTTGCGGCATCAGCTTGCTCAGCGGCCTGGCGGACGAGCTCAACAATCTCCCGAACCTCGGGTCCATAGCCGTCAACGGATGTCAGAGCGTCCTTGCCCTTGGAAGCAATCTCAGCGAGCTGGCTGCCATTGAGGAAAGGCTTCAGGTGCTGGTGAGACTCTTTGGGCGAGTTGATCAGACCGAGGGCAATGTTCTCGAGAATAGAACGGTCGAGAAGAGAGGGCTCCTGCTGAACGAAGCTGATGAAGCTACGAAGACTGCGGACATTAAGCTCGCGAATGTCGTGGCCGTTGAGGAGAATCGCTCCCTGGTTGGGGTCCTGAAGACGAGCGATAAGGGCAGCAATGGTAGACTTGCCACTGCCAGAGAGACCAACAACGGCGGTGTACTTGCCAGCAGGGAAATCGAGATCGACATTACGGAGAACGGGCATTCCAGGGCGAGAAGGGTACTCGAAAGTAACGTTGCGAAGAGTAATGCCCTTGGGCTCATCCAAGGGGAGAATCTTGCCTTCGTCGGAGGTACCGTCGATCTCCGAGGGGGACTCGATATCCTCCATGAGGCGCTTGTATGCGGCCGTGGCACCTCCGAGAAGGGGCAGAATAGGGGCGATGGATCCCAACATGATACAAGCTGCAAACGAAATTAGCAATTAGCATTCGTTTTGTAAGAAAGGGTCCGGTTTTCATGGGAAAGGGTGGCCAGTCACTTACCGTCAACGAGCAGATAGACAACAGCGTAGATCTCACCAACGCTGGCTCCGTTACCTTTACCAGACATGGATTCGGCAATTCTGATACTGCCCTGCCAGAAAGCCAGAGCGTTTCCAGCGTAAGCGATGAAGTAGAGGAGACCGGCTTGGACAGCGGCAACAGCAGCCTTCTTGATACCAGCCTTGCGAGCATCAATCATGTGGTCGGCAAACTTAGCCTCCAGACGGGGACCAGCGCCGAAAGCCTGAACCACGGAAACATGAGAGAGGGCCTCGGACGCAATCGAGGAGGCAGACGCAATGGCCTGGGTCATCATTCCACTGTACTTGGCGATGTAGGAACCGCCGAGGAATGAGGACAGCATGAAAGCTGGGAACATGGAGACGAGCATTCCCGCGAGCTTTGGCTGTTTCGTGAAAGCGATGATGAAGACGGTGACGAAGAAGCTCAAACTGGCGAGGATGATGCCAACCTTCTCCGAAGTACCGGACTGAATGGCGGTGATGTCGCCATGCAGTCTGCTCGAGACCTCACCGGCGGCGGCGCGCTTGTCGAAGAAGGAGGGCGGCTGCTTCAGCAGAGATGAGACATACTTTGTACGCATGCGCTGGGCGAGACGTTGACTAGTGATGTTCCAGGCGAGGATGTAGCTGTAGATGAGAACAAGAGCGGCGGCACCGACGATGACGGTCTTGATGACCTTGTCGTTGATCGCGTCCTCGTAGGCGAATGCATCGCGGTTTTCGTCGGCAGCACAGGTGGCGGCGTTCATGTTATCGACAAGCTGACCGAACAGAATACCCATGAGAGGGAACGGCACACCAGCCGCTATGGCGGTGATGGTGCCGAAGATGATGAGAAAGACGTCGAGCCATGTTGGGTCGGCGGCGAAGAGCAGACGGAAGTAAGTGAAGAACTGCTTGTAAAACTATTGTTTACGGTTTAAAATGTTAGTGACTCTTGACGCAGAGTTGTAAGGATTGAGCTGTGTTGCGTCGCGCGTTGCGGGATTCCGTCGCGATGCCGCCTCGATAAGATGCCTTGGTGTTGAGAGGATGCGGGACGGGCCGACCACAGCCAAAATGCAGCACAAGCACAGCTCAGCAATTTGGAAAGACTAACCGGCTCAGCCTTCACCTCCTCTTCTTCTTTCTTGGGCTCCTCGGCCGGGGGAGCGACCTGTTCAGGCTCCTGCTTCTCAACTACCGCCATGTTTCTGCCCTTTGAAGCTTATCAGATCAGATCAGATAACCTTGTTTCCCGAAATCCTCTCTTACTGGATCCGTCGAACGATTCCAGCAAAAGACGGCAGCAAACGACAGAAAGAGAGGGGGGGTAAGGGGGGGTGAAAGAGAATGTGGTGGTTGGGAAGAGTAAGAAAAGGCTCTTGGGAGAGTTGAAATGGCAAGATGAGCCGGGTTCACTCTTTTTCCCTCACGCAGCTTTCTTCCCCCGTCTCGCTATGCTTCCTCGCGTAAAAAAAATTCAACCGTTCCTTGTCAAGGACACATGCAAAGAGGCGATGTGGTGGCCGATTCCGGTGCTTGGCCTGGCCGGGTTTTGGTACCAAAAAGAGGAGAGCAAAGATGGGCAAGCCGGTCCTTCTGGACGATCAGGGTGTCCTTTCGGTCCTGCAAAGGTGGGAAGAATTTTGCAATGGAGACCTACAATGGGCCGGACAAGGGGGTTGTGGCCAGTCAAGTTGGAGGATGTGGTGAAGGGTGTGATCAGATAAGATGATCTGATTGATTAGATATGACGCTAGCAAATATCACTAGCCCGTTTAATTTGGCATTGGTGGGCTTTGATGCGGAACCATGTCTCAACATGAACAGCCGTGCCTTAACATGCGTAACCTTGCCGCATACACAGCGGGACCGATGTGGGATGTCGTAGGAACTGTTGGCTCTTGATTTTCTTGCTCAAAAGGTTGATCTCGGGTCGGAGAACCCTCTCTCGCCTCGGTGCCGGAGTACGATAGGATAGATAGCGTGGAAATGTGACAGAATTGGAGCTACAGGGATATAGCTGCGAATGTTTACGTACGGGCAACGCCAGGGCCTAGCTTTGCCATGACTACAAGAATCGATCAGCCCCTCCACGACTCCCTCCCAAGTTCCCTCCACTACAAAGGTCATTCCAACTTCCTAAACAGGGGTGGAGTTGGGGTGTGGTGGTTTGCTCGAGACGCGTTAGTGAAGCGCTGGCTAGACCAAGAGCTTATGTTGCATTGCCGTCCTTCCATTCTTGTTTAGCTGCATTTCACAATTCATAATCATTTCATTATTCATTCTGTTAGAGTAATGCAAACATTTGATATTACTTTACTCTTTGTCAGCTGAAAATGCTACTGTGCACAATCGAATTGTTTAACAAGAGTTGTGTACATTTGGAGTACCATCCGCACCCATGACTCTTAATTGCCCCGATTTTCCCACCAGCATCATGCAAATTCTGCTGCACCCGAGCCCCATCAGGGTTGAATTCTTTAGTGAGCGGCAAGCCAGCCAAGACATGACATACGACAGGGTTCTAGCTCTGGGAGTGGATGAATGCATCGGGACGGAAACTGGGCCGACAGTCAGGTAGGTGTCTTTTTCTGCGCAGTCCCGAAATTCTGCAGTAAATCCCGCCTCGGCTCTTCACGCCGACCGGCTCGATCGTTGAACATGGGCGAAACAAGGCCTCGAGGTTGCTTCGTCTGAACAGCTTGTGGACCGCTTTGGCTAGGTAATTAAGATATCAGTCCCAGCAGCTCGTTCGTGGCGCCGCGGATTTAACCTTCTTTAGACCTCATCCTCCACATGCTGTATGAAAAGGTTTCAAGATTCGTTGACGGAATCCTCCGCCGTTCACTTGTTTTCATTCGCCTGGTCGGTATTAATCCCCCACTCGTTTGTCAGCGGGCTTAAGAGAATCCTTCTAGGGATCGAGAACCGATGGACAAATCCTCTAGGCGGCTAGATCCTTTCGGAGACCCTCAAATAAAGTGATCGCACCCGGCATCGCAGCGACCTTATTCCCATTTAGTCTTGGGCGCGCTTAGATGGCATCCACCATCAGCCGACATAAGGTAGAACCCCTGGCACTCTTCCACTCAAGCTCGGTAAGTAACGAAAAGGACCCAGTTCTACAGGTAGCAGGACTTCGTATTGAACCGCAATTCATCATTTTCCTGCTCAATTTCTCCCCAGATTCATCTCAGAAAGGCAGGTCTAGATGAAAAAGTGCAACCTATACGTGTGCCAAGTGGTTACGCTGCGGGACTTCCGCCCTCCTGGCCGGTCCCGGTTCTTGGGCCACATACCCAACATGGCAACACTTTCAGCACGATAAGGAGCATCCCGTTGCTTACTATGTTGCGTGCTTCCGCGGTCAATTAAAAGGCAAAATCCAGCGGGAGAATCCTTTGACAGGGAATCGCATCTTGCATCATGCAGGGCAGGGCTTGAGCTCCCCTTGGCACCCAACTAGCTTCTCCAGTGGGATGAAAAAAAAAAAATGAAATAGATAAAAGCAGCTCTGTGCCGCAATGTGATGCCATTCCGGTTTTGGTGTTCCTCTAGATCTTTTTTTGCACACAATAATCAAATAAAAACATGTCCCAACGAAAGAAGATACTTCTAATCACCAACGCGGAGCTCGGCCAGGCCAATGTTTACCTGGCCGTGAGCCAGGAGCTCCTCAGTATCGACCCTAGCCTTGATCTACACATTCTCTCCTTCAAGTCTCTCGAGAAAGCTGTCGCCTCGGCGGTCCCAAGCGCAACTTTCCACGAGCTCAAGGGCGCGACATGGAAGGAGGCACTATTCACCCGCCCGGAGCATCGCTTCGAGGAGATTTGCGGCCTGCACCCAACAATGTGGAATGCAAAGGAGGCTGCACTGATCATGCCCCGCGTCGCTTGCCCTTGGACATCAGAAGAGCTGGTTGATCTGGTTCAGCAGACGGAGAGTGCTGTCAAGGAGATCAATGCCGACCTGGTCATCGCGGATAACCTTTTCACACCAGCCATCACCGTGTGCTGGAAGCTGAAGCCGAATTGGCATGTGTTGTCCCCCAACACTTACAGAGAGTTCATCATGATTACCCAACCACGTTATGAGGCTGTCTGGAAGCATCCACCGTAAGTCAATATGCCCCTCCTCGAACCTCGCATCATGACCATAGAATAACAACGAATCAGCCCTCGATCGACGATCCCCTACCCCGTGCCCTTCTGGCTTATCCCTTCAGCCGCCTACCAAATCATCCAATATGTCAGAAACGCCATCAACCCCTACGTCATCGCCCACGCCGAATACATCAACTCCAAGATCAACACAGAATACTCCGACTGGGGTCGCGTGTCATTTGACCCGCCCAAGGGTCTCAAGATTATTCTTCCCAGCAACTCGGCCGTTGATTTCCCGTTTTCGGTTGTCCCAGACCACTTGGTGTCTTGCGGCCCCATCGTTCTTCCCGGAAAGCCCCTGAAAGAAGCCGATCCCGCATTGGAGATCTGGCTGGCCAAGAGACCCACGGTATACATCAACCTCGGCACGCACGCAACATATGAGGAGGCCGATGCGAGGGAACTTGCAGGCGCGCTTAAGATTCTGTTGGAGGCCGCCAAGAAGGAGGGCAAGGATCTGCAGGTGCTTTGGAAGCTCAAGAAGCGCGGTGAATACCGCGGCGAGGGCTTTGCGGCTGTCCTTGAGGCAGTCGGTTCCGAGTGGGAGGAACACGTCCGTATCACGGACTGGCTTGATGCGGATCCGATGTCGATTTTGGAATCCGGATCAGTGATTTGCTCCGTCAACCACGGTGGAGCAAACTCGTACTTTGAGGCTGTCAGGTAAGACCCGGACTTATAGTCTCAATTTGTGGCATTCTGGCTAACTCGTAAACAGTGCCGGCGTGCCTCAGGTTGTCCTCCCTGTGTGGTTTGACACATACGACTTCGCCCAACGTGTTGAGTACCTGGGCATTGGAAAGCTGGGAAGCGCCAAGCACGCTCCCAAGTGCGCCGCGAAGGAGCTCGGTCCGATCTTGAAGCAGGTTGTGCTGGGTGCTAGCGCTGAGCGCTTCAGGAAGAAGGCGGCGGATTTGGCCCAGACATGTAAGGCGGAAGGCGGTGGAAGGGCTATTGCTGCTAGGGCGATCTTGAAGGAGCTAAAATAATGTTTGGTGACGATTTGTGTGATTTTGAGTTGGGTATAAGGCTTGATTTTTGAGATATCACATACAGCAAAACTCTCCTTTTCTGCAGAAAGACTCGTGGCTAGTGGTACAAATGGCGCCTGCGGCATGCCTTTACTAATCGTGTTCGTACCAACTCGGCCCAAATCCTGTCTCTCCAAGGGGTCAGGTTCTTTTATGGAGTGATACGATCGGACAGCTCTATATCTAACGATAGACCACCAGCCAAAAGCCAGCAAGTGTGATGTGACAAGTTGTAGGTGAATACAAGTCTTCTAAATGCCTCGAGACTGATGGCATATTTTCCAGGTTGCTGTTGTCGAACTCAGCAAGAAGCCATGAAAAGTCTCAATAGTGTAACGCTATGATTTCAAAGCTTACGTAGACGCAGTGAAACTCTTCACTCTCAGCGGCTTATCGATCATGAGTTTCTAGCAACTCGCACGTACACAAGTAGCCAATCCTTGGAAGTATAAAACGAACCTTGGTATTTTAAGCCTAAGACGCCAAAGCTATAAATTACGGAAAACTGTTCCTAGTTGATATCAGCCCTGAGATCATGCCTGACGACCTCTGTAGCCATGATACATCGCCGCCCGCGATTGTCTAATTCTTCTGTGCTATGATCCGATAGCTCGTCGAAACAAGCCTCATGTTATCCATCTTCACAAACGCCTGCCCATCCAAACAAAGCCGGTTGATGAGCGTCTTGAAATGAGGTGGTAGCAGCCTGACCTTTACAAGTCCCAAAATAACCTGCCGCAAACTCCGGAAGTAGACGTCCGCCTTATCGATCAGCGGCGCCTGCAAGCCGTCAATGCTTGCGTTATCCGACTTGATCACGGTAAACCCAGCGTCCGTTAGTGCCGTCTCAAATGTCTGCGGCGTCGGCGTTCCCACGGCCCCGATAAGCGGCTTCGTCCGCCGCATTAGCTCCGCATGCTCCGGGTTAGTGGGGTCATACGTCGGCAAGCTAACCCAATCCAACAGCGAAATCTTGGCGCCGGGCTTGAGGACGCGACGGAGTTCGCTGAAGAGCCGCGGCAGGTCTTTACACAAGCTCAGTGCCTGGATCTGGTAGAAGGCGTCGAATGAGTTGTCTTCAAACGGCAGCGGGAGGTCGTTCATGTCCTGGATTGTGAAGCTGTTTTCCAGGCCCATCTGCTCGTTGAACTCCCTTGCCTGAGCAACCTGGTTCGGATCAATGTTCAAGCCAGTTATTTTGGCTCCGGTAATAGAGGCCATGTGAGCCGCAACCCTCCCACGACCGCATCCTAGGTCGAGAACCCTGTCGCCGTGCTTGAGGCCAATGTCTTGAGCGATTGACTCCTCGTACAAAACCTGGTTTTCCAGTACGGAAGCCTTCTTGTCCATTAGCGGGGGGATGTACATCTTTTCTACCTCGCCCAAAGCGCAAAGATGGTTGAGAACGCCGTAGTAAGACTGCAGACAGTCGCCGACCTTTTGGCGGTAATCGGGCCCCAGGGTTGCAATCATTTGCTGCTCGTCCGCCCAGTCGAGACCATATATCACGTATGATGCCATGAAGTCGTCTACTTGTTTTGGCGTGAGGTCGAGGAGGTATTTGAAAGACTTCCAAAAAGTTTTGGATCGCTTTTGTGATGCTGTGCGATTGGATTTGCCATGGTGTAGGCCATGTTTCCTGCTCTTCCACGATGCCTGTGTGGCGGGCTTCAGGGTCGAAGCGTCGTCTGAGGAGGTCGAGCTGGACCGGGGACTGGCATCAGTTGTAACTGGCTGCGCTTGTGTGATTGTTGCTGCTGCTGCTGACATTATGGGTGTATGGTGTGATTGATTTGTAAGATAAGTTATCTGAGGGTAAGGGGAGAGTGAGAGAGATTACTAGGGATATGGAGGGGAAAGGGGCTAGACAAGACTAGGTACCAATAACAAAGTGCATCCTGAGGAACAGAAAAGTTTAAACAGGTGATGGGCAAGCACTTTCTTTTAAATCGTCACATTATTCATTATAATTCGCAGAAAAAAAAAAGTATCTGACAAAGCTGTATGTAGACCGGAATGTCTCGTGACAATCGGAAGTGATGGAGCAACGCCCGATAGTTCCGAGTGGGCCACAAATCATCAGACCCTCAAAAGAGCCTCCGGTTCTGGGGGCTAATGTAGCCCATCGTCGGCTTGGAACGGGCAGTCTATTACCTTTTCCCTGCCTTTCCTTCAACATTCGGCGAGAACGGACCCCGCGAATGTGAGTCACACCAAGTGTGTAAGCTGCCTCGACAAGGAGCCCGATGGCCGGCAGAGAGTGTCACATTCTTCGGTCGCGTTTATCCTTTCGCCGTCCGGGCCTCAGATCCGTTGTAATTTGTTACACTCCCCCGGGTCCCTTGCGTCATTGTGGCGCCTGACCGGTATTTTCGCGACCAGCTTACTGCCGGTGTATTTCCATGTCAGCATCCTGGATGCCCCCGGTTTAATTTGACATTTCTGACCTGTCGTATGGGCAGTTAAACTGGTGGTAGAGCTGGAATGGCGGGTTGGAAGTGGTTAATAATTGATGGGAGGTGATGGTCAAGGCGGCCGCTTGTGTTTCGCCAAAGGTGGCTCAGCAGATGTGGTTACGTCGTGGGCGATCGAGAGATGGTGGCATTTGCGGATGTGGGAGCATATCGAGATCCAGTCTTGCGTTTGTAAAATAAGCTTTTGATGATCTGCACGATGCTTTATTGGGGTCTTAATATCTTGCGGTGTCGGCATGATCTCTCGGTGCGGCCCTTGGACGGTCCGTATCTGACTACTGCCGGCCGTGTATGGACTTCTCCAAGATGTTGAACCACGGTGAGGAGAGAGTAGCATAAAGCCGCTGTTATGGTGCGCTGGTAATTGACAGTAATAGTCATGTTACACGGAGCCTGCGGTAATGAGACGAACATGTTCGCCCAGAAGGAAAATTAGTTGGTCGGATGTCCCGGAACCTTGCATGTCGTGCAGAAAATACGGCCATATGAGATTGCAACCCAGATCTTGTCACATTTACAAAATCCAATGTAACCCAGCATTGCTCGAGCTGAGGCTGGAAAGTATTGTAAATCACATATGCCAGGGTTCCTCTTATGAGACGGGGTATATTATAAAAGTGAAAGAAAAGCAGTAAAATAACTAGGAGAGAGAATTGGAGAAATTTTGAGACTTATAGTTGAATCGGCTTAAGGGCATGACGTGCCTAGTTTACCCCGTGGCACAACTATTACTAGCCATACTTCTCCGCTGGGTGATTACTTCAATGCAATAAACAGAATTATGGCAATGAGCCGTGGTTCATTAAGCATGCTGCTTGTCTACCACATGCCGTATCAGTCTTTGCTCAGAGGTATCCTCCGTGGGTGCACTTCACACCAACCCTCCTAAAAGAACCTCTCAACGCCATTCGCTGATCTTCGTCAAACCCCCAAAACCTGACCTTCTTCAAAGCAGGGAATTTTTCCGGCGCCGTCTCTGCAAGCTTCACCAGATCCGGGAACAGCAGCCCATGCCGGTCGTAAAGCTTGAAGTACCGAATCGACGGCGGCAAGAAGTCGACAACCAAGTCTCTGTTCTTCCTCATTCCAAACTGCTCTAAATTCTGAATCACATCATCGTTGTCCGTCTCACTTTCATCGTCTCCGTCCAAGTCGCCATCGGCCCTCAGCTCTCTCGGGACAAACATTACATCTCTGTCAAGCCCAAGACTCTCCAACTGCACCATCTCCTTGAGACTGGGCATAGCGTCCCCGACATGTAGTCTCGTGTAGCTGAGGTAAATCTTCGAGCGAGATAGATCAATGTCCACGTCTTTGAGCGTGTCCTTCCGTATCAGCAGCGCGTTACCCAAATCTCGCGGGAGGGCCTCGCGCTCCTCGCATGTGATTTTGTAATCTGCCTCGTACCCGAATATCTCCAGTCTCGGAAACCCGGTCATGATGGCATTGATATGGCTCTTACCGAGGGTACTCTGGTCAAGGTCGATGCTCCTCAGGTTTGAGTGTGTCAGACCCTTGGACATTCCGTTAATCCCTATGCCTCGGAACCTCTCCAACGCGGGCGCAGCCCCCAAAATCCCTTCGACACAGTCGATCTTGACACCTCCACTCGTATGCGACAACTGCAGCGTGAAATCCGTCAACCTCGGGAGCGATTCCGGCGCACAGAACGGGAAATGCGGGATCGATAGAGGTTCAAGGTGAATGTGCTCGACATTAGGGACGAGAGTGACGATTAGCGAGTCAACGACTCGCACTCTTTCGTCAAAGAAATATTTCCCCTTCCCATCCCTCGTGATGTCGGGCATAGGCGATACATAGCGCTTGGTTTCGCGACCTTCCCCCCCGTCCAGAAGCCAATCCCGAGGCCATTCGCCCTCGAGTTCTTTGAGCAAATCCGGCGGAACGCCAACGCGGTTAATTATATCGTTGAACAGATCCTGAAGCTCAGGCGTTACATCCTTCTCAAACACACTCCATTTGCCAAGGTGCAGCTCTTTCACATGGAGAGCTAGATCGTGTCTACTGGCGAGAGTCCGTGCCAGCAGGAGATGACGACCGATTAAGGGTGTTGGACTGTGATAGAGCGCAGTTTGAGCGAGGACCTGAAGAGCTTTACACGTTTTTGAGAGACTGGACAGGTCTTTTCGGAGCTGGGCTGAGTTTGACAGCTTGTTGTCACTGTTTGGTGGCCGCTCTTCCTGACAAGTGCATCGTCCCAGATTTTGGGATTCGATGATGCAGTGAGGACACAACAAGCTGATCACCTGCATGAGGATTTCGGTAGGCAAGTCAAGTAAGACGGTCATCTTGACGTCGGTCCCCGGGAGATTTGGTAGTGTATGGGATGAAAGTGACGTGATCTTGAGGGGAAACACAGGACACACCGCTGGGACCACCTGATGCTGTCCTGTGTCAGATTTTTTCTTTCTTTTTCTTTGTATTTTTTTCGGACACAATGCCGGTAATAAGGGCTCTCAACTACTATCGAGGAGTTAAGAACGCCTTCAGAATGGTTAGTTTTCGGCCGGCGTGGATGGGTTTCGCGAAAGACACAGACTGAACTTCAACCTAACGAAAGGGTAAGATGATTGTCACGTGGGGCAACCCCCTCGGCCCCGTGGAGTGCTGCCTGTTCCACCCCATGGCTGGTCCCTGACTCGCTAATGCAAGAATACCGGTGGAAGGATTCCCTCCTTGCCATTAACCATCTGCTTAAAAGGGGTCAATGGCATAGTTTTTAGGCACGGTTAGCATAGACCAGCAGATAAGCAGGGCTCTCTTATCTAACACTACATGTACGAAGCTTCTCTGCTATTTCTTTCGAGATGCGTGTTGAACATGGTAGATCCAGGTCCGAGATCCGCCGAGATCCGCTGCGTCCGAGTTCCGCCCGGACACCGATTACCCACTTTACGGTCGGAGCGGCGCCAAAGGCCGGACAAGCCACCGTTGTGTGCTAGTACGTGGTGTATGAGTGGATGGAAAAATCTTGAGTTGTCTTAAGTTGATTTTGTCTCAGTCCAGTGGTCTGGTGCGATTGACTGAGTGAAGATCATAGTACACAAATCTGGCGATAGCGTCTTGGTCTGTGCTTGTTCTCGATAGTGATGAAGTAGTAATCCAAGCATGGCTAACAATAACCTTGACTGCGAATTGAACATAGTAGTCTTGAGCTTTTGAGGATATAAATGCAACTTGCGGAGGCTCTAAGTGTAAGCTAAGCATTCTGCTTGGGTTGAGCGCTGTCGTCCTCCATGTTCAGAACCATCTTCACGATCACCATCCAACACTCAATATCTTGAGTGTTGACCTCAATTCTGTAACTTACGAAAGGTTATTTGCCGACATGAAAAACAAAGGGCATAAGCAGTAAATCATGAATCAACTAGGGCATTGTTTCGAGAGGCGTTGAGTAATAAAAATCCTGTATGTAAATAACGGGTATATAAGAATAAAAGTCATGGCCAGCGGCCCTTCATCTCCAGCACATTAAACAGTTACATGACGCGTTGACACGGTTCGCATTATCCATATACACATCCCCTTACCATACCTCGCCAGGAATAGCGACCATGGTACCCACGGAGCCACCAGCGACACCTCCAAGCTCGAGAGCAGCGTTAATGACACCTCCGAAGCCCTCACCGGCAATGAGACCGGCGGCGGCGGCGAAGCAGTGCATCTCGAAGTTCTTGGGGAAGTACTTCTGCCACCACCAAGCAGTGATGGATCCGAACATGATGGCGTTGGCGTAACCGCTGTCGGGGCCGAGAACCCAGGCGACACCGATGGACATCCAGTTGGGGAGGTAGTCACGGTACTTCATGCGGTCGCCGACGAGGTAGAAGTTCTTGAAGACAGCCTGGAGGGCGCAGACGACACCCATGACGATGGTGAAGATACCGCAAGACTGGGTAATGGGGAGCTTGGGCAGAGTGACGGCCTCGGCGACGGCACGCCATGCCAGGACGGACGGGGCGGCGAACTCGCACTTGTCGTTGGCACCGAGCTCGTGCCAGATGCAAGGGTAAGCCGCCATGAAGAGGACGAAGACACCAGGGGCAAGGAAGACGGAAACAGCTTGAAAAAGAGTTAGTCAAATGTCTCATCAAGGGTTCAAGACATGGGAAATTCTTACCAGCACCAATGGCCTGAGCGTAGAACTGCAGATGAGGAGGAGTGCGGAGGAGGAAACCGACACGGAAGTCGCTAACAAGGGCGGTAGCGACATCAGCAGTACCAGAGGCGATACCACCAGCAATAAGGTTGATGCGCTGGGCAGGCTTGGGCTCAAGACCCTGGCCGGAGGTGATACCACCGAAGACGAGCTGGGAGGCCTTGGCAGATGCAGTGAGGGGAGTGCAGTCAGTGACAGCGCCACCGTGGATACTGAGGAAGGCGAAGAGAAGACCGAGGAGGCAGGCAAGGACGGCAAGACCGGCGTTCATGTGGAACTGAACATGGCAAACGATGCAAGCAACGGCCACGAAGAGAAGAGTTCCGATACCCCAGACGTAGATGGGGACCTGCTGGTTGGGAGGGGCAAAGTCCTCGACGAGACCGCTCTTGACATCGGCCTTGGCAGCCTGCTTGGCCAAAAAGTCGTTGGACTTGCCCTTGGCCTGGAGACGGTTGTTGACGGAGCGGGCACCGGAGCGGAAAGCGAACTTGGCACCGTCGATGATGACACCAATGTGAAGGACGAACTCGACCATGGAGTAGGCGACGAGAACCATGACACCAGGCCAGAGCATCCAGTAACGGGGGGAGGGGACGAAGCCGGGCTCGCTGCTGACCTTCATGACGCCAAAGTTCATTCTGTCGTGCCACTTCGGGTCATCAGGCTGACGAGCAACACCGACAGCCTCTCCGTAGTGAACCAAGGTGGGACCAATGATTCCCCATGCAACGAAGGTGCCGAGCCACCAAGAGAGAGCGGCGTTGAGTCCGACGAGCATACCGGAGCCGAAGAAGGCAGGGGTGAGCTGGATGTACCATCCCCAGTTCTCAATGTTCATGGCCCAGTTGGAGTATCCGCTCCAGGCGTAGAACCAAGTGAAGATGTGCCAGTTGTGGAGGATACCGTCGGCATATTGAGAGACAACGATGTGGACGAGGGCACCGATGAAGCAGTATCCGAGAGTCTTGATCTTCTTGATGGCCTCCGCGGCACCGCTGCCGACAGCGTGCATGGAACGGATGGTCAGAGCAGCCGCAGTAGCTGTTTCCCCGGATTAGCGATCGAGTCTTCCAACCTGGAAGAAAAAGGGCTTTTACTTACGACTGGGGAACACAAGGTTCAGCTCACGAGCAACGTTGATGATGAAGAACTTGCGGAGGGGCACGGCGGCAAAGAGACCGAAGAAGGCGCAGACGACGGTGATGGTCAGGATACGGGGGAAGTCGTCACGAGGGTTGTCCGACATGAGACCGAGCTGGTACATGGCGGGGAGACCGGCGACGAAGACACCGGACATACCACCGGCGCCGGTGGCGGCAGCCTGGATGATGGAGTTCTCCTGGGGTCCGAAGCGGCCACCGATGAGGGGCATGTTGGGCGCCATCTTGGCGAGGACCTGAACGATGGCATAACCGAAAATGGCACCGAACATGGTGGCCGTGAAGGTGAAACCAGTCTTGAGACCTGATTTGACTGCGTTAGTATGACTGTCCATTCGTGAGGAGACAATCGGTGGGAAAACATACCGAGGTAGACGTTTGATGCGTTGACCAGAGAGCCGAGAACGACACCCGTCAGGACAGCACGGACGGTGAGAGGGTTCTCTTCGGGCTCGATGCCCTTAACCTCGGGGAAGGGGCTGAAGAGATCGAGGGGCTCGTCATCTTGGCTGTGCTCACTCTTGAGCTCGTCGACATCCTCAGAGACGCGGTTCTTCTCCGTGATGGGATCCACGGAGGGAATCTGGGAATCGACCTGGATAGGGCCTGTCGTGGGGTTGGTGGCCGCCATTTTGAAGGATCCGATGGGGGTGTGCTTGTGCTTGTCGGATCGAAGTTGACGACACCGGCTGACCAGTTTGGATCTGGTTTTGCTGGCTGGCTGGCTGGCTGGCTCTGGGCTGGGAGAGACCTGACTTGGTGGTGAGAAGAAGCACGAACAAAGAGCTGGCGCGACGGTTGATATGTCTTTTTTTCTTCCAACAGTCCATCAATGGAGAGCTCCAGACTTGCTACCACTCAACCTCCACATCCAAGGGTACCAGGCCCATGGAACTTTTGCCTCTCATGGGGGTGGCGACTGATACCCATGGGCAGGCATAGGCGAGAACCAACGATCGTAAAGGCGATTACCAGATACCGCAGGTGGTTTCGAGAGACTGGACGAGTGTGGTATGGTCGGCCGAAAAGCTGAAGCGGACTTGTTCGCGTTGGACCACTGCCAAGGCCGTTATCGATCACTCCAGAGGCCGATTTTTCCCCAGCTGTCGAATAGTTTATTTTCTGGGTATCTGTGAGTCGATTCAATTCACAACAACCACCTCATTCATTGGTATTCAATCTCCCTGATGTGTCATGATTTCATGCGGTGACCACTCAAAGGGCGTTGGATGGAGTCGAAAAAGGTCCCACCACCACCACCACCCCCCCCCTGCGCGCGGACGTCGCAGATCAAAAGGTCCTGGGACCACGACTCCGGATCGCAAATCGGCCTGTGAATGGAGGCTGGGCGTTGTGAGGCTCTCATACGGCTCTTCGCTGCGGTTGGTTGACTCCGTAGACCAGCTTCCTGATCAGGAGAAGTCAGTGGATCGGAGGTTCCGGGGGGGGCCGTATCCGCTTTTACTGCAATATCCCGGCGACCACCCCCGACTCGGCCACCTTAGCCACGCCGCCAAGTCCTCCGCCAAGCCGCCTATATATGGCCGTTCTCCATCAAGATTATTACTTTGTGCGCCCTTTGTATGGGACGAACTGGCTTGCCACTTTCTCGGCGCATAGAGGCAAGACCTATCAAGCAATTTTGGTGCGGACATACTACGCCTGGGCTGCCCCCCTTGCCTCCCAAGAGAATCAAAAGTTCGAGGCAGAGGTTCTTTTGCAGCCTGTCGGCCTGGGCAGAGCCTCGGCCGGATCTCTTGTTGCGGTTGGCAAAGGCTTGTGTCCTTTTTTTTGCAGCGGTTGCTCGCCGAGGTGCGTACCCGTTCGGATGGCGGAAGTGGTCCGACGAGCTTCTGGGTTTTCCCCACAGGAAATTTTACGCGCGCCGATTGCGGATGAATGAGTAATGGTTTGTTACTCGGGACACGGCGATATCCTCCGCTTGTTTTTTTTTTTTTTTTTTTTTTTTTTTTTACGAGGCAGCTTGACCTCCCCCGCGTTGAATGGATATTGACCGTACAGTGAAATGATGCCGGGTTAGGTTTGAATAGTGGGAGTGTTGCCACCAGATGGTGTTCCGATCCTGCACCACCATTGTTTGGTATAAGGCTTTCGAATGAGCGCGTTGGGCTTTGTCACGCTGATGATAATCGGATGACAATTCCCACTTATTCCCATCTTGTCGGGAAAACAGCTCGTTCGCGCCGTATCCTGGATGTGGCAGGTCTCTAAGTAGCTCTTTGTCGAATCTTTGCCCTCATCTCATGGCAAACATTACCCGCAGCCAATCTGTCAACCCAAAGTTATCGGCCTTCTCCAGAGTGACCCACCGGCTCCATGACTAGAGTTCGCCGAATCAAGGTCGTTGGTTGGAGACCAGCGCGTGTTTTTACGCCAAGACGACCCATATCCGTGTTGAAGCCGGGATCTGCTCTGGACAGGTTCCTTTTTTCATGTCTCTTGGCGAGTGGGATCATTGCAAAAGTGCATCCACCAAAAACACCGGGCGTTGTTGCCAGGGCGCGCGTGACGGGTGGGTTTTCAAGTTGGAATTCAGCTGCTGACAATCCTGCAGTTAGTTACTTGTTGTCTTGGAAGTCAGCAAACAGCGGCTAGCTTGTCAGGATGATTTGCGATTTTCCATCAAGGTTAATTGGACAATTGTCATCTTTGAGGTGTTGCAACCTTCCAAGGTTTGCAAAAGTGCCAGTCTCCTTGGCGGTTTTCGGTTTTGACGGATTACCGTTCGTATACGTTGTTTGTGCAGCATGTGCACTTGACAGGGGAAACTATAGCAGCTGCCAGGCGCGGTAAAGCTACCGGCATGATGTTACCTCTTCCTCGTGGGGGATGCTGGGGTTTGGCAGATGGGTCTCTCGGCAAAAGTTGTCCGAAGGCGAGGACCATGCCGGTTGGAAATGGGATACGATAGAGGATTGGAGGATCGCTTAGATCTAGTATACGAGAATTGATAGGCTACATTCCAGATAGTGGTCATTCTGATGACCCAAGATGGGACTATGAGACAATCATGACCCGGGCTGTAACATGGGGAGGTGCTCATAATCTGCTAGGTAGGTACGGATACAAATAGTCAGCTATCCCTTTCACTGCAATCATCATTCTTCTCTGTGATGACAAGTTCGCTCCCTGCTATTTGCGGGTTACTGATCCAGTTTACGATGCTGGGCGGAAGAACTAAGGCTGGCCAAGTATAGCTCCACGGCTAGGATCACCCATTGGTCTTGTAGAAGGAGTTTGTAGCTGGTACAACGCGAGGGATCAACAATCCAAGTTCCTGAATCGATATTCAGAGGAGGTGATGAAGTGTGATGACATAACTATGGCACGTGAGCCGTTTCTCCGATCCTGCCTCTCATAGACACGTCCTCCTAGCAATCCTATTGGGCGATGTACATCATAGTACGCTTCGTCGTCCCAGTCGATTTCTATCGAACAACTACGCTTTACGTATTGCTGACCAAGACACCCGGTGTGCGGTTTTTCTCTCAATATCACGATGGTTCTTCCCACGTCTTATATTTCATCACTGACGAAACGATGAAAGGGCCTTGGGCTAAGCGCATGGCAACTTTTACTTGCGTTTGCAGAAGCATTGCATAACCACTTGAACAGCTAGAGCGCACCATTCCGGTTCCCCGTCGTCGCACAACAGCATCAGTGTTGGTAAAACTAGCGCTACTGGCCACGGAAAATCATCCGTGGCCTGCAGAAATGGGTTCATGCCGGTGGCCGATACCCCAAGATTTGCGCCAGAGCATTGGTACGCTGCTCAAAGTGAGAATAGGAATTTCTAGTCTCGAATCTGAGATGAAATCGGACCGATGCAATGCTACAGCTAGCAACTATCACACTCAAACTTTTTCCAAGTGCGTAGCAATGCCATCGTTGGCTTGTACCACCGTCTGATGCAGAATAGTTTGTTTGGTGCCGCAAGTAGAAGAAGGTAGATATCCGATTCGTCAGCATATATTTGGATACTGAGAACTCACGAGCCAGGAGGCTGCTTAGATACGTGGATCCTATCAACAACATCACCGAAGCAGCGTGACTTCAATTCCAGATCAGCGATATGTCACAGGCGATCTTCGCTGCAGTATCATTATTTCACTTCAAGTGGGATGCCACGAATACGATGTGCATACGGATCATTCTCCCTGATACTGACAAGCCTAATGTAGGTTTCACAGGGGGTGAAACGGAATTCCGTTCGTCAATAACAAATAACAGTAAATTGGTTCTAATCGATGGTTCATGATAGTTGAAAGTGGTGTTGTTGACTAGAAGGTGGGGATATTCCCCCTTGGCCTGTCACGTGGGTCTGGGAGGCTTGGGCCTCTCAGCCTGGCGGGCGTGTGGCTGGAAGTGCCACACGACTCCGTATTCCAACTATCGCAACACTGGAAACTCTCTTTTTATGGTGTTGAAGCGGTTGGAATACGTTGTCCCTATATAGTTCCGTCTCCTCGTCAATTCGGCCTCCTATCCCTACTTTCTCCCGTAGTTACGGTCTTGTTACCTATCCCTCTATACGTATCGTTATCGTATTGCTATCAACGAATCTCTCGAAGGCTTGATTTGGTTTGCTCTTCGTAAGGGCATTAGCAAGGTTGTCTTCGCTGTTAATCTAACGAATTTCTTATAGTTCTCGTCTTTCGTATAATTATCTTAACGCTATGATATCGATTATAAGTCGCTTTTCTTTAGTAATGCCTAGCTTTACGAGATACTTGTATAGCGAATAAGAATCGGTATAGATAACTATCTAAATCGTTAGTAGGTTAAGGTAGTTAGTAATTATCGCTAGGGTTATAGCGAAGGCATAGGCTATATCGACGCTAGCGACTATCCCGTAGATCTCTAACGCTAATACGCTACGGTAACTTGTTTACTCTTCGTAAAGCTATAATAAATAAGGTTACCGTAAATCGTAAATTCTCCGTTATTACTATTAGAGGAAGTATCGTTAGCTAGGATAATTAGAAACCCTAATTAGGAGGAAAGGTCGTAGTTATTAGCAAACGACCTATTAACGAAAACGAATAGCTTAGCTATTATAAGGTCGAGTAAGATAAACGTTATTCCTCGGTTAGGCGATTCTATTTACTATCGAATCCGTTGATTTAGTACTTTTATTACTTCTAGCAAGGGGTCTTAGTATTAGGTAGTAGTAGATAAATCGAAACAAGCCTCGGGTTAGCAAATTAACGCGATATACGCCCTTCTAGCGCGTTGTTCGACATATTGCTATTTTAGGTTAGGTTTAGTAGTCTTAATATATCGTAACTTCTTAGCTTATCCCTTTTACCTTAAATTAATCGAATTATCGGTTGATAGCGCGATTATCCCTCTGTTAAATTAGAAGGGTTTGTTAATTATAAGGATATTTTTTGCTTTTGTTATAAAAGCTGCTTTTTCTAACTATTCGTCTTCTAATTATAAGAACGCCTTGTCTAACAAACCGAGGGTATCGTCGGTTTATATACCGATATAGCTAAAGTATAGATTTTCGGTAGATAAGATTAATAAGTATAGATCGTACGAAGAAGTAACTATCTAGAGATTCTCTTTATAATGCTTATAATACGTTGCCTACTAGTAGGTTCTAGCTTCTACGATTCCGTATAAAGGCTTTACAACCTCTATAATAGTCCCTTTTAGGTACTAGTCTTGAATTTGCTTTAGTAGGTAGGCGAGAATAGTACGATTAAGCCTTGTAGAGGATTAAACGTAGGCTTATATAATATCTCGAAGCTATAGTTATTTCCCTTCTCGTAGGAGTAACGGGGTAATTAATAGAATTAGCCGTTAACTTGCCTGCTAAATCGTTAGCGATTAGGTTAATATAGCCTTCTTGCTATCGTCGGCGTAACCTTGTATTATAAGTCTCGATTTCTCGTAGGGTTTAGTTATTTTACCCTTGACTTTGTTAACGATACGAGATCGGAAGATTCGTACGTTCTAGTACCTTTTCTTATTAAACTAGGTAAATTTAAATACTCCTCTAGCGATAAGGCTGTTAATCTCTTGTTTAGTTAACTATTCGAACGGTTTGCTTAGTATAGTAATAATACCTTCTCGTCGTAGTTTGATTACTAATTCTTCGTCTACTTACTCCTTAATCGATAGGAATATTTATTAATAATCCAGGTTATTATTAAATTCCTTTATAAAGTAGGCGATTAGTAGTGGTTTCTTCCGGGGTCTGCCTAGGCGTCTTCTCGGTAGCTCTAGTGCCTCTTGCGGTTCGTCTGGTTTACTACCTCCGCTAGCGACGATAATTTCGTCGCATACTACTTCCTACTACGGTATCTTAGCTTCGGGTTCTTCTTCTTCTAGCGCGGCGATAGAATTAGGTAGTTGATTAGGATCTTCATAGTATAGTTTAACTATAGTAGACCGGAAGGTCTTTAGACTACGTAGCGTATCGATAGTATAGGTTTTGCTATTTATAGCTGCTAAAGTAAACGGTCTAGTCTAGCCTTTCTTTTCGCGCTATACTCATACTTACAACCGTAGTAGTAAATTAATAATTAGCCTTATATTAAGGCTATTATAGGTAGCGATAGCTTCTACTACCTATCGCCTTGCGTAAAGTTCGCATACTTTGCTTATCGCCTTCTTAATCGCTTTCGCCTGCCTTATAACTTTAGGAGATAGCGGCGAATCGTTAGTAATTCGTAGGTATAAGCCGAATACTAAGAGTATTAATACTATTCCGTTCAGGCTAGCAGTATCGTTAACTACTTTGACTACTATTTAAAGTACTAATTCTAGCGTAATTATTAAGTCTTCTACTTTAATAATTTCGTACGCCTTCCTTAGAAGTATATAGTATCGTTTAACTTTCCTAATACTGTTATAGGCTTTTATAGGAATTTCCTTGATTTTAATTACTATTCCTCTCGCCGCGTTTCGGAATTCTGTTAAGCGGAAGTTTGTTCTAGCGTCGGTAACTAGCTAGTCTAGGGGTCCCTGATATATATCTATCTAGCAGAGGCGTAGGGCTTCCTAAGTAGCTTTCGTAGAAATGTCCTTAAGGAACCGGGCGGCGTTAAACGCCGTAGCGGTATCGACGACGTAGAAGACTAGTCTATTACCTTTAAGGTATATTACGTCGGCGATAACCTTATAGTTAAATTCGTAATCGTCTCGTAACGTAAATTTAAACCGTAATAGCGCTAGTATATATATTTAGTATCGATAGCAGACTTTCGATAGTTACTTAATTGCCGTAATTTTAACTAGGTAGCCGGCCTTCTAGAGCACCTTATATAATCGTTAAATAGATAGGTATCCGAAGCGACGGTAAACCCGTCGCAATTTAGCGTCTATAAGGTGGTTCTAGGCGAGTAGTTTCTCCTTATCGAGTAATAACTATAGGTGGCCTTATTTGCAAATAATAGGTACGACCTTGTTTCCTTAGATAAGGGTATTCGTAACGTTATTAAAGTAGACCTTCAATCGGTCTATATCTCCTAGGCATATAAGGAAGGGAGTATTAGTCTTAATAACGTAAAATTTAACGCTTCTAAACAGCGTTAGCATTTTAGTAGTCTTTATAGACTTTAGTAGTATCCTATCGCCGAATTTTACTATAACGCCGCTAGCTGCCTTAGTATTTAACGTAATTCCTTTATAAATTTATTATAAGGCTACGAATTATAGGTAGCTAGCGGTTAAGAATCCTGCTACGCCCGAGTCAGGCATAATCCCTTAGAAGTTTTAGGTAGAGTAGCGTCCCTCGAGTATGAATTGCGAAGGTAGCTTTTTCGGTTCTAGTTAGTTGCGGAAGAGGTCTTCTTTCGTAATAGCATAGCGGGTTAACTAGTCTGCTAGGATCGTAGCGATCTTATTGCCGTTAATTGCTATTATAGTAAAATAGGTAGTAACCTGGAATTGACTATTGCTGCCGGTCTCTTCCTCTTCGTTACTTTTACTAGTTTGTTCGGTTACGTAGTAGTATTGCTAAGGGTCTTCGGCGGTAGGTTATAGGTCTAACCCGTCGAAACCCTCGTATTAGACGAGAAATTAGCTATATGCTAGAAGTAACGTATCCTAGGCATATTAGGTGGTTTTAAACTTCTCGTATGCTTTTCGTCTCTCTTCTATAGTATATTTGGTTAACTAGCAGTTAGGTTTTCTATATACGTAGTACTTCTTAGGCGTTAGCAGTAATAGGGGTCTGTTACGGCTTCTTCCTCGTAATAATCGACTTCGTAATAAACGACTATATCGTAAATAACGCCCTCGACCGTTAAAAGTTCTATCGGTCTAGTACTGCTTTAGTAGGTTAGCTACTATATTAAATTGTTATTAGTTAAGACAGGTAGCTGTCTCGATCGACGAGATTAATTAGCTACGAAGTCCTTCGTACGTCTTAGCCGGTATAAATAACGCTATTATATACTCTAGAATATCTCTATAAGCGTATAGAAGTTAGGTATAGAGGGATCGGTCGTTATAATCCTGTTATAGCAAACCGGGCTGAATCTTGCTTAATTTGTTATATAGTATGTTAAAATACTCCGATTTAGTCTTTCTAAGGTTATCGCGAATAATTTAGGGAAGAGTAGTTATATTCTACTACGTAACGTATGCTTATTGCCTTTCCCTAGTCTCGAAGTATAATTTTAATTAGTTGATTATAGTCTCGAAGTTAGGCTGTAGGTTAATTACTTTAATCGAGGCGTAGAAGTAGGTTTTAGCTATTCCTTTCAGTATTAGGGGAAGTACCTTGTTATATTAGGAGGTGTAAATTCCTAGCATTCTATAGTGATCTACGAATACTAGCATCTTCTTTTCGAGTATATCGTATATATCGCCGCTATATTTCATATCGTCAAGGTATAGTTTCGCGAATTCTGTTAATTGCTTTCCGATACGGTTTGTTAACTTATATAGTTAGAAGTCTATTAACGGAGAGACCGTAGGATATAGCGGTCGGTACGGTAGTTGCTACTATTGTTGTTCTTGTAGAGGAGGTAGCTATAGGGTTGGTTCGACTCTTCCTCCTATACTGTTAGCTACTATTGCCGGTCTCGTGATCTCTTCGTAGAATTCGGGGTCTTTTATCAGAGCCTTCAGGTTGCGATATCTCTTAACGCCTTATTCGAGTTCTTAGGGTGACTAGTAGTAGAATTCTTCCTTTTTAAAGGCTAATGCTATGTTTTTCGAGATTTTCTTACTATCTATTTCGACGTAGACGCTATTACCGATTAAATAGTCTTTAAAGAATCGTAGGATTAGGGGAGGTATGTTCTAGAAGTCTTCTTCTAACTAGTCGGCGAAATCGGGAGAAACTTCGTTCTATAGCTTAAGGCTTATAAGATTCCTCTTCTTATAGGTCTTAAGTAGGAAACCTATATAGGAACCTAGTTGCTATAGGCTAGCGTTTATAAGGTCGATTGCCTAGTTGCTTTATACTACTAGATCGATTATACTTTCGATTCTCTATAAGATAGGGACTGTTAATTAGCTTTTAGTAGTAACGCTGCTTATAAGCGATCCTTCTCGTAAATTTCGCTTTATTCTAATAGTATAAAAGGATTACTTCTATTTAGAATCTTAAATTCTAATCCTTAATAGCGTTAGCTACGATTAGTATAAGATATAGGCTTAAAAGTAGGAGTTAAAAGACGATTCGGGATATTACGATTCTAAAGGGATAGAATCGTAAAATCGGGGATTTTCGTCGGTTCGTCGTTTATTTCCGTCGGCGCTATTCTTACTAATATTCTCGAAGGGTGTAAGGGTATATATAGGTCTCGAATTAGTAGGGAGAAAGTTCTACCGTAGATTCTCTCGTAAATCTCTCTTTCTTACTTCGGGCTTTGCTCCTTACTATTAGGAAGTTTAGAATCTAGCAGATAGTTAGCTTTATAACGCTTATAACTACGTACGTTTCTCCTAAGCCGTAGCCTCGGAGGCGTATATATATAGCTATATAGGCGGATTACTACCGGTAGTCTCTACTTGCCTTTCGGCGTATTCTTCTTCTAGTAGGGAGGTCTTTTATAGCAGGCGCCTCGCGGTTAGCACCTTGTCTAGGGATTTATTAAGAAACTAGCAGGCGCCTCGTAATTAGCACCGCGCGTAGGGGATAGTTATAGTTAGGGAAGTTGTTATCCCTTATAGGATTCGTGAATCTTCGCCTTTATAGCGTAAAGAGGTTAGAAGACCGTCGATTCGGTAGGTCTCTTCTTCTAGTAATTGAAAACGCGTAATGGAACGCTCTTGCTAGCAATAATTAGCTACGATTAACCTTATCCCGCCTAGGGTAAGCATAGCAGTCCCTAGGTTACTCGAATAATCGGATTACTAATAGATTCGAGGAAAAGAAGCTTTCTTCTGCTAGTTTCCGTAGATCTTAGTTACTCTCGCTTCTTCTCTCGTTAGTACGAAATCCCTACTTTTACCTAGGCTTAGGTATCTAGTTTAAGAAGTCGTCTCTTCTAGTATTAACCTTGCTAATCTACGGTTTATCCGTAGCAGAGTAGTAATTATGAAGTTAACCAAATTAATAGCAACTATAAGGTTTACCACTGATCAGTATAGGTTTCACAAGGGGTAAAACGGAATTCCGTTCGTTAATAACAAATAATAGTAAATTAGTTCTAATCGATGGTTCATGATAGTTGAAAGTGGTGTTGTTGACTAGAAGGTAGGGATATTCCCCCTTGGCCTGTCACGTGGGTCTGGGAGGCTTGGGCCTCTCAGCCTGGCGGGCGTGTGGCTGGAAGTGCCACACGACTCCGTATTCCAACTATCGCAACACCTAACTCGGTCGTTTTTGAACATGAACACTAGAACGCAATGTTGTACTATGCATGAGCAAACACGACTTAACATATAACGGCCTCAACGTAACGCTTTATGATTGTACGTCATTGTTAAGACTGAAGAGTGGCTCGCTCAGAGGCTTTCTACAGTCATATCTTACTAATATTCAAAGATGCAAAGTCATCCAACATTACAATACTTCACTTTCAAGAAGAGTGGACGAAACTCAAAACCAGGTATTCAATCTTTCGGGAGGCCGGCATGGAATTCTGTGCTCGGATCGTCGATCACGCAGATATCCAGCCCATTTCAGCCATGTTGCAGTCGCGGCCCGTCGGCAAGATGGTCTACTCGGGGCTAAGCGATTGAGTGAAATACCGCCATTGATCAGCCGACATCAATCGAGCTAGCGGGATCCAGCATGAGCCGCACATGGCGTCATCAACATGAGCTGGCTATTTCTGATCAGCTGGACAATGTTTGTTTTTGTCGAGGTAACAGCTACGTTTCTTATATTACCACCAAAGATGTCTTGTGCACATTAAGAAATCAGATGGACAGGAGTTTATTGCAAAATAACCGAGCACTGCAACGTCGACGAAAGATTTGACCGCGCCGGAAGCTATCAGGGTGTTTCCGATTGGTATATCTGTAGATGAGGTGTGACGAGAAAGGGGCAGAAGGGCTTCCTTCTTGTAGTCCATCTCGCCTTATCTGCAGTGCACCTCAAGCATGGCACGAGCATCTCCCAGGACGAAGCCTCGAGGCGGCTTCTTGCAGATGGATCTCTACGCATGGTAACCATTGAATTGCGGTGTATTGACTTTGGAGTATTAGTATTACCATTTCAAAAAGAAGCTACTTCCTCACTTCCATTATTAGTTTAAATTCGCCCAGATAGTTCTGCAAATATTACACGTTGCGCCTTCTGCATTCAACGGCTGTTATCTCACTCTCAGAACTACTCATTCTTCAACTATTGCTGTAGTGTTTTGACATTTACCTTGACGAATAACTGACTATGCGGCTCGAGTCTAACCTCGGTTTTCTAATCACGGCTGCGTTCTTTGGTCCGGTCTGGGGTCTCCCAGCAGAATCAGACGCGACAGTACCACTGGCAACTGATCCTCTTGCACCCATACCAGAAGTTCAATACATCGAATTTCCAGTTGATAGAGCTCCCATAACTGACATCACGGACGGCTCCACCGAGATGGCGCTTTCAGTCAGTGACGACGAGGATCCGTACACCGTCAGTTGCACTTATGGCCTATGGACCTATTACTACAACTGGATTCCGTATGTTTCCAACAAACATGCCACTTTTCGAAGCCTATGCAAACTAACATTGTGTTGCTCTGTAGAGCAGTCACTTCGCTATGCAGGGACATCAAAGACAGTCTCGAAAAAGGGTTCCGTGCATCATGGGTCAACTCTGACATTTTGATTGGCGAGGCCAAAAACTTTTCTTTGAATTGGGCAAAGACGGGGAACAACTGCAAACAAACCTGCCAGCAAGTGTTCAACAGACTGCATACCGACCCCGCGTGTAAGTGACCCTCTCGTTCTAGAACCGCCCCCCCTCCCTCCCTGTCTGGCATCCACGTTATGCAACAGCATGGCTCACCACGAAAGAGCATAGGTCGCGGGGAAGGCTTCTGGATTATGGAAAAAGGCAAAATTACCGTCAAGGGCTGCGGCGAGGGAAACTACCACGTCAACTACGACCTGGAGGCGCCGATGCTGGACCATGGGACTGGTCTCTGCTGGAACACACCTGTTCCGCCGACGTACGAGCCCAAGTCCGATGTTACGCGGCGGTTCTGCGTCGACGCTATCGAACACGTATTACGCAAGGGCGAGGAGTTTACGTATCCTGGAGAGCGGACGGGGTACTACTGGACGGATTACAACCGCGAAGTTGGGCAACCGGGGAAAGAGACCGTATACTACGACGTGGGCTTTGTCCATTACTGGATCAAAGGGACGCGGATGGCGAACGTCTGCCGTCCTGGGAAGGAGGTGGCGGATGCGGTCAAGGAGGTTAATGTAGAGCAGTGCGTGCGGCATATCACTGCGGCTGAGAAACAAGCGTGTAGGTCTTCTCCATTCGCTTTACTTTTTTTTTGCCTGGTACTGACGATTTCTAGGTGGAGCACCGACCAAGAAGACATTCGGGGGAAGAATCTGGGCGGACTGCTTCGAATGGGGGGTCAAGGCATCTGGGTATGATGGCATCAAGGATAAAGTTGATAGGACTCGGTTTTTGGCTTCCTGAGTTGCGAGTTTCGGTTCTGAAGGTATCGTGAGATGTTGATTGGAGGATGAAATTGACCGAGGAGCTGACGCTGGCGAGGAATTGGGTGAGAATGCTATCATTTCGAAGGGTGTCTTTACTCCAGACTGTCAACCCATCAATCCATAAATCCATGAGTCTATGAGTCGAGTGGTATCAATGCTAAAGAGTGTCCTGATTAGTTTAGGGTCAGTTTCCCTTCCCCTCACGTATAACTGGCGGTTACATCCACTGGTGTTGTTGAAGTTAAAGTAAACAACTGGCCAAGTCTGCTCGGCCGAAGTTGAGTCGCAAATATCGCAATTACGCTCAGCGAGGTACTAAGACCGACTTGGCGGTCTCAGACGAAAGTGGAGAGGTGGGCTGGCGGGGGAAGAATCGGGGAAGAATGGCTGCGGCGTTGAAGAAAGTCTTGGACAGACGGATAAGGGGATTTTGACATTTGGACGAAGAAATGTGGACAATGAATGGAAAAAAAATTATCCAGATATCTATGTCGTTAAATGAAGCCATTATAATCGTGTATCATCAAAGAACTCAATTGAGTTCCCAAACGGGCGCCAGTAACAAAAAACAATTGGTGACAGACACGTGACAGGCTCCTCCCGCATCCTCCACATCTGGAGCTCAGCCGAGCAAAAGACAAAGAGATACTAACCAAAAGAGGAAAGGTGCCCCACGCTGGTTCCTTTCCTTCCCGAGAAAGAAGTGAAGGCTCTGTCGTTTAGTGGCAGGCAGACAGCGCAGCTTCTCTTTCCCGCGGGTGTCGTCCCTCCATTCTTCCGACCGTCCGGCAAAGTAATAAGTGGGTCATTTGACACAGTTCAACCATTCACATCACTGAAAACGGCTCACAGTGGTGGGGCCCGCCACTGACGAAACCACAGACTGGGCAAGAGGCTGCGGCAAGAAACCTGCACTGCACCTGCCACAGTTTGGCCTGGGCCGGGTCGGGTGCTTTGTTACCGTCACTCCGTGTGTACCTTGCTTTTGCGGCATTTGACAAGCAGCCAACCTCGAGAAATTCCACTCTTTTTTCTACTCTTCCTTTCGCAGTCCAAAACCTCCTCCTCCGATCCCCGAACCTCTTCGACCTCCCGAATAACCTCACGAGGCACCACACGACCGCCCAAGATGCTTTCCCGAGGATCCGCCCGCACTGCGCAGGTAAGTTGCCGTCCCAATTGGTCTTCCATTGAGCCGAGGTGATGGGCTGTGCCTTGACGTTTTATTTTTCCTATACGTGGATCGTTGGTCTATATAGAGGGGAAGGACAACTGGACCAGTTTGATATCATCCAGGTTCAACGGCAACATCATGTGTTGTTTTTGACCTGAGAAATACGTGGGAAAAATAATACGTCACAGGCACACTCAGTCACCTCAAATTCATCAATGGCTGGCTTATCAAAAACACACACACAAAAAAGAGTGCCACCTTACAACACACAGACATGGCTAACGCTGTCTCCTCCAGATTCTGCGCACCGCGCAGCCCGCGCGCGCCTACGCCACGGTCGGCTCTGACATCTTCAAGCCCACCAAGTTCGGCGGAAAGTACACGGTCACGCTGATCCCCGGTGACGGTATCGGTGCCGAGGTCGCCGAGAGCGTCAAGACCATCTTCAAGGCCGACAACGTGCCCATTGAGTGGGAGCAGGTCGATGTCTCTGGCCTCAACACCACCTCCCCCGGCCGCACCGAGGACCTCTTCCGCGAATCCGTCGCCTCCCTCCGCCGCAACAAGCTCGGCCTCAAGGGTATTCTGCACACCCCCATTGAGCGTTCCGGCCACCAGTCCTTCAACGTCGCCATGCGCCAGGAGCTCGACATCTACGCCTCCATCTCCCTCATCAAGAACATCCCCGGCTACCAGACCCGCCACGAGAACGTCGACCTTGCCATCATCCGTGAGAACACCGAGGGTGAGTACTCCGGTCTTGAGCACCAGTCCGTTCCCGGCGTCGTCGAGAGCTTGAAGATCATCACCCGCGCCAAGTCTGAGCGCATCGCCAAGTTCGCCTTCAACTTCGCCCTGGCCAACAACCGCAAGAAGGTCACTTGCATCCACAAGGCCAACATCATGAAGTTGGCTGACGGTCTCTTCCGCTCCACCTTCCACCGTGTCGCCAACGACTACCCCACCCTTGAGGTCAACGACATGATTGTCGACAACGCCTCCATGCAGGCTGTCAGCAAGCCCCAGCAGTTCGACGTCATGGTCATGCCTAACCTGTACGGTGGCATTCTGTCCAACATTGGTGCCGCTCTTGTCGGTGGTGCCGGTATCGTCCCCGGCTGCAACATGGGCCGCGACGTTGCCGTCTTCGAGCCCGGTTGCCGTCACGTCGGTCTCGACATCAAGGGCAAGGACCAGGCCAACCCCACTGCCCTGATCCTTTCCGGCTCCATGCTCCTCCGCCACCTCGGTCTCGACGACCACGCCAACCGCATCTCCCAGGCCATCTACGGCGTTATTGCCGACGGGTAAGCTCACTTTTAAACCCATCAAATGTATATTCAACACCGCTAACAATCCCACAGCAAGGTCCGCACCCGCGACATGGGCGGTGAGGCCACCACCCACCAGTTCACCAAGGCCATCCTTGACAAGATGGACACCTTGTAAATTGCGCTACATGCATGAAATTGTAGCTTTAGACAAAACACAACCTACACCTCAGCGCCGACCCTTTCCCCGAACTTAGCAAACCCCTCACGAATTAGACTCGAATTTTTGCCCTCTCGTAAGGGGCGAGACTGGGACGGAGATGATACCACCGACACGGTCGAATTGCATAAAACAGAGCGGAGGAGGGAATTAGATTTTCTGTTTTTGGACACTGGGTAGGAAGGCTCGGTCTCGGTGGAAGATTGTAGTAGTACCAGATGTACGTAGCATAGGAGTCACGCAAAGCATATGAGTTCCTTTTTCTTGTCTTCAAAACATTATGGTCTCGTCCCTTTTTATACCGCCACCCGTGAGCACGTGTATGCCGTACTATAGCGTTCCATGACATATATATAAGCTTCGGCCAATCCAACCAATGACGACTGATACCTGTCGCGGTATGTTTCGCATGGGGGGGAGGTTATCAGAAACAAGAGACATGGCTTGAAGCCTCGGGTTTCTGGCAGGCCCAGCCTTGCGCCGCAAGAATGTTCAGCCTCGTTATCCGTCGTCGCTGCCCGGCGAACCGGTTTTTTTTTTTTTTTTTTTTCTTTTTTTTTTCCTCTCCTTTCCCGGTCAGTCTGTCTAACAACCTCGGACGGATATTCGTCCCAGTTTTTTTTTCGGCTCGGAGTGGTCGTGTTGTTGCGGTAGTCTGCTCGGATAACATCGGCAATCCGAGGATGTTGCTCGGCCGCCGAATTGTCTCGGGCATTGGCCTCGGAGTTGCCGAGCCACGACTTTTTTTTTCTGAAGAATTTGGAGAAGGAATGATAAGGGTGGGTCATGTGGTTATCTTATCTTATCGTTGAAGATTTGGTGGGGTTGGTGCACGACTTGGGCAACTGCAAAGTCATTGTTATTTGGTTGGTAGTTTGCGACTGTGCTGTTCAGATAAATGCCTTTAAAGGATCGGTTTACGTGATCAAAGAGTGTGTTCTTTTGACAACATATGTTACGGTTTCAAAATAATTCAAAGTAACTATTCATATTTTGTTTATCGACCTTGAACTGGTCCCCCTTCCCTCTTCGCCCCTTTGGCATATTGAAATTCTCGATTGACCTAGTCAGAGCATAAAGATTGTTCAAATATAGTGAGATTAGACTTATTGATATGCATGACGGCAAAAAAAATATATATGCGGGAATAGGTCCGTCTAGTTTAACTCAGGGTCATCATCTATCAACAACTCCAAGACGTCCTTGATAAGGGTGATTGTAAGCTGCTTTTGACTCCACCGAACGATAGAAGCAGCACATGAAACAGTGTTTTTGATCTAAGTTGGTCAGTACTTGACTGAAGAGAGATGAGGCACTGTTCAAAAATTCAGGGGATACCGTTCATACCTCTCGACCATTGATGGGCCTGCTTGCCAAGTCTCTTATTTCATCATCTCTCAAATGAGACGTCTCTTGTGCTGGGATAATGGAAAGCATGTTTTTCCAGATCATAAATCTACCTTCCGCATCTAACGGGGGATAGTGGAACTTGAAGTGGATGCGACCTAGGTAATGCCTTATTAGTCCAAAATCATTCGTCTCATACGATGCGCAACTGACTTTTGAATGCATCGTCAATATCTTGTCGTCTATTGGTCGTCAAAATGACAATACCAAGGAAGTACCTATAGTTGTTTAGCATTCCAGCTTAGAAGGCAAACGGACTTGACTTACTCCAACCTCCGGAGAAAAATGCTAACCAACGCATTCCTCTCCACATGCGCCTCACCACGTTTGTAAAGGAAAATGTCCGCTTCATCGAGAAGAAGCACGCAGTTCCACCTGCGTGCCATGTCCAGGACCATGACAAGGCGGTCATCCACATTTTCAGGGCTGGTGCCTAGCTCTCCTGATGAAATAGCATACAGGGGCTTCCTGCACGTCTCCGCCACGGCCTCTGCTGTCAGAGTTTTACCAACGCCAGGACTACCGGTCAAAAGGCCGACCAGCCCCTTGCCCTTTCCTTTGATGATATCGTCAAATGCGTCGTCATCTGCCTGGTGGGACTGGACCAGCAGCTTGATCATCTCACGCTTCTTCTCCGAGAGCAACACCTTATCAAACGCGTCTTCTTTCCAGATTACGTCTGTGATTTTCGAAACTGCAAACGAGGCCCATCTCTTCGTCGTAAAAGCAAACCCCAGAATGTGGTAGTGGCAATACATCAAGCTCCCTTCTCCCAGGGAATCGATGTCTGTTACTTCTTGTCGGACGCGCGGCCCCAGGAGCAGGTCGTCTCCCGGACGCTGGGACAAGAAAGCGGCAGGGTCAACCATGATGCGCCCATCTGAAGATATTCGATTGCGGACCTTGGAAACCAACTTTTCCTCTTGAATGACTGCGAAACCCTGGTATTGCTTACAGACGGGCTTTTCAAGCAGATTCACGTACTTTTTCCCACGTTCTAATACGACAGCTCTGACATCTTCGTGCTGTGGATGGAACTCGAAAGGAAACGCATCAAGACTGTGGATTTTTCTTGACCCTTCAAACCTGGGCACCTTGAAAGTGGTCCAACCCCAGCCAAAGCTCTCACCGTTATGATGTAGGATTTTACTCTCTATTTCAAAGTATTCCGTGTTGTCGTCTTCTCCGTACTTTGTCGCGTAGCATTTGGAAACCAGCGGTTGGCGTAGGAGGTTGTCGTCAGAAAAGACGTCAACGCCAGGCGTGAAGAGAGCCCATAGAAGCCGGAAGGTGATTTCCTCATGCTCTAGCAGGGAGGAGAGATCAGCTATTTTGGAGCCGTATTCCTGCTCTATGAGTTCCAGCGCAGCATCAATGTCATCAATGAGAGTCTCATCAGGAGGCTCTGCGGCCTTTTCTGCCTTTAATCGTGTTTCCAAGCCTTCTCTTGCGATGAAAAGCTGCTCTGGCGAGAGCTGAGCTAAATAGTCAGCGTTGATCAATGAACCCTACAAAGGACTCGTCATCTGTAAAACGTACTTGGGGCGGAGTGAGATGAAAGTTCAGGTTGCCGACACCCTCAAGGATCTCTTCGAGAATCTGTGCAAGCTTTTGTGACTTGACGTCAATTTCTGTAGCGCTTACCGTGCCCAATGACGAGTCAATTATACGGCGTACGGCAAGGGCATATTTTCTGAAGCGATTTGTTGATGTCTTGGCCCTTGAAGTCTTCACATAGTGCCATTGATAGTCCTTTCTGGAGCAACGGGTCAGATTGGTTCAGGTAGAGAAGCTCATCTCAAGATCGACGGCCCCAGCAGAGTTGTCATGTACCTGCTGAAAATCTGGTCGACGTATAACAGCCTTTTGTGGGTGGGAGGTTTGTCCCCTTCCTTTGAACCACTTTTGGGGGAGCTTGTCTCTGGAGCCATTGGTGCATTAGAGACTATATGAGCGGTAATACGCAAGGTAGGTAGAATTAAGTGATGGCGATACAAGCTTAAGAGTAGCAGGAGAGAGGCAGCCCTCGCAGGCAGCTTTCAGCTGCATAAACCCTCGTTGGGCATCCCCGGACCAAATTCTCCAAATTTCCCAAAACATGGCTCAAGTAGGTAATCTGTTCGTCTTAATAGGCAGACAAGAAGTCGCAAGCGTCATGCGTGCAGCAGGCTAAGGGTTGAAAATGTCGCCAATCTGTTCGGCTAGAATGCTGCATTGCCTTTTGCTCACCTCGAACACGCATGCAATTGGCTATTGATGGGCGTCTGTCTGTACTCGATATGCATCTTTTGCTTTAGCGGCGTGGCACTTATTGCGCCTCTTCTTGGCTGTCCTGCCAGGATTAGGGGCTGCATGATTGAGGCTGTCGCCCTATTAGTTGTGTGTTGTGCAACAGTATCCGGTTCCCGGCCAAGTTTGTAATTGACACTAGCAGTTACCTAGGCCCGCCTCTTACCAGCGCGTTAGGTCACTTTCGAGATTTTATGGCTTTCAATAAACGTTTTGCGCTGCACTGAAAAGGAAAATATGAGCCTCGATACTACTTTTAGTCGTGCAACGCGTGAGTTTATATCTCAGACGAATAAGAAGCGGCTTCCAAGCTTCATTAAGACTGTCATAATCGATGGCAAAGCCGTGTCTGCCGACGATGTTCAAAAACACCTCGAAATCCTGGAGAAGGAGAACTCTCAACGCGCCTCCCGAAGAGTTATGAGGCCGGTATTCCAGGCAATGCTGGACTACGACGGTGTCCTAGGAACTCTTTGTATGCATCATTGCTTCATTGTTTCACTGCCTCGTTCAGGCTGACAAGAGAATAGGCCAAGCAGATCCGACGCCGTCTGCGCTCATATGGGGTGGTTTAAAAGCAATACTCGAAGTATAACTTTCCGAGAAATTCAAATGTCTCGTTGGACGAATTAATTCAGAACTGACCATTACATCAAGTGTATCCGCCGTTACAACAATCTATTTGAGAAGATCGAAGGTCAGCTGATGAGCCTAACACAACAGTTAAAACGCCTGAAGGACTATGAGGAGCTTTTCTCGCAGTCTCAAGACATGCTAGATCTTGTTGTGTCCTCGTATGTTGGCATAATTAGGTTCTGGGCGAGAGTTGAGGAACAGTGCTCTACATCTGGACTGCTTCTGGTTGCGCAATCAATAACTTCTTTCAGTACCAAGAAGCTAGATGAGATTCTGGAAGATATCTCACAAGACGCAGACGACATTGCCAAACTTTTTCCGATCGTACAGGAACGTCTGCGCCGAGGCGAGGTCCAGGATGCAGCTGATGAACGAAGAAAAGCGGGCGTTCAACTTGAGCAAATTCGCAAGAGCCTCCAGCAGGACCGTGAAGGTAAGAAATCGATCATGAGGATACTTGACGCGATGGAAAGCTGATTCATGAAGCGCGCCGAAAGCTTGATGCCAGAAACTGGATTATAGGCCCTGTCACGCTTGGTGAGAGCAACTATAGACTGCAACATCAGCACCATCAGCAGCTTCTTCCAGGAACCGGAGAATGGCTTTCAAGAAACGGGCACTTTTTAAACTGGTCGAATCCTGACAAGAGCCCTAACGTACTGTGGCTAAATGGTGGTTCTGGAGTGGGAAAATCCGTACTATGTGCTCGGACTATATACAACTTCCAGAAATCTGGAGCCACAGTGGCTTTCAACTACTTCAGCTTTGACGAGACTCCTCAAGTCATGCTGATATATCGTTATCTTGCTATTCAGCTCTTTGATCAGCTATATTTCTCTGCAGAGGTTTCTGACCACATCATCGGTCTAATTCGAGGTAATCCGGACGTAGCGACATTTCAGAGTTTGATCAGTACCTTGGTGGCCGAATCGCAGACTACCTTCATATTTCTCGACGGCCTTGACGAAGAATACTCCGAAAAAGGGCGTTGGAAATCGGCGGTTGATGTTGCTAGTTTCCTCCTCGGCCTCGCTCGACAGGAAAATTCGCCTCTCAAGCTTTGGTGTAGCTCTCAAGATCGCCGGAAGATCAGAGAACTTTTCAAAGGCGCCGAAGAAATCAACGTGGGTACAGCTGAAAATGGTGGTGATATTAAGAAATTCTTCAACGCAGCGATCGACTCTCAAGACTTTGCTGAGCTAAGCACTGACACGAAAGAACATGTCCTCAAATCTTTGAATGAAAGTGTCAACGGCAACTTTCTATGGGCCTCCATGATGGTTGATTCTTTAGAAAGTGCTCCCACCGTACGAAAACTGGAAGAGATCATAGAGAATGGCCTGCCTGAAGAATTTGAAATTTATCTCCAGAACCAATTTCAAGAGAGGAAATACGTTGACAATGGGCTCCTTATAAGGTAAGTGCTTGATGCGATACCCGACCTGGAACATACAGGCAGAGTTCTGATGACTTAAATGGCAATAGTAAAGTGCTCTCATGTATCACTTACGCCCTGCGGCCATTGTCTCTCGATGAGTTATGCGAGATCATCGATATCTCCGATATGCCTGATGGTGAAGATCTGGCACCATACTCCGGGGTGTTTCGGAATAAATTGCTCGATCAATGCGCCCCATTCATCCGCATCGACATGTGCGATGTACACAAACAAATATGTACCCTTTCACATCAATCGTTCAAGACATTCTTGGTTAAAAATCCTACCATACTTTTGCCACACCGTATATCCCCGGAGACGTTAGCATTCGGGTGTTTTAGATACTTGTGGCAACCAAGATATAGCTGTCTACTGCGTCCACGTGAGGGTCAGATGCCACCAGAAGGCATCTTGGCCAAACTGGGCAGTGATGAAATGGAGGTTGATGAGATGGTACAACAAATGGTTGAAAAACAACTAACCGACAAGGCGCTCAAAGAATTTATGTTCCTGGACGAATCTCAAAGACACTCTTTTTTGAAATATGCGGCAGAACATTGGGAAATGCACCTAGACAACATCGACTGCTCGCTGGAAACTTGTCAGAAGTTAGAGCAATTCATTTCTTCAACTAACTTTGCCACCATGCTACAGGTTCTCTCTCTAGGTTTAAGCTGTACGTGACCCCTGTTTAATTCCTGTCTCGAAATAAGAATCAACAATTTTCTTACTTTCTATAGCTAAGCTTTCCCTTACTATAATCCGGCAAGGCAACTTGGGAACGCGAGCTCAAGTTGCTGAAGGCCTTCCACGGTCGTTCATGAATAAGCAGCACTCGGACAACCACCTTTGGCAAGAATATAAGACAGCTATCCAAGAGTGGAGCTACTTCTTTCTCTGCCTGTCAAATTGTGTCTGTGGCTACGCTGGTCGGATTGAGCACGGAATATGGTCTAGTCTTCCAAAGTCAAACTTCCTACACAAAACACCGAGCGCCTTTCGAGCCTTTAGCTTAGAGCGATCAGATACGATACATGATTATCAAGCTTCTTTTCAACGACTCAACGCCTCCGGAACAGAGATAGACGTTTATAAAATAAGCAATTTGTAAGTAACCTTCATTTTATCTCTTCCTTTTTTTTTTCTTCTTTTTCCGCACTGAGGCTATGACTAATAGTGTTTGTTGTCTCCGTAGAAATGAAGATGAAGACAAATACACCGTGACCTGCGAGCGATGGTCAATTGCTTTCGGGAGCCGACCAAAATTGAAGTTATTGGCGGATATAACCGTTCCATCCCATACCATAGCAGAATATCATTCTTCAATAACCAGTAGATCATATTGCCGAGCCCCGGCAATCGCTGCTACTGAGGATGGGCGCCTTTTACGTATTGGCTCTCAGATATTCTTTGCTTCTTCGTCGCCCAGCAAACCGCAATTTCAACAATGCAGATTGCCAGACGATTGCATGGCTTATATCGAGGAAATCAGCTGCAACAAGAGCTTTTTTGCGATTGCATCCCGAAGTCACGAACACCACGAACCTGAAGAGGATGCAGATCATGTCTCTATTGCTAGAGAAACCGGTAGTGAAGCTCAGGAGAGTTGCTCCTCAGCCAACACAGACAATGACACAGATGAAACTGGCAGCACAACGTCAGAGAGCACCAGCAGTGATGATATACAACATTCTGACAGCGAAAACGACCGTTCTGAATGTCTGCCCTCCAAAAATGTTGCAGAAAATGGAAATGACAGGTCAGAGGACGAATTTGGCGACTCACGGACCTCCTCGTCAAATAACTCTGCAGACGAAACTTGGAGTGAAGGGTCTCCAGCAGCTTCTGACGAGATTGATGACATAATAATTGAAGAAGGAATCTCTCCTAGAAGTAGCGACAAAGAAGATGGCGATTCAGACGACGAATGGTCAGATTCGACGTCATGCAACACGAGCGACCACTCGATTCGTATTTCCTCCGACCACGCTTCTAATTACTCTGAAAGTGCAGAATCCGTCAAGAGTTCTGTAAAATCGAGTGGGAGTTCGGCGAAATCATCTTTTGTAGGTTCAGACCTCGATACGAATGATTATCCCGGGTATCAGGAGTTTATGGAACCTGAGTTCAACAAATTTATCGATCCGGCTCCATCCAGAACCCCGAGGAAAGACCGTTGCGAGATTAGAGTCTTCAATTTCGAAGGCCAACAAGTTTTTCGCTTCGTGCGTCACCCTAATAGCCCTCCACTATTCGACTCACCACCGTTGTTTCATCCAACAGAAGACCTCCTAGTTTGGCCCTTAGCTGGACATCAAGTCATGTTCGCCAACCTTTCCAAGAGAACTTATTTCGTACGGACAATGCAATCTCAATACCAACAAGGATGCCAGTTCTCGGCTCAATGCCATTTCTCTCCGTGCGGCAAGTATCTGCACATTGTGTCTTTTGACGGACAGATTCTTGACAGTGACAAAGACCCACGTCTCGAAACTAAGCTCAACATCGCAACCTATAGACTTTCAAAAAGCGCGCCAACTAGAAGCCCTCCGAGGCTAGTCTATCGCAATTGGGTTCTTATCTACGCAAATTTCTCCGAAGAAAATAAGCTATCTTTCTCAAGGTTGCCCTACACGTTAACATGGTCTCATGAGTATCTTTACGTCTGTCACAACTCCAGAAGAATGACAGTATATCGAGTTCCCTTGTACAAATGGGTAGAAAAGAGGGAGGTATCGGACTTCACACTACGGAGTATTCTTGTTAACAGCAATGATATTCATCTTCCAGCCTCGGTGGATCTGAGGAAAGTGCGTTTTGTCTTAAACGCAGCCAGAGAACCTGGCCCCCTCGCAGAGAGAACCGAGTCAAAGCAAAGAAGGGGGAAGTCTAAAAATACAGAGAGAAGAGATATATTTGCTCGTGTCATATTGTCTGCACACAACACAATCACGCAGACGGCTACGATTGCTGGTAATCTTGTGAAACTCGTGGTGGAGAGGAAAGCACCGCAGGTCGTGGACATAACAGAAGTCCAATTCGGGACGTGGAAAGGATCCTTCTTTCGAGATGCAATGGTTTTTGCTCTTAAAATTATGGTGAAGAAGCCAACGAGCTATTTCAACATGTTGGATTCATTCATGTTCACAGTTGGAAATGGGGGTCTTTTTAATCGGCACTATGTGGATGGTTTGGAAGTATACCTGACCAAATCCTTTATTGAACAGCTGGAGCAGCATGAAAAGGCTAAAAAGGAAAAGAAGAAAAAAGCTAAAGCAACCAAAAGCACAACCTGACGTAGTGGGGTATTTACGATATCCTTAGAAGGCTATGCGTCTGTTGTATCTTTTGGCGACTCAATTAGCAGCTCAACAGATATATCCCTACTCACAGCTGTTCGATTCTATGTGTTTCCTGTTTCTTGAGTTATGTCTTTTGAACAGCTACAGATATGAATGTGTGTGAATACGTAGCCATTAAACATGAGGAGTTACCTTTAATGTCCTACTTTCGAGTAATGAACTGCTCATTCAAGCTTCCGATTGGTCATTTCTCAATGACACACCTAAGTCACGGAGACAATCTTTCGATACTGTCTCTTACCCAATGTGAGCATTATTACACTACTTTTGAATAGATTGTGAATCTTCATTTCAAACAGTATCGTCTGCTGCGTTTCCCAATTACCACTAGCATTGGGAACACAATCTTGCTTCACTAGTTCAAGGACATATGATACTTGAAGAGACATGCCGTGGTGCAAATATTTGTCTTGGAAATATTCAGGCAATAGTCTAATTGTCACGTCCAACAGAATTTACCAATGGTTTGTGCCGAAAATAGAGCCTTCATGTACGACTTGAAGTTCCTCCAATTCCATCGCTGTCATATAAACCTAACACCAGGTCTTTGGGCTGCCCCGATCTAGCAAAGTGTGTCTTGCGTCACGTTACAATTCGAATTAACGGTTGTATCGGGTAAGTGGTGGTTGTCTACGAGCTCCCTAGGGCTATTGGTTTCTTAAGTTGAATGATAGATTTGAGACATGGTAGCGGTCATGAATGATTCCAAATCGCCAAGTCTAGTATGGACGGACATTCACAGTGTTACTATCGTAGCAGCCTAGCTGAGGCTCAACCACCAAATATTGATAACGGAAATAGTATCCTGCTTATTCGGCTTTGCTCTTGGGGTTTGGGGTCATTAGTATGCGCTTGATGAGCGGGGAATTTCCTGTGAAACCGCCGCTACTCAGCACAGATGAGCTCCAGCAAGCAACGTAAGCCTCACATCCTCCGTCTCTGGCCGGGGGGCAACTAACCTGGCCAGCCTTATTTCTCCTGCAAAGGCTCTGCTTCAGTTCTACCACGACAGGTCAAGTTTCAGCCACTTAATATATGTAGGCGATTCTCGGGAACCGACACCCACCCCAAAACCTTGGACAGCAGAGATCTCTGTACGATCGATCACAGCACCGCCCCCTGCCCACCGGATCGAAGACATCGATTCGACTTTGTGTGATTGCGATGCGTCAGGAATCTCGTTCAGATTTCGCGGGCACCCCTCTCGGGGAAGATACCTTACTGTGCGAGAAGTGAAGATGCCCAGCGGACCCGTTCAACCTGCGACGCGAGGAGTTTTTGGCGTGCCACAAGAAAAGTATATCCACCAATAAGCTTGTGTGAGGGCAAATGGGAACCAACTCGGAATGCAGCAAAGTGGTGGTGATGCCGGTGATCTCACGAGCGCACATTGCATACAGGGCGCCGATGCAGCATGTACCCGTCTCGGCGGCGACATGTTTCTCTGCCGCCACTTCGCAAGCTCTTCCTGATTTGTTACGTCGGCATCAATAATGTCTTTATACCACTCGATAATGGCTTTGTTTTGACGTATCAGCGTGGCTGTGTCTAAATTGAGGAAACACCAGACGTAATCTCCATTGTCTTGTTCTATAAAGTGGACAAGGCCCTTGTCCATGCCGGAAGATGTTCCGGAGATTCGGGACGTGTGATACACCGCGGTAGCATCCGTTTTGTCACTTCATACTCGGCCTGTTGGGACCGGGGTGTATGCTTTCTGATTACTATACTAACGATGCTGCAGGGGCCAAACGAGAGAGAAAACAATCACGGGCTTACATGATTTCGCCCCTGAGATTCGAGTACCCATGCGAGGCTTTTCGTGATCAGAGCTAGGGAAGTGTATGCATAGCTGTATGGCATTTCCGTTGGTTCTATTGGCGGCGCGAATCAAGTATTTGATCAACGTAACCGTTCTTGACATAATTCACACCTTCGAGTAGCACTAAAACCAGGGGCGCTCAGGAGTTGTTACTTCATCGAGAATCTGGTGGTTATGAGAGTTTTTCCAACATTGCGTCTTTGTGAGACAACGGAAGTGGATTGCATATTGAAGTTGCGGTCTATCGGCACCCTTGCGTATTTCTTATCCAATTGAGATTCCTATTTGTGGGATCTAGGCCTTGATTGGGCTTTGAAATGTTTGCCTGTCGGTTGTCAGTTGACGTAGGCGTACTCGACAAAGAACCTGATAATGCAGTTGAGAAGCGGGAGCATTTGACGCTGAGATAGGAGGAGAAGAGCAAGCAACCAGAGCTCAAGAATGCACTTTAAAAAGGCGTGCTGTCCTCATTGTTGCTGGTTCGAAAAACAATGAATTGGCTCTTTGAACTTTCCTCTTTTGCCGCCTTATCTCGATTCATCAAAGGACACCAAAGGAACCAAAAACGACATCTTCTTACTCCCTGCACTTACTCTTGCAATACCCTTTTAACCATTAAAGGTGGTTACTGGAAACAGAATGGCTGTACGGCTCTGTGCTCGAGCTTCGCTCATACTTGCAGCTGTTGCTTGGAGAGTCGGCCGCATTGGCGTTCTAGCTGCCGCGCAGATCTTCTTCATTTCCTTCACAGCGCAATGTCTGGTAGTTTTGTGCTATTGGGCCTTCATCTATCCTCATTACATATCTCCCATGCGCCATCTTCCTACGCCAGAGGTACGGTTTTAGAGATTCCACGTTCTGCTCCAACATCCAGGCGTTTCGGCTAAACCTAGAACGAGAAGAAGAATCACTATTATTGACGATTTGAATTCAACAGGGAGGCCATTTCCTTATCGGGCAGATGCTTAATCAGATTCTTACTCCTGGCCCAGCCGACATGTTTCTGTCCTGGATGCGCAGATGGCCCGAGGCACCATTTGTCCGATACCTGTCGATTGGCAATTCGGAGACGCTCATGGTCAACAGTCTCGCAGCCCTCAAGGAGGTACAGCAGACCAAGGCTTACTCATTCCGCAAGTCACAACTAGCTTGTCGGATGTTCTCGCCCATCACAGGCCATGGCCTCATGTTCTCTGAGGGAGATGAGCGGAAGAGGCAGCGGACGCAGCTTGCCAGTGAGTTTCTTCCTAAGGTACGATGTAATGTTCTTTTCATTTGCTAAAGCTACTGGTGCAGAGGCTTTCTCGAACCAGAATACTCGGAAAATGCTCCCTGTCTTTCAACTGAAGGCAAGACAACTTTGCGAGGCAATCAGCCAAGACCTGGGTGGCGAAGATCGCAAGGTCATTGAAGGTACTTGCAATCCTTTGCCAACGTCTTCATGCCATATTAACTTGTCAAGTCGAACGCTTCATCAAGAAAGCTACCCTTGATGCTTTTGTTATCGGTTCGATTGGCTGTGATCTTGAGAGTATCTCGCTACCCGAAGCACACTTCTACGATGTGTACGAGCGCATAATCCGCCAACCGGCGCTGGGACATCTTATCACATTTATCGACGGCCATATTCCTCTTCGTTCGTGGCTGCCGCTCAAGAGTAACAAAAAGTGGCTCAGAGACCTAGCTCTCATTCGTACCATGCTCCTGAACTGTGTCGGTAATCGCCTAATGGAGACGAAGAAAGACAAAGAAAGGCTCAGGGGGTTGAAGTCTGAGCGACGGGATATTCTGACTTTCATTCTCGAAGAATGCCAGTTTGATGAGAAGGAAAGGGAGTGGACTGATTTGGAGCTTTTGGAATATGTGAGTAACTGCCCAAGGTATTGGTGCTATGCGGTGCTAATTGTGTAAGCAGATGCTCAATTTTATCGCTGGGGGTAAGAGCTTACGATGTAGCATGTTTACGATAAATGTTAACAGTCTTTCCAGGCCACGAGACGACAGGATCTACTATAATGTGGATTACATATGTCCTAGCCACAATGCCGAGTGTTCAAGAGCGCCTGAAGCGGGAAATCTCCGAGCTCGCCGCCCGTAAACCGCCAGGCTGGGAGCCTACTTATGAGGAGATTGAGCACCTTTCCTACGTCAACGGCTTTCTTCGTGAAGTTTTGAGATATTACTCGCCAGGTAAGAACCATCATCCGCTACTCTTCTGTGCTAATATTTCGCCACTTCTCAGCCATCTTTCTGCCCCGTGAAACAGTAGAAGATGTCACAGTATGCGGCATCTTCATCCCCAAAGGCACACAAATCACACTCTGCCCAGCAGTTGCCCACTTCAATCCGCTTGTATGGGGTCCTGATGCCGAAGTATTCGATCCAGACCGCTGGTCGGATGGACGTGCGGCCAAAGATTCGTACGCGATGGAGGCGTTCCTCCAAGGTTCTTCAGGGTGCATTGCAAGGAATATGGCGCTTTTGAATGTCAAGACCGTCATTGTTGAACTTGTTCGGAGTTTTAAATTTTCACCGCAGCCAGGCTACGATGGTGTGCTGAAGCTCTCGAACCCAAACTTCACGCTTCGGCCAAAATATACGCTGAGAATCGTGGCGGAGAGGGAGATGAATACTGAGTTGTCTGTCGGTTTGGGATACTGAACAATACACTGTGGACAAAAAGTGATTTTGGGCGTCACACAAAATTGTTATTAAAGCGAGAGTGTCTTATTTCGGGTCATATAACTATTCGCGGCATGTCGAGACGTACATCATCTACTTAGCATATTCACTGGGAATTGATGGAGCACATACTTTTGGCCCGAAAGCTCACAATTGATATTCAGGTGGTCTGTTTCATGGAAGGGTACTGTACCGTCACACGCTATTCTATTCTTCTTGTGTCTTTAATATGGATTAGTGCATGTGTGGAATAGACAGTTTTGTTTGAGATGATATTTTGCGGCAATACTCGGCGTGTTTTCATGATTTCCATGTCCGTCAATCACTTGACCAAGCATTTCGGCGACATGTGGCAGGAGTAAGACTTCTAATATTTGCATCTACAGCATGTCCTCCTAATCAGAACTTCTCGGTTGGCTTTGATGATATGTGGACGATAGAAACAGCCTTGTCCAGGCAGCATTGTTTCATTATGCTGAGCTCAGCAATGGTTCGCGGCCTTGTTTACACTTGATTCAACCATAGCAGCCTTGTTTGAGGTACATTAAGCAAAGGTTCTCATAAATTAGAATATATGCTTAAAGGAAGGAGCTCACTCAACGGGTCGCTCCTTCCCTGTTCGCTCCTTTCTCGTCACGTCACGACCTTCCTTCTTGTCATTGGCCGGCCACACTTCACCTTCTTCTTCCTTCAACCTCCCGATACCCCGAACTTCCATTACCGCATTCATTTTATTTACTATCTCTACTCTCCCCGACGGAAATCCTGGCCATAGAGGAGACTGTCCTTTGTGATCCAAGTCACTAGACTATTCACCACCCGTTTGGTTCGATCTTAGCCGGGTAGTTGCTTGGTTGATCGCAACCCTCCGCCGCCTGCTCACCACAACGGAAAGAAGCTCAGGAACAGTATCGATATTCTTTATTCGGTATTTCATCCACTTCATCGCATTCTCCAATTGTTACGGATTGCTCTCAATCGCAGAGAATTCTCTTGGCTCATCGCAGTTCGCCGCTTCCAAACACCCATCCTGTTCAGCTGCCATGGCTACGACAAGTTCCCTGGGCGACATTCCGATCTATCGGATAGACCTCGGACAGAGCCCAGAGCTCCGATATGTGAAGCTGGCCACTGATTTCGCAGAAAGGATGCAAGCGGTCGCACCTCTGTTTGACGAGGTCCTCGAATGTTTCCTAATCCCCAAGCACATGATTCGCTTGCTCAAGCTTGTTTCCCGTATCGCCCTCCGGAAAGTCTTTGACGATGAACAAACACGGGAAATCAAAGCCATTGCTAAAGTAGCCGGTATTGACAGATACTTGGTGGTGGCACTGAACGTCTTTCTCGACCTCCTTCTGGGCTGTACGTCAGGGGCTATTCTGACTCGACCAGAGTCTGCACACACAACCAAAGAGCACATCTCGGATCGACTGATTCACTTTCGCACTCTGGAATGGGACATGGGATCTCTCAGATCGCTTTTGGTAGTCTTGGAATTTGTGGACAGCCGAAAGGCTGAACCGGGCCGCGTGATCGCGCGGTCGGTCACATACGCAGGGTTTGTGGGTGTTTTGACTGGCGTACGGTGCGTTAGGAAAATCAATTTGAGGCTTACTGGTAGCTAATACTTCTTACAGACAGAATCTCTCGTTATCCCTCAACCACCGTCCTGTTCACGATTGCAACGATTCTTCGCTACGAAGGCACCAGCTGCTTGTCGTGCTCGGTATCCGAGAATCTATTTCGTCCGTGTTGCGCCGAGCCCTTATGAGCGAGAACGATGATGACAATATGTCGGCAACCAAGGACGGCAGAGTGCCAGAAAAACGACCAGACAGACTGTCACAAATTGCTACCAAAGCGAAAGAACTTGCATCGAGAACGACTTCGCCTTGCTACGTTACTCTTTGCGACGGAAAAGATGTCGCGATCGTTTTGAAAGATTTGACAGATGGCAAAGTCAAGACTAGCTCATATTTCATGATACAAACGAATCATGACGTGGAACATGGGTCATGCTGCAGTCACAAAACAAAGAAGCCAGAGTCGTCCGAGCTTCATGTGGAATATTTGGGAGGAGATGAGTGGCTTGCCGAGTCCCAAGATCGTCTGGGTGCTCTACAGAGTAGGTGGTTGGGACATGTTAAGGCTCACTCGGATGATCCTAGTGTGACAAGTCTGGCCAGTGGAAACGGAATTTGCTTGGACTCGCCCCAAGCTCAACTTAACGACAGACTCACTCTTTCTGGCATTAGTGAGAGGAGACTTCTTAAGTGGGTTCGATCGCCTCCCACGACTAACAATCTTACTCATTTCAGCTGTCTAATGGATCCTCATACTGGAGAAATTCGAGGATTGACCCGAGGCCCCGACCCATCGAGTATTGAGTAATGAAGGAAAGGTGTCATCGGTGTTCACTGGCGGTCACAACGCGATGTTATAGATGGATACAGAGAGCATATGTCTGTGTGACTCCTGTACTTGGACCATGTCCACCTGAGAACTTCCGGGCTTTGAGTGATAGACGATAGCGGGAGCTAGGAAGGACCCCATTTGTGGATTGCAATCACGGGTCTGTACAGTTTATGGCTTGTGAGGCTTGGTAGATGGACAGGGTCAGATTCCACAGAAATAACTGTACGAATAAAGATCATCATTGAGTGAATAAAGCAAGCTGAATAGAAGGCAAACAGACATCACCTCACCCGTACTCAACCCTGTGACTGTGAAGTTCTGTCACAGGCTTCTTTCATTAAGCTTGCTAGTAACAACAAAAAACACCAGAGTCAAGGGCCCATAGTCCCGTACCATATGACAAAGGATTCCCTGACCTCCAGCCAACTCTATCTATGGTACAATATTGACTTTCGGCTGCACAGTTAGTTCCCGCCCTGCAGGCGCCAGGATGCTCGGAAGTTGGGTTTGGTTGTTGCCTATCGGGGACAGATTTAGTGGGGTGATCCCCGCGCTGTAGCTTCCCAGCGCCTGGTCGTCAATTGAATTCCCCCCACCAACGCAATCTAGGACGCGAGAGCTTCCTGCAACAGAGCTTCCTGCAACAACCACTTTTCGTCAAGCCTATCTACCGCGTATCATCCAATAGAGACGCTTTCACGCTGTGTGGTCTATTATTCACCAAATAAAGAGAATGGCTGGTTCAAGGATGCAATCGCCGTCGCTCGAGACGGGCCCTATGACTCATGAAGTCTTGAAGGGCATATTTGCCTCAGACCAGGACATGTACCCGGCGCCATTGACTTGGGAGCGTCTTGAGAGCTGGACGAGGGCGGCACCGGAGCTTTCCATGTGCTTTTACCTACCTGGAAACGAAAATGAGGCACCATCACGGACCCTCGTCGGTGCCGTCATTGCACTGCCCATCCTGGCGTCGTCGTGGCGGCATCTGTTGGTCGGCCAAGTAAAAGAGACTGACGTTGAGCCCGACTCCATGTTTCCTCGCAATGGTGATCAAGAAGAGGATATTGGACTACACATATTTCACATTGAAAAGTTTGATACGCCTGATACTCGAGGTAGAGTACCTGGGTTTGCGGGGCTTGCGATGGGAGCCGTTGTCGAGGTTGCGGCAAAGACAAGGTGGAAAGTGATTGGACATTCAGGTAAGTGATTGTAGAAGTCTCGTTGTTGGACCAAGAAGCACATTTCCGAGTGGGAGAGATGAAACCTGACTTTCATCGACAGCGCTCACGGCTACACCAGAAGGGAGACGAGCTTTCGATAAGATGGGTTTCCAGCCGACGGGCTATGAAGAGTTTTGGGTCTCGTCAGACTCCTCAGTCAGCGTCGAGCTATTGACCATATCCGCGGAGACGACACCTCAACCTACGATCCCCGAAGGAGAAGCCGTCAAGGGACACGCAACGATGTTAGCAAAGCATCTATCCCTGGAAGACACTATGCAGGACCCCTTGCCAGCGTGTCACTCGGCATTGAAAACTGTTGAAGAACAGCGGGGATAGGGTACATGCAGGCAAGTCGATCGGAGATTTCGAGAATTCGAGAAGAATCAGTGGATGATCGACTCAAGTGGAGAGCGGAATTGGATGGCGTGGAGAGCGGAAATTTGGCTTTGAAATCAAGAATTCGATACAAATTGGACCCCCTCTGGACTAATCATTCATCCGAAAAGTGCTTCACAACAGAATTGCCCCGACCCCGTCGCCCGAAACCCTCCCAAACGCTCTACATGGTAAAGTCCAGCTCATCAAAAAAAGGGGTCCAAACCTCACTACCTCGGCCCCATACCGACCGCCTGGTCCAGAATGTTCATGCCTCGGCCGCGGACCTGGCAACCGGGAGCACGGCCGGGACACGTCTGCCATCTTTAACGGGGTCTCACCGCCGAAATTAGCAGTCAACGCTGGAGTCGTCTGGTGTCTGCTTTGTCATCATTGCTTCATAGCAGAGATTTCTGTGGCATTTGGGATGAGACGAAAAAATATGAGTGCGGGAGCTAGTCAGTGAGGGACGGGAGCCTGACTCGGAGCATCTTGGACAAACCGGGCAGCCCGACTCCGATTAGCTCGTAAGACAAGAACAGCAGCATGGCAGCCCAGGAAAGCCTAACGCCGAAGAGCTACGTATCGAGTACAAAGAGCTGACCCAGGTGAATGGGTGACAACTGAATGAGCTAGAACCATGGCCCCGGTTCATCGAAGGATCGATTAGCTTCATTGGACCGTTGACAGACCGCCTTCCTTTCTCATTATGCGTGACCCGCAACGAGCCGCGGCATGTTGATGTCAGTGTCAAAAAATTGAGGGGCAAAAAAAAGCTAGCTTAAGATTTGCTTACATGAACAGGATACTCGACCTGTGGGGGCGGTCAAGCTGTAAGCCAAGCCATCCCAAGTACCGAGTGGCCAAGCTCAATACTGTAGTGTACAGCTTGGTGGGAATATTGACTATTCCTGGATTAGGGAACCACTTCATAGTCAAGAGGGTTGTCAGCCAGGTAAGAAGGCGAAACCGATACTCCACTGGCCCGGCCACGACGGCTAGAGTGGATATGGCAATCGTCCATCTTTACAATTCTTCCATCATGACGTTATGGTTTCGAATGTCTTCGCTGATGAGCCCACCCGCACACACTCCCCGTGTCTTTGGAGGGGCATCAAGGGACTCTCGAGTCGGACCCGACGCGGGGCCGATGGATACACTTCTCATCATGATCTGGAGCAATGCTCGTGTTGGCATTTAAGACGAGGGTGATTCCCGCCGTAACATTGAACTTTGGACTACTCACTTCACTATCATCTCATTTCTTCTTACTTTTGTCATTATCTCAATAGACTAAAGATACCCAATCTTTGATACCCCTTTCCTCACAAAACACACACACATCTCTCACAATGGCCCCCGTTTCCAACAAGTGCTTCGTCTTCAAGCAGGTCCCCAAGGGCCTTCCTGTCCCCGGACAGGACCTCGTCATCGAGGACCGTCCTATTGACCTCGACCAGCCCCTTAACGGCGGCATCCTGATCAAGGTCCTCTACTCCTCCTTCGACCCCTACATGCGCGGCCGCATGCGCCCCGCCGAGGCCGGAAAGTCCTACATCCCCCCCTTCGAGCTCGGCGCCACCATCGTTTCTTCCATCGTCGCCAAGGTCGAGCGCTCCGACACCCCGCAGTTCGCCGCCGGTGACCTCGTCACCTCCTTCATGGGCCCCAACGCCCAGTACGCCGCCATCCCGGCCAAGTTCCTCCAGGGCTTCTTCAAGGTCCCCAACACCCACAACGTCGACCTGCCCCTCTTCGTCGGCGCCCTCGGCATGCCCGGTATGACCGCCTACGAGGGTCTCTACGACATCGGCAAGCCCAAGGCCGGCGAGACCATCTTCGTCTCCTCCGCCGCCGGCGCCGTCGGTCAGATCGTCGGCCAGCTGGCCAAGGCCGAGGGCGTCAAGGTCATCGGCTCCGTCGGCTCCGACGAGAAGCTCGACTTCATCATCAACGAGCTCGGCTTCGACGGCGGCTTCAACTACAAGAAGGAGTCCCCCCGCGACGCCCTCAAGCGCCTCGCGCCCCAGGGTATTGACATGTACTTTGAGAACGTCGGTGGCGACCACCTCGAGGGCGCCCTCGAGTCCTTCAACCCCCAGGGCCGCATCATCGGCTGCGGCATGATCTCGGACTACAACACCCCTCTCGAGCAGCAGAAGGGCGTCCGCGGCCTCTTCCACATGGTCGCCAAGAAGCTCACCTTCCAGGGCTTCCTCGTCGACCTGTCCCCCAACAAGTACAAGCCCTTCCAGGAGAAGGTCCAGCCCATGATTGCCAAGGGCGACCTCAAGGTCAAGATCCACTTGACCGAGAGCATTGACCAGGCTGCCGAGGGCTTCGTCGGTATGCTCACCGGCCAGAACTTTGGCAAGGCCGTGTTGAAGATTGCGCAGGAGTAAAAAAAAAACTATGACTAGAAAAGGATGGGCAAAAAGGGGGGATAGGCATATTGTATAGTATAATGACAATTGATGACCAATGAAATTCGTTAAATTCGGGTTTACTTTTTCTGCTTTGTGAATGTGATCTCGTCTTCGGTACTTTTGAAGTTGTTGTAAATGATTCGACGCATGAGAATGTTTTCAATGTCGATGATTTGGCATCAAAATTTATCACATAGCAAATCATTTGAAGGTTTAATTCACAGCCAGCGAGTACAAAATCTTTAAATTCTTCAGACAGTGAAGGCGCTATCTAACCATCACTTAATTTTCATAGCCCAACCAGCATGTATGTACCTTTATGCCATGCTCTATGAAGTCCATAATACTAGACACATGTAAACAATCCCGCTAAACACCAGCCGCTACCTGAATTCAAAACCCAAAACCATCTAGTCTCAACCCTTAACTCCTACCAAACAGCTTCTTCGCAGTAACCCGTCTACCAGAGCTAGGCGCATATTCCTGCTCGTGTCCGTATCCTCCATACCCATTCTGTTGCTCACTTGCCGAGCTGGAGGAACGCTGGACATAGGAGCCCGACTCAGGAGTCGCCGCCTCCTCAGGTCTCAACTTCTGGGGCCTGGGAGGTGGTGGGGGAGGCGCCTGCGCCGGCGGCCCTTGCGCGGGAGCACGGTAGTAGTCTTCATCCCACTCAGAGGCATTGATGTTGGTGCGGACCGGCTCCTGTCGTTGGGTTTGCATGGGGGTGGGGTGCCCTGCGTATGTGTAGTTCCCGTTGGTCGGAGTCTCGGGCTGGGGTGTTGCGGAGGGCCGCTCGCGTTCATCGCGAGAACGGGTTGGGCGGTGGGCTGGCGCGCTTGGTGCCGGAGTAGGCGCCGGAGCGGGAGCGGAATTGTTGACCGGTTTACGTGTTGTCTGACGAGGCTTCTCCTCGTCTTCGTCCGAGGTGTTTTCCTCTAGATCGCGGTCTTCATCGGCATACTGCGATACAGTTAGCATCATTGGTACTTCATATGGAATCACATGCAGACTCACCATCCTCAATTCTTTCCTCATTGCGAGGTTGGCGCAGATATCACGGGCCTCCTCAATCGCCACCTTTTGCTTCTTCAGTGTCATCCTGCGATCTCTAGTCTCCTTGTTCTCAGCCGCAATCGCCTCGACAGTCTCGTTCTGCATGCCCAGAATCTCAACAGAGTTGAAGATGCCGTACATGCCTTGCAGCAAGTGCCGCTCCACGACCTGGGTGATGGTGTTCCGGATAAATGTCTTGGCCGCAAGTTCGTAGAAGATCAACATCTTTTCGCAGACCTCTTGGGCTTCGGTGTACGTGCCGCCTTCTTTGGTAACTTCAAGGTGCCACTTGCGCAGACGCTCCTCATACTCTGGGTCGTACGGCTGGATCTCAAGGTTCATATCTTGGGTTAGCCTTTCGAGCTCCTCCTGCGCGTCTGCCATGAGCTTCTTGATCTGCGGATCGAGAAACTGGTACCGAAGCGGCTCGCGCATGCGCTGGGGCCAGGCGAAATCAATAACTTCGGCGAGGAACTCGTTACACACCACACCCAGGTTGTCTTTGTGCTCTTGCGCCAACCTGGGCCAGTTCTCAGAATAGCTCTGGAAGAGCATGTAGACAGCCCGTGGCTTGGGGTCCATGGGAAATTCTGAACCTCTGATCTGGCGAAGAAGCATCTCGACTTCCTTGGCGACGAACTCGCGCTTGCCACTGTCGGTGATGGCTACGCCTTCCGGAGACCGCGGGTCGGTGGATGAAGCAAAGCCGAACTTACGTCCATTCTGGCGGATGCGCTGCGAAAACTTTTCATTCTCCTCAATGGCGCGCGCGCGCAAGTTTTGGGCTGGCGTGCCGCGAGGATCGGCGGTTGCGCGGAAAAAGTTCTTGCGTGGGGGGTTCTTGTAGAAACCGTACACGGCGGGGATGACCAATTCCTTGGATGAAGAAAAGAGCTCGACGAGTTCGATGCGCATTTCTTCGACTGTGTCTTTGCCTGTTCCCATGGACTTTAGCTCCGAGTCGCAGTCATCAAGGGCCTTCTGGATTTGTTTGCGCAGCGTCTTGACGTGACGACCAATATGCCGTTGAAGTTGGACGGAAAGCTTTTGCTTTAATGCGTTGGCACCGCACATCGTTCCGGGCAAGGCGCGCCATTTTCCACGGCCAAAGAATTCTTCTTCGCGCTGTCTGCGCTCACGAGCTGATGGCCACGGCTGACCCTGGTCTCGTGGGCCAGGGTTGAGGAGAACGTACCAGCCGAGCTTGAAGTAGTTTTGCTTGTCCCTGTTCTGGACGAGCTCGATGAACTTGTCCTCCAGGCCGATGGACTCGCAAAGATCGGGCTTCGTGAGGACTCCGATCGTTCGGCTGCCGGAGGGGTCGAAGTGGCGTGCCTTCGTGAGAATGGGCGCCTGCACGTAATCGGTGTTGCCACCAACGACGGCGAGGATGATGGTGCGCGAGCTCTTCATATAGCGATCACACAGGGATTCAATAGTCTTGATATCGTCCATTGATTGATCGTTGTTGGCGTTCTTGACCAATCCCGGAAGATCAACGAGGGTGAGTAGTGGCATATCCGGGCCGCGCTTCTCGACGACAAGAATGTCACGGGCGGCAAACCTGCCGGGGATGTTCTTGGGCGCAATCAATTCCACAGCCGATCTCATCAACGATTCAAACGACATATCGGTGTCAACGGCGCCGCCGAACTGCTTCAGTCGCTCCTGCTCTCTAAAAGGCCTGTTCTTGTCGGGAATGATGGAGACATTGAGGGTGGCCTCGTTAGATCTCCTGAGACGAATCTCGGTCGCGAAGCGTGTGCAGGCGCCAGCATCGCGAGGAAATGGGGTGCCAGTGATGGCTTCGAGCACGGAGCTCTTGCCTGCTGATTGATCGCCAACTACGACGATTTGGGGCAGTTTGACATTGTCCAGCTGGGCGAACTGTAGCTTGTCGATGAGCTCGAGGAGGCCGCGCTGCTCGTTGGCCATGTCCGCCGTCCCCAGCGCCGAGTCGATGGTCGGAGCCATGTCGCCTTCGGGTCTGAGTGAGACGTTAGCTTCTGAGCGATAGTCACGGCCGGCTGCAGGAGTCTCGTACAATGATCCCATAACAGTCATGCAGTTTTGTTGGGTATATCGCAAGAGTACTGGATATGCGTCGAAGTTCGATTTTCAGGACAGATCCACCAAAATTTGACAATAAAACAGGGACAGCGAGCCTTTTAAAAGATCTGAACCCTTTTATGTACGTCTGCCTAGGATAAGCTTATGTGGAATTACGCAGCCCAGAGAAAAGTGACCGGGCCGAACATCACATGCGCGGCCTTATGGCTGCGCACAAATCCAATGGCTATGAACGGGTGCCTGGATCTAGCCTCTAAGTCGTCGCAAAGACTGGCGTCGTCAGCTCCCGTGACTGGCCAGTGGCCAACAGAGCAGACGTGGAGAAACGCAAAGCTTCGCCAGCCGCGTTGCCACCAGGGATTATGCAAGAATTAGCATCCCATATTCATGGATGCTGCTTGGCTTGAGGCAGCCGTCCGGTGCACAAGTTAGCCCGGGGCTGCAAGTTTGGACCCTTTTGCATGCAGCAAGGTGCCGTCATTTGTGTCTGTCACTCGGCAGAGGCCAAACAAATCCGAGACTGTTCGAACTGTCCGGGGGGAAACAATCGACAACAAGGCGAGCCCGAAGCTTCATCCATGTTGCTCAAAAGTAAAAGCCACAAAGTTGGAGATCAAACGAGATGATGTCGGGCGAATGACGTCGCTTCTCGGCGTTGCACAGCCCCATTCTCTGGCTGTCATGGTTGCCGCAGCACCGCCGCTCCCCAGTAGCTCTAGTTTTTCGTGGGGCGGTTTATTGGATCTGTTTGATTTGAGGATACTTTTTTCAGACAGGGAGAAGAAAGTCGTGGTCTCTAGAACTGTGCATTTCCATTCTCTTGTGCAGCTCGTGACTATATTTTGTATGATTTGGGCTGGTCAGCATCTTAACTTGACATTCTCTCAGCGTTTCCTTTTGGCGAGTAACGAAAGATACTGCCTGAATATGCTCGCATGATGAAGCGTACGCGTCGGAGGCCGCATGTCGCCCAATCAATCCTTGGGCAAATCCGTCTGAGGGATGTGTGCTGGGCGAGTAATTGAACGCCAAGATGGTATTTGAGCCGTCTTTGCCACTTTGGAAAGGTGGAAGATCAATTGTGGGGGCGAAACGGCATTCGAGGATGGTTGTGGCGGTGCAAAGTGTGGCATTCTGGACTGTTCGAAAACTGTGGCTTGTGACTATCAAATTGTGGCTGGTACTGAAGCTGGATGTGGCGAATTTACTTGCACGATGGCTCAAGCTCACCATTCCTCTAACACCAACCGTGCAGCTTCATCGGCGTCAACGATATCATCCATCGCAACTTAACAAATGAGCTTCGTCGACCGTGCATCTGTCTTGAAACTTTTTCATCCCAAAACCATTGACATCATGCCCGTCTCTAGCCCGGACTCTCAACCAAGCCCACCGCCTAATACCTAAACTCTTGCCCAACAAGCTTCTCGCTCAACCGCCACAACATATCCGCATCGACTGTGCTCCGCGCCCACGGGTACACCTCCTCTTGATACGGGTCCGCAACATGGCAATCAGTAACATACTCCCCGTTCTTTTCCTTCAAAGCCTGGTCGAACGCAGCATATACATGCGTAGCCACGCCCTGGTCTAGATCTTTGGGCTGGATATCCCCAAACCCCCAGAGGAACTTGGTCCCCATCACCACATCAACCTTTCGCAAGCTCTCCAGGAAGGCGGGGTAATCATGCGCCTCGTGTGCGCTGAGATTGGTCGAGACGAAGCCCGGACACAAGCTGAACGCCGACACCTTTCTGCCGAGCCTTTCCGCGAGCGCAATGGAAAAGAGGCTGTTTGCCGTCTTTGACTGTCCGTACGCCCTCCACTTCTCGTAGTTCTTGCCGTTGTCGAAGTTGTAGTCCGTCCAGCGCATGTGGCCTAGTCGATGTCCGCCGCTGCTAACGTTTATAATGCGCGGGTCTGCAGAGGCGAGAATCTTGGGCATGAGGAGGTTGGTGAAGAGAAAGTGGCTGAGGTGGTTCGTCTGGAACTGGCTTTCGTTGCCGTCTTCGGTGAGTTTGTAGGGGACAGCCATGATTCCCGCGTTGTTGACCAGCAGGTCGATGCGAGGGACGTCGGCCCATGAGTTTACAGAAGATGCGGCATTGCGGACTTGCGCGAACGAGGTGAGGTCTAGGGCGAGGGGCTTGACATTGATGTCTGGGTGGTTGGCCGTAAGTTCGTCAATGAGAGGTTGGAATTTGGCAGGGTTGCGGCCGGCAAGGATGAATGTTGCAGGTTTGCCGGCAGCCACTTGCTTTACGAAGCTTTCACCGAGACTCCCCGGGGACACGCCCGTAACGAGAATGATTTTGTTGGTGATGTGAGGAGCGTACAGGGGGACGAGCTCGCTTGCCCTTGTGTTGCTGTCGTAAGATGGTGCCATTTTAAGTCGCGATTGGGTTTGCTGGAAGAGGCGTTCTTTGCAGATGTCTCAATTATTTCGAAAGGGGAGTAGGTTAAAGATGATTCTGAATTGAAAGCTTCTTTTCATCACAGAAGAAGCTTACGATGATTCTTATATCCTATGAGCACCTTCTCGTCTCTAGCATCTGGACTATGAAGTGTCATGGATGCAATTGCTCAACAACTTGGGTCCGGCAATGAAATCCCCCGAGCCTTAGCAATCATTATAAGCAACAATCATCAACGGCCTGTCCAATGAACCGATACCTCTGAAGGCGGCTAGCCTCCGCCTAGGAAAATACGGAGATAACGGTTGTAAGCCTTCATTCAACCGCTCTGCCAATCGCTCGGTCTTAAGCGTCACAAAGCACGATGCAAATACTGGGATTAAAAAAGAACTTTGGTTTATAGAGCCCCTACGTTGTACCCAAAATGCCCCGCAAACGCCCAAAATCACCACGTTACCCGCTACACTGCGTCCACCGTTTCCCACGAATCATGATCCAGCGCCAGACCAAGACCTCCATATCCCAGAGCGCCCGCCAACGACTCATAACACCTCCCCATTCTGAAGCAAACGTCTGAAACCCATCCTGTAAGAACATTGTCGATGATGCCTGGGCGTTGAGCTGCGTTTACTTCCTCCGGCCCTGTCCGCTGCCCCTTGTCGCGCCGGTGCTGCTTGGGGCCGTGCCCCGTGCGTCCGCCCCACTACCGGAAGTTGGGGACGGCCGGTAAGCGGCGATGTTGTGGTACGGCGCCGATGCTTCCGACTCGGAGAACCAGTAGTTAAGCATGGCGGAGCCTCCGGCTTGTTGGTATGTAAATTGTGTCGGCGCTTGGCCCTGGTGTTGACGCGGAACGTAGGTGTATTGAGCGCCTTGGTCTTGGGATTGGTTGGAGGACATTGTTGCGAGGGGAAGCTTGTTGAGGCAAGTGAATGAGTTGACTAGTATTCCTGTAATTGATGATACTTATGATTCTGATGGACGAACAGAAAAACTTGCATCGAGGGAAACTTCAGCAACTTATACTTTCATTTCGACTCCTCATTCTCGAGCGGTTGGCTGTAAAAGTGCCATCAGACCTCTCATAATCCTCTAGTGAGGATTTCACTCCTCAACAGCGAGGAGCTTGACGGTGGGGTCCTTTTGCCATCTCGCGCCTCACTACGTTGCCAAGAGGTGAAATCCTAAAAAAAAAAAAAAAAAAAAAAAAAAAAAAAACCGCCATATCGAAGTTGCCTGACTATGCGTGCCGACAAAAAGACCCGGTAGTTAGTTGAATTTCACCTCTGACGGGGCGGACTGAGATGTGGTTCACGCGGGCAAAAAAATGGTTCAAGTGAGGAAAACAAAAAAAACCCAGCATGTCGAAAAACACAAGAGTCCCGCCTCTACGGGATTGCTACGAACTACTGCAGGCACGGTAGTCACAGATTGCGAGTTGCCGACTGTTCGATGGGAAAGGGGACAACTCGTCGGCGCGTACTCCGTAGGGAACAAAAGGACCGCGCTGGGGGGTTGGTGGGGTGCTGCGACCAGCTGCGAAAAGTTGACCCGATTACCACAGTTCGCGCATCAGCGCAGGTTTGGCCTGGACAGCAGCTCCCTCCCCCCAGCGTGTCCTTCTGGCATTGCCCACAGGCGCGTGGGTGTGTCTCTTTGCTGAGAACGCCTCGCTTATGCAAAGGCTTTTTGAATAGAGAGTGATGATTGGTTGCCTCATTGCAGCCCTCAGGGGGGATGAGAACACTGAAATGAGGAATGAAGAGCTGGAAAGCCTGAGACAGGTCACTGAGTAGCTTGTCAAAAAGACCGCGCTGACTTAACCTGGTATTGCGCCCTGGCTCTGATGGAGGGCTTTTAGGATCTGGTGCTACAAATTGCCATCCCTTGCCCAGACCATACGTCATCAACGCAAAAGGACCGGACATTTTTGCCCAGGAGTACTCATGCCCTAAAGGCCACTGAAGCTTCGGCAAACGGTTGAGGCTTTTGATCTAGCTATTTTGTTCCAGGTCCATTAGGCACCCACAGCCACAAGCAAAGACTGTAGAGAGTATTGCATAGGTCAAGGAATCTGTGGAACTGGCCTGTCAAAGAGCTGCCATGGGTACAATTTGGATCAACTTGATCAATCAAGTGCAACAGAATATGGTATCCAGGACTGAGAACCACTGCCTAGCTTTGGACACAATATATCCAATACAGAGAGCGATCAACTCCCTTGAAGCACGCACACGATGGAAGAGCAGCATGTGGGGTGGAGAGAGTCTCCGGGTATCTATTATTCTGCAAACTGTAGGTAACCTCCCAATTTCGGAAGGTCAACAGCACCGACCTATCGAACAAACAAATGCTCCAAATATCGTTATCCCTGATACAGTCGATCACGTTTCAAGAGTTGAGAAATCAACTCCGCTCCCAACCAACTGTTCTGAACACCTCTCCAATCGCACCGGTAATGGTATCGACTATAGACTTGACGAAGCCCTGGCGCTTGTTCTTGCCGGAAGAGTCTCGCAGGGGGTCCTCGCTTCCCATCGTGGGGAGAACGTTGTCACTAGCGGACAAGCTCACGAAAAGTGCAAAGGGAACCATCCAAACGCAGATACCAAAGTAGGAAGCTATCTCTGTAAAGGTGGGGATGTCGGGTTGCTCGTAGTACGAATGCATGTTGGAATAAGATTGTTGCTGGGCGGCGGAGAAGTGGCGGAACCAGAGGTAATGGTTTACTAGCACCAGTACTGTGGCTCCCTGTTAGCTTGACAATTCTTCGTATAGCTACTAATAGCCTCATTCACGTAAAGGACATACTGCAGGATGCCAGAAACAGAGGGTCAGTCAGCCTGACAAAGGGGAACCGGCGCATGTTGCCGAGGTATACGACGTGGGAGACGATGCCCATGAGGGTCAATTTGAAAGGGAACCGGTCGACGACACATAGCAGGAGCTGTAGGACAATAATCGAGTAGATGAGCTTCGTCAGTAAACGCTTCGCAAGCACGGTATGTTCTTCGACGAGTTCTGAAAGGTAGTATAGACCCGAAGCTGGAGGCACATAAGGTGTCAGTAAACTACCTAGGGAGACCTGGGATAGGTGCTAGGAGATGATGACGAACCGATTGCCAGGGTTAAGAAGCAGAAGCCCACGATGGAGCCAAGGTATCCGACGAGGGGTAAAATCCACATGTTGACGACTATTTGTGTCTTCTTCTTAAGAACGTAATCGTACAGTTTGGCATGGAAGAGAAAGAAAATTGAAAGAGCGTGAAAAAGTTGGTGGTGGTGGTGGGCAACAGCTGCTGAGCTTCAGAAGCAATACATGGTGTAATTAAAGCCAAGCACATGCACGGGACGGGAGGCGCGTCGGGGGGCGGGACACATTGAGTGGGTTCTATTTCGCAAGCGTGGCCTTTGCGCCGGAGACTCGGAGCATGTCTTGATCCGGGGAGCGGAACAGCCAGAGAATGACATAAGCGTCGTCTCTCACAGGCTGTCAGTTAGGGAACCCCACCACTACAAAGATGCTTATCGTTATCGATAACTATCCGCACCCCCCAGCTGCGAATTTTTGAAGATTCCCACGACACAAAAATTCACCGCCCAATTCTCGATGCGCCGACGTGACGACCAAGTCCTCTGAACGCAAAGGAGCTCTTCATCCCCCTTCACCAGTTTCGAGATTCAATCTTCTCTCTGAAATCGCCCATCATGTCGCGTCCTGAGGATACCCTGTAAGCCAATCAGTCAGACCCCTCTAACCCCGCCATCCTGGACTAACCCTTCCGCCCTCCTCCTTCAGCGCGGCCGACATCCACTACAATGACTCCGAAGCCCGCAAGTACACGACGAGCTCGCGTATCCAGAACATTCAAGCCTCAATGACCCGTCGTGCTCTTGAGCTCCTCGATCTGAAGCATCCTTCCTTTATTCTCGACGTTGGCTGTGGCAGTGGTCTATCTGGAGAGATTCTCTCCGCCGAGGGCGAGGAGGATGGCGGCCCGCACACCTGGGTCGGCATGGACATCTCTCCCTCCATGCTTGACATTGCTCTCCAAAGAGACGTCGAGGGTGATCTTCTGCTTGCCGACATTGGCCAGGGAGTACCCTTCCGTGCGGGTTCTTTCGACGCCGCCATCAGCATCTCCGCGATCCAATGGCTCTGCAACGCCGAGAGCAGCGACACATCCCCCGAAGGTCGTCTGACTCGTTTCTTCAACGGTTTGTATGCTTCATTACGCCGCGGCGGCAGGGCTGTATGCCAATTTTACCCCAAGAACGACACACAGCGCAACATGATCACCCAGGCCGCTGTCAAGGCCGGCTTCGGAGCCGGTCTTTTGGAGGACGACCCCGAAACAAAGAACGTGAAGCTTTACCTGGTTCTGACTGTCGGTGGCACCGCTGAGGGCGGTAAGGGTGGCGACATCACCAACGTCGTCGACGGCATGGACAATGTTAACGTCGAGGATGCGAGACGAAAGGCCAGCGATCAGAGCGGAAAGGGGGAGATTAAGAAGGGCAGCAAGGCGTGGATCGTCAAGAAGAAGGAGCAGATGGAGAGGAAGGGCAAGGTTGTCAAGGCTACCTCAAAGTACACTGGACGCAAGCGGAGAATCGCCTTCTAGGAGGCTACTGGGGTGTGGTTTCTTGCGGGCGACGCATGGCATGGCGTTTTGGGCTATAGGAAAATTTGCTTTTTTAAAGATTGAATGCGAATCAGATACCCTCGGTCAAACACTTGGGAGGTCATATACCATGGCTTTTGGTGCTCCTGCTGTCACTCTTGCGCAGACTTTTACAAACTGTCGTTGGGTATTGTAGCAGCCTACTATGAGCCATTCTCTAGAATGAGGTCAAGCTTGACGCCACCCTTCAGTTCCGAGCCACCTACACTTTGACTTTTCCGCGTAAGCTACACTGGCCCAACTCTGACTTTCCTCTCAGGTTTTGCCTCGACAGATCCTTGCTTCACGTTTCCTTCTTCCTCCCCTACTCTCCTTTTCCCTGTTGATTCCTCACATCCCAACCCTAGGCTCCAATATGGAGGACGATCAGAGTGAATTGTCATCCGCTATAACCGATCCAAACCGCTACTCTGACCTTTGGGAGCTGACCGATAAGATTATGAAATCGTATAAACCAGTTGAATTGTCGGACAATACCTGCGTGATAATCCGATCCTTCCGGCAAATTCTCTCGAAAGACGGAGCGATCGCCCTAATGACCGATATCAAGACTATCGGCGGAGATCAGCCAAAGCTCAGGTCATTCTCACGCCACTTGATTGACAATATCCTTAAGCCAAGTTTGTATTGATTCTATCTAGATCCGAATCAAACGCTGATAGAGATCTACTCTGCAGTGAAGCTTGCGAGTGTCCTTAGGTCTATCATATTGACACCCTCGTTACTTGACCCAGATGCTGCCATCTCCATTGCACAGTCGGCCAATATACAGTCGTCGGACAGCAGTCGACAGCAATACCTCAAAGAAGACTGCCTGAAGCGGGACGGATTCCGCTGTGCGTACAGTCATGTTATTGATCTCGATAGTGCAAGGAAGGGTCTTGTTGTACCGCCTGTTGGCATGGCTGTCAGTCCTACCCAACTCTTACATATATTGCCGTTAGCGCTTAAACAGTTTTGCACCACCCGTCGACGTGAGGGAGAGGCGGTAAATACTGCTTGGTATTCTTTGTACCGATACTTCCCTGGATTAAAGGGCAAAATTGGCCCGGAAAGTCTGGACCAGCACCGGAATCTCATCACTGTTGAGAGAAGCGTTCATGACAACTTCGACAGCCATGTGCTAGCTTTCAAACCCATCTCTGGTCGGGTAAGTCATTCTTGCAGCTACTTTAGCTCTGTTTTTAGTTGTTTCACTCCTTATTTGTTTCCAATGCAGTCTAGCAAGTACGAAATCGTAAACCTTCTGGGGTGGCCCCTCTTGAACAACGCCCCGGAGGGTCATCAAGAAGTTATGACACTGACTTCCTGGGATGACAAATTTCCTCTCCCCGAGCCGGAGTTTTTCAGAGCACACTATCAGATCGCAAAAATTCTCGACGCAAGTGGGATTGGGGCGGATCTTCAAGCGGAGATGGAAGCGGAAATGGAAGGTTTTCGGAATGACCCCGAAAACCTGAATCCTGATGGCTCGACTGACGTGGTATCAATCCTTTGTCGCAAATTTATGATGAATGTGTAGACGTTAGACCCCAGCGGCTGGATATCTAGGTGTAAAGTGATAGCATCTCTTCCCGTGTATGTGGCGCGATCCTGCCAGACAGTTGAAGGTTTCACAGGTGCCATACGGGTAAGAAAAAATCATTACACTCTAATAATCATGAAATGTTTAAGCACGGTAGAAATAGCTGTTTCGAAGTGAAAGTGGGAGATGTGGTCTCCTAGCCCGCCACGTATGGAATGGTGGAAGTGATGCCTTCTAGCCACATGTGTAGGGCGTTTGGCTGAGTGGCAGGCGGTTCCGCGCCTAGTAGGCTTTCACTTGTCGCTTGCTCAAGTAGACGTCGACTCTCATGTCCATTTTTGAATTCGAGATCTCTCACATGAGGGATATTATTTAACTTTTCTCTCATATTTTTATATTCTGGTATGGTTAGCGCTCATGAATGAGCAATCTCGAATGTGTTTATAATGAGTCTACGAGAATTGTCGATAACTTTGAGAGTCAAGTAGAACAGCTTATTGGATGTATGTGATGGCGGACATGTTACAAGGAAGAAAAGAGAAAGACTAACGTGTTTACACCGGCCTCGCCTTAGGGCCAAGGTCTGCAAAGATGGCCCTGCAAATCTGACCAACTTCGGGTGGCATTTCCAAAAGATATATGTAAGCTACTAATATGGAAAATGAGCCGAATCCAACGACTTTGAATGAAATCGAGATGACTGCCAGCTGCAGCAGCATGTGCTTTTGACCGAGAACCATGCATGAACCGACCGTTAAGGAACAAAAGCCGCTAAAACTAATCTAGCGATCAAATGTGATTACAGTGCTGGGTTCTTCCCCAAGACACACTCTTTGTACCCTTCCCAGTGGCTCGGCAACCCCTCCAAGTTGTCAGTGACAAGCTGTCACGTCACTAAATACTTCCCAAGATGGTAACGAGCTCGTGGGGTGGGCCTGAAGCCGAGGCGCTGGATGGTTTGGCAAAAGCTCTCTACAAACAGCAAGTGTATCGCGCTCGGGGCTGTATCTGCACAGGTGACAGCCAACTGTTTCCCCCCCCCCACGGGGAACAATATAAGGTGCTGACAGTGCATCTCAACCCCCCGCAGATCTGAACGTATGCCTGTTCATCCTTCATGATCTCAAGATACTCATATTTCATGTTTGGCTTGTCAGTCAATTGAATGTTATTGCCTTGGTAAATTACAGCGTTCTTCGATACCCATCATTATATAAATTTTCCAATTAATCGTACTATATTCTACCTATCCTGCATCGCATTCCACACTGTCTTTCACTCTTCATCTCAAAAATGACGATACACGATTACACCCACGTTCCACCACCATGGAAGCTCAAGGGCGACGTGTACCTTTTCAGCTTCTGGACGCCCAGAAAACAAGCAGAACATCCCCCGACCATCACATACTCTCCCCTTGAGGCGAATTCGCCATTTATCGCCCCGGAAGGAAGCAGACCATTGGGCGGGATTAGCATGATCCAAATCATACGCTACACCGAGAGCCCAGTAGGACCATATGACGAGTTGATATTGAGCCCCGGCTTCCACGAGTATACTGTCGAAGAGAACGGCAAACGAGTAAAGAAGAAGAATGCAAGAATCACAAGAATATACGTATCTCAGCAATACACCTGCTGGAATGGCCGTAAGAGTAAGTTGTAACTTCATTTCATACACATGCATGTCAATTGACCAAAGTACCAGATTGGAACATCCCAAAGCACCTTGCCGCCTTCGAATGGAAAGAGAACCCAGATGGCAGCACCAATGTCAAAGTCTTCCCACACGATACCAGCGGCGACGTAAAAGAGGCTTCGGCCAGCCATGAGCCATTCTTCCAAGCCACCTTCAAGCCCATTCCCTACGTTCCTTCTTTCCCTCTGTCTCTTAACCTGCTTTCGCGCGTTGGCATCCACGCTACTCTTGTCCAGCCTCCTTTGCCAGAAGGAAACGGAAGCCAAGGCGAGCTGCCAGGAACCGACCGCTGGTGCAGCATTGAGCCGGGACAGAGCACGAGGAAGGCGAGTTTGGGGTGGTTCGACATTGGGCAAAGGGACGAAAAGGGCAATATCGTCGGTGAGCATGAGAACTTTTGGCCTGGGTTGGGCCGGTGGCAGCTGGGTATCAAGATGGAGAACTCGGACGTCACATTCGGAGTACCAAAGTATTGGGATGCGCCCAAGTCTGTGCTATGATGTATAGCAGCATTTCTACTCGTCATCATACACATAAGGTTTGTGCTCTCCTCAACTCGGTTAATAACTGCTGTATAATAGCTACTCGATGAGCATAAATGGCATCGGCTGAAGCAGACAATGTTTCCATGAATTGGCTACCCCCGCTTTCACTGATAAGCGGTTTCCAGCCGATATATATCAACTGATCTTTGATAAGTCGAATTTCTGAAGCAGTTTTCTGATACTGGGGCGTCGGCATAGCCTCCTTCAATTAAGACAGAGCATAGGTGGTGCCAAATGCTAAAATTGAGAGAATCTCCAGGGAAAGGAAACTAGTCAGATATGCATACACAGCCATCAAACACACTACAGATGTCATTAATCATGATTTCATTCAATGCCAAACTATCTGAACGCCTTAATGAACATTTGACCTATGCCCTGACTCTCTCCTGGCCAATCTTGGCAGCGTGCTCCAGACCGCTCACAACCTCATTGGGAACAGACAAGAATGGGGAGTGGGATGCCTTTGTCGTGTAAGTGAAGCCGTTGGGGCCAAGGAGGGTGGCCATGTTCTGCTGAATGGCATGAGGAATCGCCTTGTCATCTTCACAGAAGAAGTACATGGAGTCGATGGTGTGCCACGGCTCGTGCGTGACGACATCAGAGAAGACGGGAGAAGACTGGTGCTGCAGCTCCTCGATGGACTTCTTCTGGATATCAGGGTGGACGTCATGGTAGAAGATCTCCTCGGGAGTGAGGGCGAAAACACGGCCGTCATCCTGCGCCGATTAATAACTTGCACATACATCTCCATTCCACTCGTCGATTCATGCTTACCTCAAACTTCATCCACGGCAGGAACTGGCCACCAAGCATCTCCTTGATGCTCTTGCCGAGCGGCACGACGAATGCGGTGAGGTATACAAAGGTGATGACACCGCCCTTCTTGCCCTCCTTGGCACGATCCTTGAAGCCCAAGCCCTCAACAGCATTGGCGCCGACGAGACCACCGTAAGAGTGGACGACGAGAACAATCTCCTTGCCCTCATCGGCAAGTCTCTGAAGAACGGCCCTGACGGCAGCGGCGTCGTCAGCGAGACCCTTGGTAGCGGGCACGGCGCCGACAGAGGGGTACTCGACAGCCTCGACGTCGTATCCCTTGGCGTTGAGGATCTGCTGGACGGGAGAGTAGCAGGTCTCCTTGTGCCACGCACCAGGCGCGAGGACGAAAGTAGGCTTAGCAGAAGACATGATTGGGCGTATTCAGGGAGTGTTGGAGATAGGAGATAGGAGAATTTGGTTCGGTAGGAGAATTTCAGAAGCTTGTCAACATCGATTCGCAGAGCGGCGAAGCAGTCTAGATCTTAAGTACCACCAAACAAACAAACACCCGCCATGCAAGCCCTGTTTCCTCCCCCCCCCTCCTCTCTGTATCCGTAACCCTGCGGCCCAGATCATCCTTGCCTGATATGCCTCCTTAACAGCCAGCTCGGAAGTCGGAAAACCCTAGAGCAGTCCACCAACGTACGGCAATTGCAACCGTCTCTCGCGACATCGCGGCCGTCTGTGGGTCCCGGCGACTCATGAGCTCGCATCCGTTGCGGAGCATTTTCTTCAACGGGGACGTTTCCCAACGGGGCACATCATCCAGTAATGGGCCGAATAGGCGCTAATAAGGGGTCCTGTCAAGGGGAACGTGCGCAATTTTTCAAGGGTCAAGGTAGGGGGGGTGGTAGGATTCCCGATCATACTGTCGTCTGTCGTCCGTTCGTCAATCGTTTTCCCTTGAAGATTTCCCCCTGGGACAAAGTCGCAATGATGTGGTCCTTTTTTTTCCTTTTGAGGACGTCTTTTGCGTTGTTTAGGGATCTGTCCACGTGTCAAATGCATGGCTTCACGCAGGGCTGTAGGGAATATGTCCCGGTTTAATACCAAGATGTTGCGGTACCAGAATGGCGGGAGCTTATAGCTACTATTCCTTACATTTATCCATCACCGCCAGTGTTGTCTGCATTCACTACTTGCATAGAATGATCTTCTACTTAGGGGGAACTGCTTATGCAGTACACTGATCAATGCAGACACTGGAAAAGAGATACTTGACCCCGGCGAGCGACCACCGAAAAGTGGGAGCGCAGCTATCGTGTAGGAATTCATGGTGGACACCACCCCGCAACAAGACAGGATGGTTTCTCACCGCTGGAAGGGCGATCAGAGACCGCAGTCCCAAGTCAAACTCAAACAAACGGTTTCGTCCCTGGATTGCCCTTCGTTGAAAAGTTTTGTTTGCCGAATGGCTTTTGTCTCATCAAGCAGTGATCGTCCATCGAGTTCTTGTATGAACTAGCTGGTGGGTTGGGCCCTCCTCAACAAGCGAAACAGGCGTAAAGTGTGGGCTCACATATGCGGCATAGCGTTGTGCTCGTGTATCATGATGTCTGTGAATCTATGCTTACAGAATATCGCTGTTGCTTGAGCATTGAGACTGAGTAGGTAGTCACTTTCTAAAGCCCCAGTAAGAACGCCCAACTCGGCATCGGCTGGGAAGCAAACTCCCGAAGATAGTGTGGACCGGCGGTAGGTAGCCCCTGTTCTATGTTTCGGCGACCCTCAGTGAGCCCTGCTTAGCCTATTACCCTCGCAAGGGCTCGTCTCAGCGATTCTTATCCCAGTGACAGCTCATCTATCACCGACACAAGAGCCTCACTTTTGTTATGCTCTGCTGATCTTGTATCCACGAACTATCTCTGCATAGGCAGCCTGACCTGCCTGTCACGACATTTCAAAAGTTTAAGTCTATGTTCTGTGAGAATTGTGGTTTTCATGATTAACGTGATACTTATTTCAGCTAGTACTCAAATATAGCGAATTGGTGTGATTTTGATTCATGACCGTAGTTTCGATCGATGCAATGGATGGTGCCTTTGTATTGATACGCTATGGCCATTTTCAAACCCAGGTAGCTTATATTATTTGACCACATGGTATTTATAAGTTGTTCTTCAGCCGTGTTACGTTTCTTAAACTATGGGAGCAGGTCGGCTGTATGGACTTGCACCTTGCTTGATTCCATTGGTAATGGTTCTAATCTCAGTCCTTCAACAAAAGAAGAAAAGGGACTTGGAATTATGAACAACAGGAACAAAAGTAATGAGTAAGTATCCGGCTAAGCCGCGGTTACTTTCATAGTGCAAAAGGACGACGTTGAAAGCGTTTGTTGGCGAACTTGTGTTATTTGGGCTTGTTTATTTATATATAGCAAGGTAAGATGAGGTCGTCGCAGTATGGGATCAGGTCAGAACAACTATGAATATTATGTTTTCTTTCTGTAAATCACTAACCTCATACGACTATAACTACGATATCTCTACGTGCAATGAAATGTATTTTTCACATTATCGAAACCGTATTCGTCAACTATCTTGAGTTACACTCTCAGTACTCTGGCAGTGACCTGAGCTCTAGACTCGCGTTTGCTTACTAAGCATAATAGAAACTGCAAAACACACCTGAAGCGTGACACAGATATGAGGATTTTAGCTCTAGTTTTCGTTTCTCTTTTTCCTTTTGGCTCACTAAAATAAAAGATGCTGACTATCAGTGAAATTCACTGCAACCCATATAGCGCACCCAGCAGAAAGCTTACACCAGTAACTCCAGGGGCACGTCATCAAACGCGCCAAGGGTAGATGACTCAAAAACCTACAAGAACGACCAAATCCAACCAACAGATATTAGATTGGAAGTGTGATGTCAGAATATACCCAATTGATTATACTGCGCATTGTAATGTTTCAGCCTTAACTGAAACATCACAACAACAACCCAATTCCACGACATAAACGAGTGATAGCCTACGCAGCAGTGGCAGTCTCACCGTATCACGACTTGGCTTGCATCCCCCGCATGATTAGCTCATGCTAAGTACTGTATCATTGTTGAGATCAGCAAATGGGCTGCCGCCACATCCAGATGACATGCAGCAGCCGGCCTACGGCTCACTCTTTGCGGCTAGCTCAGTCCCAACGGTCTGAGGCTGAAAAGTACCAACGGAAGCGTGCGCGTAAGGCTTAGGCAGCAGATGGCGGTTCTTTCTGCCTGAAGCAGCAGGTGGCCTCATACTGAAAATTGAAAAATCATCTTAAGAACAAGGCTGGCCTGAAGGTCCGTAACGCTCACAGAGTCTGGCTGCCTGTTCTCGCCGGTTTATACTTTGGTGAATTCATTCTACATCACGGCAATGCGCTGACATCAACCATGAGCGACGTTCTCAAGTTTGCAAAGGCTTCATTCCTTTCGGGAGCCACCGACGCGACATCGCAAGGGCTCAGCGATCTTCTTGAACGCAGCGCACCAGGCTTTTCAGCTTTACAAAAGTTCTTCTCCAGATGGTTTAGGCTTGATTTGACGACAATCGTCCTTCTGATCTCTTTCAGCGGTGACATTCCCAATGCTCTAAACGGCATCCAGAAGTTGTGGACTCAAATCTACTGGTGGATCACGCGCTTCTTCACAGCTTCTATATCCATAGCGAGCAATGACAAGCTCAACAGAGAGGTTCTGAACTGGCTTGGGGCGCATGTCCTCACTCGCCAAGGCACTCGTGTGCTTACGGCTAAGACCGAGATCATTCAAAATGACGCCTGGTATTACCGAAAGCCGATTGAACGCGACGATCTTCATCACGAGAAGCGAGTTCCGGTCCAGTATTTGCCAACATTCGGCACCACCTGGTTCTACTACGAGGGCGGCTTCTTCATGATTCGCCGAATCCCCTTGCGGAGTCCCGGCGCCCATTTTGGTATCCCTGATGAGTACTCTGCCGCTCCCCAGGGCGATGAGCCACTCGTTGTAATGCGCCTCGGGCGGTCAATAAAGGCGATCAAAGAGTTCCTCGACAATTGCAGAAACTTTGCAGATAGACAGCGAGAGTCTTTCATCACCGTTCGGACAACCAAGAACCAATACGGCCAAGAGGCATGGGACACCACCATTCTGCGCCCGATCAGGCCATTGGAAACAGTCCACTTTGATGAGCAGACCAAAAAAGACCTGGTCAGCGACATCGAGACGTACTTGGACCCTGCAACAAGAAACTTCTACACGGAACGAGGCATTCCATACAGGAGAGGATTCCTTTTGTACGGCCCACCTGGTACCGGCAAGACATCTCTTTCCCTTGCTCTTGCGAGCTACTTCAACCTGGAGCTTTACTTAGTTCACATACCGAGCATTAGAGGCGACGGTGACTTGGAGAATCTTTTCACAGCGCTACCGCCCAAGTGCATTGTGCTCTTGGAGGATATCGATGCCGTGGGCATAGAGCGTCGTAAAAAGCTTGACATGGACATAGACTCTGGTGATGAATCTTCAAGCGACAGCAGCGAAAGAGATTTTGGTCGTTGCCAATGCACCTTGTCCGGCCTACTCAACGTCATGGATGGAGTCGCGTCACAGGAAGGTCGCATAGTATTGATGACATCGAATGTAGCCCATAAGCTTGACAAGGCGCTTGTCCGACCCGGTCGCATCGACCGGATGATATATCTGGGCAATATCTCACATCACAGCGCCAAGAGCATGTTTGAGCGGATGTATCGGCCACACACTTCAGGGGTGCCAACTCTCTCCAAGACGGAAGCTGATGCCACTTTGATGCAACATCAAGAGCAGGAGTTTGACAACTTGGCAGAAGACTTTAGCAAGCAGATACCAGACGATATCTTCACACCGGCGCAACTGCAAGGTTTTCTTCTAAAGTATCGAGGCACACCGAAAACTGCTGTCGAACGTATTGCAGAATGGGTTATTGAGGAAAAAGCCATTATGGATGAAGGACAGAGACGCAAGAAGGAGGAGGCCGCGAGAAAGGCCAGGAAGAAGAAGGCATTAAAATTGAAGGCGCTTAAAGCTCTCGCCTCCACAAACGATGCCGAGTCTTCCGATGAGGCCGCGGAGGTCGTGAAGGACAAGAATGTGCGCAAGTTACAGGCGAACACGAGCCCAACAGAAAAGACGGAGATGACGAATGGCGATAAACAACTGGGGACCACCGAGGTTCTCGATCCAGAGGAGATCACAGATACGAACGCATTGAACGGAGTTGAGGAGTCGCAGGCCGCATAGGGAACATGAGAATAGGCGATTGGTATAGCATTGCCAAACACGGCGTTTAGCTGCATAGTTCTGGAATCAACTGGCACTTGAACTTGGTCATGAAATGTCTAAGAGCGCAACTCCGCTGAAAATACGAGGGCATGTCGACTTATATTATGACACAACGGGCCTAGCGTCTTTTCGCCAAGCAGGCAACCGTTTAAGAAGCGAGCCGAAGCGGCACAGCAGGGGGGAATGTCTGTCTCGTCTCAGTAAGCCAGAACGTGTTGGCGAGATCACAACGTGTTTTGCTGGACATATTTTCCCCGTATCCATTAGTTTGTCGAACCCTTCATTGACATCATAGCTTGCTTCGCCTCCCTTTGCAAGCTGAAAGGTCTAACCGATGCTCTATTAACTAATCTATTTCTTCTACTCACCCACACTCGTTTTTCTCCGTAGCACCAAGTCGTTCGTTTCCAAGTCTTGGCAAATAGTTTAATTGCTTGCAATTTCTTCACAAACCAAAAAAACACTCTCGTTGTGTCATCCGACTTCAACATGGCCGCATCTCTCGTTTCGACCCTCTCGGGCGCCCTTCTTTTGTTTGGCAGTCTACCTGGGGCATCTGCTGAACTCAAGATCGGATCCCGTGACGAAATCGTCAAGTCTTCCGGCCAGATTGCTAAAGACTTGTTTACTGTCTACCAAGGCGACAAGCCTGGTGCGGTTCCTGGTCTTCTTCCCGGACCTCCAACCGATGGAAAAGGCGACTTTTACTGGATCCATGGCGCTAGCTTCTTTTCTACCTACCTCGACTACCAGCATTGGACCGGGGACGATTCCTATCAGGCCAGCATCATCAAGGCTCTGACGCATCAAGTTGGCCCTCGCAATGATTACTTACCTCCCAATATCACGGCAACGGTCGGAAACGACGACCAGTGCTTCTGGGGCTCGGCCGCGCTCCTCGCTGCGGAGTACCAGCTGCCAAAGGGAGATGGTATCCCGGCTTGGATTGACGTAGCGAAGAACGTATGGGAAACTCAGGCTTCGCCGGACCGTCACGATGACACCTGTGACGGCGGACTGCGCTGGCAGATTCCCCCTTCTAACAACGGTTACAACTGGAAGCAAAGTATAAAATCCCCAAACGAGGTCAAAAACAGGGGAAACGGTGCTAACTATATATCATAGCAACCTCTAACGGATGCTTTCTCAGCATGGGCGCTCGTCTTGCCAGGTTCACGGGCAATGCAACCTACGCTGAATACGCGGAGAAGACATGGGACTGGTTGAACACTGTCGGCTTCATCGACAACAAGACCTCTGCTGTTTACGACGGTGCTCACACAGAAACCAACTGCACCGACATCAGCAAGATTCAGTTCTCTGTGAACGCCGCAATCCTGACCGAGGGAGCCGCGTTCATGTACAACTTTGTAAGTCTCTCTTGCACTGTCCAACTCATAAAGGCTTCCGGTCAAGCCGTATGCTAACCTCTATCTAGACCAACGGCTCCGACGTCTGGCGCCAACGCACGGAAAAGCTCGCCGACTCTCTTCTGAAGACCTTCTTCCCCAAGGGCATCGCCTACGAAGTGGCTTGCGAGTCCGAGCAGGGTCGCTGCACCATCGACCACCTCTTCATGAAGGGCTACCTGCACCGCTGGTTGTCCGTCGCCACCCAAGTGGCTCCTTTCCTCTCAGAAAAGGTGCTTCCCGTCCTCAAATCGTCCGCTGAGGCCGCCGCCAAGCACTGCCAGGGTGACGCTGGCGCGACTACTTGCAGCTTCTACTGGAGCGAGGCCCAGTTTGTCGACCCCAAGAAAGCCGATGATAGCACCGGTGTTGCCGAGAGATCGAGCGCTCTGTCTGCCATCTCAGGCTTGCTCATCAAAGACGCCAAGGCTCCCGTGACCGAGAAGACGGGAGGTAGCAGCAGCAGTGGTAACTCTGCCAGCTCTGGCTCCGCTACGGGTTCTGCCGCGGGAGCTTCTGGTTCCGCCTCTCCCGCAACGGCGCCCTCTGCTGCGGGTAACTTTGGCGTCAACATGAAGATGTCATTGCTCGTCAGTGCCTTGGCGGCTTTTGCCTGGGCTCTCTAAATGCTCTAACGTGATCAGCCAACCAAATACCTGAAATAGTTCAAAAGCGATAAGCGGTACCAGATGGCTACAGCGTATCCTTTTTTCTTTTTTTCAAAATTCAATGACATAAATAGGCAGGTTAGGATCTATATCTACCCTATTCAATAACACAAAAAAATGCCGTTGTATGCTGAATAATCTCCCTATGAGAGCAAAATCTTGTTCAACGCCTGTCCCAAATTGTCGTTACGCGATGCATGATACCGCCCTTAGGCAAAACCACTTCCAAACTCCGATATAATCATAATCACATTACTCAATGCACCCATGTCAGCGTAAATCATCTGTGCGTCCTTCGACTTCCGAGATACTCTTGCGTATCCTGAAGAATAATGCCCGAATCCTCCTCGTTTTCAATAAGATATCTCGGCATAGTCGCCGATCCCAGTCCAATCAAAGTATTGTGCATGTCTTTCGGGTTGATGGTGTCCTTTGTATAGTGTCCTTGCCCCAGACAATCGCTGGGCAACATTTGTTCAACGTCCATTGTATAAGAGTGATAATCCGAAGGTACAGTTGACACGACATCGAAGACGGGCTCAAAGTCCACGTATGAGGCACTGCCTAGTTCATCAAAGTCGTCAACTGTACCCGAATGCGAATACGTCTGGTAGTCTTGTTGCATTTGCATGACTCCATAGTCCGTATCCGTCTGCTGTAGTCGAGCCTTTGTGCTTCGAGATGTATTTGCAGTTTGTAATTGCTGGGCTGAAGGAGTTGCCAGCGGCATTTCATCCATGCCTTCCCAGCTGGCATCCTGGTAATCGGCGAGTTGGTACGACTGTGAGGATCCGTATCCGTGGCCGTTGCCGAGGGTGCGGCTGTACCCACCCGTGCTGGTGGAGGGATAAGCGCTCGAGGCATCTGTGGACGGAGAGGCACCGGCGCTCGAGCCTGAAATACGGCGATACTCCCGTGATCTGTCCGAGTCGGCGTCACTTCCGTCAGAGTCATACATGTGTGTTGAAGTGGCGTAACCTCTTTCCCATCTGTCAACTGCCTTTTCCATAGCTTCAAACATGAGCTGTGCGGGCAAAAGACAAGGCATGTAAGAGTCGTGGTCTGCTTACCGAGTTAGGAACGTCCGTCCGTCGTGCCAAAAACCATTGAAGAGTTACTCACAGATTTCGACCCTTTTGGCCCACTCTTCCTGACCAGGAAACAGCTTCATGAGGAGTTTGTGGCGGTACTTGTAGTCCAAGGTTTGCCCACTCGCCCTTACCGAGAGGTTCTCCAATACACGATGTTGCTCTTCCGTGAGCAGGGGTGGTTCATGCGGTGACCAGATTTTAGTACAGCTCCGCGCATGAGATGACTTGGACTCTGCCGGCTTCGAGCCATATCTGGCACCACAGTTGTGACATTGTTTGTCACTTCTCAGATGTACCCGCTTAATGTGTTCGCTGTAATTGGTTAGCCACATTGGCCCCCCTGATCTGCGCCAACTATTGTACTTACATGAGCTTTCCAATTCCTCCTTTGATGTTACCGTCAGTACACGAGTTTCTGACGTGGGTAAAAGCTGCCGGGTTTTTAATGAAAAGAGGGCAGGCCAAGTTGACACTCTTCTCGTCGACATTCTCCTTATGATGGGGACGGTGCTGAGGCAGCCCCATCTCCCTTCGAAGCTCAGTCATGAGAAAGTCCTTCATACCAGACCACCCAGCCGGAGACTCGGGAGTGAGTTGTTGCTGGACGATTTCGACCGGCATGTTGGTGGTAAGCTTAGGTCGCTTAACCTCCAGAGTCGGGCTAGATTTCGTAGTCGATTCACGGCTTCGCTGCCGGACTCGTTTGGTGTTCTCTCCCATGGCTAGTAGTGGACCAGAAGTGACGGTTCTGCTGAGGGCTGCTTGAGCCGTGGAAAGAGTCGATGTTGTTGGTCAAGTTCTTGAGCTGGTTAATACGTTGAACGTGATGCTGGTAAATTTTAGACTCGCTCGGTTCGGCGAGCTTTACTATGGTTGCGGGAAAGGCGTCTTGCTGTTCCCGAACCCAAGCTTCAGTGAGACGGTTGCTTGGCCCGATAGTCTTGGGGTCTTTGCGAACAACCGAGTCTAGTGAAAATGATGGCTGTTGCTGCCGAGTAAAAGCACCTGGCGATCTCGTAGACCTGGAAGTTTCAATCACAGAGAATTAGTATTTTGTCCCAAACACTCTAAAAAGATGCTTTGTGGCTAAGGCTAAGCCATATTACACCCTGTTGGGGTGAACTTACCTCTTTGGCGTGTTGTTGAGCACCATTCGGTTCAAGTCAGATAGACATGAGAGTAGCCATCAACCCTGAACACGACACAGGACACACACACACACAACAAGACCACGGAAGTCAGTCAAAGAGACAAGAAAATAGTTGGATTTGTTCAGGCTATTCAAGCAGATGAATTGGAATGAGAAAGAAAGAGAGCTCGTGGTGGATTGCTCAACGGGGCGGCTTACGACTAAGAAGCAATCCCTCGATCGCAATTGCGATCGGGGCCACGGCGGAGCCGTCCGCCACTCCCTACAAGTGCCGTTAGTCGCAATTGAGATCGCACAAAATGGCCAAAAATGGGGTCACAGTTACAATAAGACCCTGAGAGATGTCTGACACGATTTGATCTATTTTCTTTGCAATATGGTGGTATAACACGGCTTTCTGGAATGTCCCCATGAGTCTTGGCGCCGTGTTCCACAGTCCAAAGTACGGAACTTATGTGAGGCTCAAGAACAGTCTTGACGTTCTGGCGAAAGAACATACCCTTCAAAATAATGTTTAATTCGTTTGAAAATGATGGTCATTATAGAATAACAAAAGCTGATTCGCTCCAGCAAGTTGTACGCTGGCTGGTTTGAGTTCGATTGCTGTACAGACAACTGCTGACACTCTGCATTACAATACATTAATGGCGTCTTTTTTTTTTTTTTTTTTCTTTTTTTGCCCCTTCCCCTTCATACGGGGAAATTAAAAAGTCAAACTATCCTAAGTGTACATATCAATTGGTGCTAACTTTTAAAGAATCTTACAAGGCTGTTCAAAGGAAGACGCTGTGGACGTGCTCCCGGGGGAACTAACTCAATATCGCTAAGCTCATTCAGGGACTAGTAGCTTGGATTCAGCCCTGGTCATTTTCCACGTGGGAAATGTTCGATTCCATTAACATCTCATAGAAAAAGAATTTAAAACGCGCATTTAAAGTTTCGGACAGAAGCGAGCATTAGATTGTCGCTTTCTATGTGCAACAGTTGCAGAGGATCAGGGTTGAGGAACAAGATGTTCAAACAGGGTATTGGAACGGCCGAGGTTCCAATGAGAAGATGGTTCGGAAGGCAGTGCTGGAAAGTCACGTTCGTTCTGGATACCAGAGAAAAGGGGGATCAGCATGAGAAATTCACGGTTCACATTGCCATTTCATATTGCATGATATTATAGACAAGCTCAGTGGATTTCCATGGCTATCTAAGCTGCTGTGTAGAGTGTATGCAGCCTCCGTAGCTGGTCGTCGAATAACGTTAACTAATCTTTCATGAGGAAAACGAAATTCAACCATGTAATATATCGTCCCTTACTGCCTGCTGATGTAAAGGTGCGATTGCCGTTTTCCCTTGACCTCCAGCACCGAAACCCTTCAGACGTTTAACCTACTAGTTCAGGGTATTATCATTGGAACATATAGTTACAGACTGGATGATTTGTTGGGCTAGCAGAGACGAGGTAAGTAATGTGCATGAAGCAGCAGTTATGAACCGCAGCTATCGCACGCTTCGTCTCCTCCATTCACACGCGTGCAAGAAACTCAAACGCATCGGAACAGAGCTTCCTGGTATCCTTGCAGGCTCCCTGATAAATGCTTGCCCCTTTACGGCAAACCTGCAGTAATCTGAAGGATGTCACAACTCAACCAAGAACAAGTCGGACGCCAATTAATGAACTAGACACACTACATGTGATAGTTTGCGCTGTAACGGAAGTTAGGGGCCGGATCAATGCAGACCGAAGGCTTTTCAGGTGACAAACTTACCTTAAACGACCCAAATACATGAGTGTTGTGCTATCAGCAGACGGCTCTCATCTGCTACATGAAGGTAATAAGATTTACCCCAGGGGATACTGGGAAATCTGGAAGGGCTACCAGCATTCTTCGTGGTCATAGATACCGTTTCCGCGTGTTTATCCTGTCTCAAACACTCGAGGCTGATATCTGACCAGCGTGAAACTACTCTGGATTTTACTTGGTGTGCCCCGCAGTGGGCGCAACGTACCGCCAATATCTTACTGGCATTGTTGCTTGTGCAGCATACTTTTTGTTCTCTTCTTCAACGAGGCCCCAATGCTAGGGCATCTGGGATCCAGCTGGGCGACAAATAAAATCTCTTACCCGTTGGCCGCATCTTCTCAATCAATGATGTTCTTGACTGACAATACCCCACCGTCCATGGAGCTCGAGCGTTTAATCTGCTCTGCCGGCCATTGAAGCCAGTGGGCATACTGGGAGTCAAGGGCTTGAAACAAACCGGTCATGAGGTGTTCTGACCACCCTTGCATGAACCAGAAATGTTCCAACGTCTGAACGAGGACGTTGAAGTGTGCCAACAAGATGATGGGTAGTACATGTCTCTGCTTGAGGCGTTCCACAAATTCATCCTCCATGTTGTAGAGCCAGCTCATTACGATTTCAAGCTTCCCTTGAATGTGTGGTATGGGCTCCTCGGCCGTCCCGAACGTTCTCTTGAAACAGGACTCTAAAGACGCGAGTAGTTTCGTGTACATTTCCCGGTCATTCTCCGGAGAGGTGGCGACAAGGTCGGCCAGCTCTTCAAAATGCTTCTCCCAGTACACCATCTTATGCACGGGGGTGGGTAACGGAGGACACTGGGTCCAAGTATCTTCGAAGGTGACGCCGTCATCTTCCCATCCGGCTATAATGGTATGGATCCCCATTGTCTGGACGACAAAGCGGACGCCCCGAAGCAGCGCCCACCAAGGCACCTCGTCGTTCTCAGCAACTACAAGGAGATGCCCTGGCGTAGGCTTCTTCGCGAATGTTGACAGGCAGACTAGGACTGTGGTATGGTATAAGGCCTGACAGTTATCCTTGCTCAGGCATGGGATGATGTTGGTTACAGCTGGCAAAGCACTCGTTGAGTGCTGTTCGGCCAAGCTTTCGTAACGGCTCGCCTGGCTTGGGCGCAGCCTTGCAAGATGCTGCGCCGATATCGCCAGGACCATGTGCAGAACATAGTTGTGTTGAAAGCCGAGTCGTGGGACATGCTCTCGCCACACACGCGAATCGCCCAACGTGATAGCCGTATGGCACATGTAATGGTGTAGCAGCTCGAGATCGTCAGGATTCAACAGCGGGAACTGGGGCTGCTCGATCGTCGCGGTTACGGCGGCGGGGGTGCGCGGTGTTCGGGCGGATTCAGGGTCCGAGCCGGTCGGCGTCGGGAGCTTATGAAGCGCGTCCCAATTCTTACGTGGACGGCCCCGTCTCTTCGGTGTCGGAGTCGGAGGTGACAATGCGGTCGGGGACTGGGCGGGCATGTTCAGGGGAGGAGGAGCAAAGTCGCAATGCATCGAGAACCTAACACAGTTGCCGCACTCGGGCTTGACCTCGTCACACTATTCATCCGGGCAACAAAGTCAGCTTCAGCAATGGCTATGGGGCCGAACAGGAAACATTTTCAAAGGGGTCGGCAAGGCTTGGCAGAGGGAGAGTGTGCATGCCTTGACTTTTCTTCTCTTGCAGTTCTGGCATCCATTGCGAGACTTCTTATGAGACCTTCTCTTGTTCTTGCGGCACGCTCCACAACAGCAGCCATTACTCCCAGCAGCCTTGTTCGCGGGCGCGCTACATTCTGTCGATTCTGGGCCCTGATCGCTGCCCTGGTGCATTTCTTCTTCGTCCCCGTTCATGGTTCGCGATCGCGTCAGCGGCGGTACTTGTCCAGCTTAGGCTTCGTCAGGGGTTCTGAGTATGATCGAGGCGGGTCGGAGGGACAAAATCTCCCATCCCGACTGTGAAAAAACATACGACGTCGTCTTCAAAGCTTTTAGCAAGTGCTAGGAACAGGCAATTGACATTGTTGATGCATCCTTTGGTCCAGAGAATACACAAATGGTGGTCCCTCACTACCTGACTCTGTCTTCCCTCTGTCTCTACGTTCGGCGGTTTCGGGGAAATTCGTATTCGGTGCGAGAAGTTAGTATCTTTATGTGATTGGACAAGGTGATAAAAGATCTCCCCACATCCCGATCCCTAAAGTCTACAAAGTAAGGGCCAAATTTAAATCTTCAAGTGGCTTAAAGAGCCCAATACATAGTAGAATTCCAAACATTGTTCCTTTCTTTAAAATAACCAAAGATGTTATATTCACATTAAGAGAAATAGCAGTCGCCTGGTCCTTTGCTGGACACCAACAGCCTGGGTCAAATGGCCTCCATAGAGAGACATCAAAGCTCAAACAAGCCTCTCCATAATTAAATCACCAGCATAATACAGGGCTACTTGGGTAAGGTAAGCAAAGTAAGCCACATCTCTAGCGAGCTTGGTCCTCACCCATACACAGTAGTAACGTACCTTGAAGGCTGCATTACTACTACTAGAATGCACCCAAATCCTATTGACTGCTGATGGCTTGCAAATGAAATGTAAACCACGAACAATCCCGTTTTACTTCAATGCCTTAGGAAAAACACATTTCAAGTAGACATCACTCCCACTGCCTGCCCTGGAATAGTTATCACCCCAAATGCGACGTCCTGTAGCCAAAAGGCAGTCGTGTGGGATACATGAGATGGTAACCAATGCCAATGTATGAGCCAAAGTGCGTAGGTGTCCTTCACGATCTTCCACCCTATTTCGTTATGTTACAGCCGAGTCTGCCGAAGCACGCACCACATTGTGGTCTCTGATCCGCCTAGAAAACACAGAGTTTCTGGGGGTTATACTCTTAAAACATGTGACCCCACTGGAGAGACTATCGTTATTTTGATTTTAAGAAGCGTGTATGTTCCAAGCTCCTTAGGGAAGTGGGATTGCGATTATGCCGTTTATACCTTCAGACCAGCTCTTCCAATCCTCGAACTACCAACCAGAGGTTGAGTCATAACTATGACATGCCGGGTTGATTAATGGGAATATGAGCTTGTGTGGTCTCAAACAAACTTCAACCTGCACGAGATTACAAGTTCTGTGGGATTTCATTTCTGTGCTTTCTGGCGATCGCATGATCTTGCTGATCAAAAGGCTGATGATGATCTTCCTTGATTCTGGAGAGCGGCTTATACTATGTAGACAAACTACCAAAGTTTATTTAGTCATGCAAGGAGTCTACGTCATTAGACAACTAGGAAAATGGCAACGATTTACAGATTGAATCACTAGTGCTGAGTTTATTGAGACTCTTTAGATGTAAGCGGGAATTCAACTGAGCAGAACGACTCATTCAAGGTTGGCGCCTGTTGAGGTGAAGATCTACATGGAAACCATATCTGTGTGGAGATTGCTGATATCATTAAGAAATCTGATACGGAGGATTGGCATGGTTTTGAGTGCGTCTCAGTTTAAACTTGATAGGCTTTTGTCTGCGGAGGGAGGCTGCCAGTTTCGAGTAATGCTTGAAGAAGCTTCTCAACTCTGGCTCTGGAACAGTTCCTCCGATGATTGGCCAAGAGGGATGCTGACCATGTTATAGTCCACATCATGTATTTAGGTTCAGAGAAGGATGATCTTCAACAAGGGGAAGTAACCAGGCAAGTTTAAACCATTTATAAGCACTGGTCAAAGAGTGGTCACCTACAGAGAGGAAAATACCAATTAACTTTGCACCACAACTCACGAAATCCCATCTCCCACGAAAAAAGAAAAAAGAAAAAAAAGAGTAGAGAAACAGAGAAGAATAATGACATCGTTCACGACTTTTCTAGGAACAAGTTTTTGCGGGTTGTCATGAATACTCAGGAAAGATTGAAGTAGTGGGACATTTGGTAGGCGAAGCAAAGGCGAGTTCCTATCGATATTGAGTGAGCAGAAACGTGAAGACAGGCAGGAATATGAGTCGCCATGCATGGGACATCTATGCTTGAATAGGAATAGATTGAGCGAAACGGTTCTCATACATTAATATATTAATACCGTCACAGCCGGCTTTGTCGTCGGCAAGGCACTGTTTAGCGACATGTCAACCAAGTTACAGGGGCCAGAAAGGCAGGCCAACAACGTTGGTTCGTGGCGATCACGTTATCCCGTTGGAAGGGTGTTCCCGTCCACCACCAGATTACCTGAAAGAAGGTTATTGTAATTGCACCACGTAGTATACTACATAGTACGTGAGTTATTCCTGACACAGCGAACCTTACCGAGGTCTGGGCAATTAACAGCCAAACTTCTAGTTCAGCGGGGCACTGTGCCGGCTTGGGTTGTGCGCTTGAGTCAGGAATGCCCTCGTCAAAAATCGCGGCTATGGCGTTAGCGCATCACAAAGTCAAACCCTATGCGAGTCACTCATGGTGCGGGATGCGATATCATCGTCGTCGCCGCAGTTCGATTAGATATGCTTGCTTTCTATTGCATGATGGAATGAAGATCTTTAATCACGCCAATTCTTCTATTCCGTATCTGTTATCTTTGCCCTCGGGGATCCAGAGTGAGCATATGCCTGTCTTCTCCAGGCTGGATCACCCCGTGCTAGTTTATCACTTGGTCCACTGCCAAGCTCGGCGTGGGCAACCGCGCGGCCGGACGGACTTAATCACACGCGCTCTACACGTGGTTCAGAACAACCGTAATGGGCATGGTACTCGTCAAATGTGTGTCAAAAAGCAGGAGACTGCATGTATCTCATGGGTATTGATATGCCACAGGGGAGAGATCGTCACAAACTGGGCTTCAGCAGCTGCCAAACCAGTACAAGCAACGTGATCTGTCACTTCAGCGTCCAGACCGCTGACCGGAAAGGTTGCACGGACTCTTCAAAGGGCATGTCAATGTGAAACTACTCTCCAGCAGACATCAGATGAACCAATGGAGCATCTAGCCAGTTCCAGGGTTCATGATTCATACATGGACTCACCCCACCCACCAATGTACTCGCTCATGCCGGACCGGTGCGGGAGGCTTATAGCGTTTTGCCATGTTGGGAACTTACTGCTACTTAGATTCAAGAAACCTGACGTGGGTCGAATCAATTCCAGACAAGCAGTCTGCATGTTGTGGTATTCAAAGGTTCAATGCCAAGATCGCGATGACAGATTCCCAGGTCTTACGCAGACAGCGACCAAACCAGAAATAGATATAGCTCAACTATTGCGGATATCCGCGAGCATCCTGCGAATATTGGCCTACTCAAAGCGGATACACCCGCTGCAATGCGACAGTTCCTACCAAGATACTTATGTGCAGCCCATTATCCCGTCGGTTTCAGTTTCTCAGTCGTGGTTCTCCTGGAGTCGCCGACAACCGTATGAGGAAGTCATGCGCCGAACTTCCTGAAACTTATTGTTGGGTTGGATTCTATTCTTCAAATACTCTATTTCAACCTGTCATGAAGACCTTCGGCCGGTGGGCATTTGTCCTACTGCCGTGGATAGTTGGTACTGTCTTCGGTCAAGGCAGTACTGGCGCAGGTCCTTCGCAATCGCCACTTGATCTCATCTCTCAGATTCCTCCATGCGCTGTAAGTATTGACATTGGCCATTCTGGAACCACCTTGAGCTCATCAATGGACAGGTTTCTTGTGTTAGCGATTCGTTCTTAAACTCAGGATGTGGGCTTGACAACATCGCACCCTGCATTTGTACCAACGTCACCCTGTTGAAGGGCATGTCAGAATGCATTCAAGCAGCTTGCGAGTGGAGAGATCAGCTGAGTATGTTCTAAAGTCCCTTTGAAACTTGAAGCTGTATCACTAATTACTTCTTTGCAGAGTTGTCTTACACAACCGATGATTTGTGCCGACCCTACCCCCATGCGTCCCGAAAATTGGAGATAAAAGTGGTCGTGGCGATACTGGCTGTGATCACGTTCCCTATTGTCGCTTTGAGACTCTACTCTCGATTGACAATAGCAGGTCGGCTCGAACTTGACGACTGGACTACCGCTGTGACAGGGGTATTTCTTCCACACAAAGTGTCACAAAGTGATGTTGTGATGCAAAATCGCTAACTGGACCTTTAGGTTATTTTGGCAGTGACTCTTGGGTGTGTTATTGCGAGTAAGTCATCAACCTACTTTCAACTTGGAACAAACAGAAATAGGAGTGTCGGTCAAGCATAAACTAACTGTCAACAGCCGCCAAACTTGGATTTGGGCTTCATTACTGGAATGTGAATCCCGCGAATGCCCAGCGCATTCTCCAGGTACGGCGACCATGTCCCCTTGCACTCTGGCATGACTTTGACTGACTATCAAACAGCTTTACTATGCTGTGCAGATGCTCTATATAATCGTTCTCATCTTGGCCAAAGTGTCAATTGTCGCCCTCTATCATCGTGTTTTTCCAGATCGCAAGTTCCAGCTTATTAACAAGCTAGTCTTTGCGTTTCTTACTGGCCATGGATTGGTCTTTGTATTTGTTATCATGTTCGAATGCACTCCAATCAACAGCATATGGGATCGAACCCTACAACGGAAGTGCATCAATGTTAACGCAGTCGCCATGGCCAGTGCTATTCTCAGCATCGTCGAGGACATTGTAATACTTGCAATGCCTATTCAACAACTCAGCAAGCTGCAATTAGGAATCAAAAAGAAAATTGCAGTTTGTTTTATGTTTAGCCTAGGTTCGTTGTAAGTACTAACCGTTCAGTACCTTGACTCGTGATTAAAGGCAGTTTGGAGCTAACACTTTGCAGTGCTTGTATCACTTCGATAATTCGCCTCAGATGGCTTGTGCTGTTTGCTGACACATACGACACGACTTGTAAGTTTCAGTTCTATAAATTTTAATTTAGAGTTTCTGGTCTAATTACTCTTAATAGGGGATAATGTGGACGTTGTTACATGGAGTGTTACTGAAATATCCATCGCTTTACTATGCGGAAGCCTTCCCGCACTGCGACCCCTGTTTAAAAAGATTCCCGGTCTTCTTACAACGATACGCGGGACGACTACTGAAATTAAAGAAAACCCATATAGAGGCAGTAGTCATTTATCATTCCGAGACAAGGGGCTCATGCCTCAGTCTGTTTCCCCCAACCCGAGCACACCGGAGCCGGAGACATCAGATATGGTCATTATTCATATTTCTAATCGAGATGACCCACGAATGAAGCCGCTTCCGCCACCACCCCTACAACCCCTTGTGTACCAGCCTCCTTGGAGAGGAAGCGGTGGTCCTCGGACACCAGGGAGCGTTAGGAGTGTAAGAAGAGAAGCGGACGCGGATTACGAAATGGATTTGAGAAACGTCGTAAATACGAAAACTTGGATGTAAATACCTTATATTTGATACCCTACATTTATTTAGACTCTTTTTTCTCTAAGACGCTCCCATCCTAAGAAGCAATCATTCCGTGATAGTGCCATTGCCAGTAACATCTTTGAGCATAGCCGGATATGGTGCGACCGAAACCTTGCAATATGACTAAACGAGTTCCAAAACCATCGTTTCAGCATCATGAAATGTGCGTTCACTTCCCCTGATCATTGCAATTCCAACCCGTCGAAAGCTCAAATGCCCATCAACATCAATTTTTGGGTTATTCGGTCTTTCGCCCGATTCCTCCAATAGCAAAAAAGTTTCTTTGTGTCCTTTCACCGACTTCCTCCTCCTTGACCTAAGTAATAGACAGGTGTATGCAACGCTTGGGTTGCCGAAACAGCCTTCTTTGTCAAATTGTCCAGAACAATTCCAGGGTAAAGGATGCTTGGAAAAGTCTGTCTCCTCATGGCCCACGAGAAAATAAGGCGGGTTGAAGTCTTTTGTCTCGGGAGCTAATCGAAGACTAAGCTTTTTGACTGGCCCTTGTAAAATGAGTTTTGTTGACTCAAGAGACGAAGTCATTGATGGACCAGTCCATTTAACGTGGAAAGTTACCGGAAATGCGTGGTCTTCGATATCTTCCTCCTTTTCTTTCTCATAACCCCAGCGATCTATCCACAAAGGGGCATTGCATGACAGCCAGGTCCATGAAGGGAGACTGATTCCTATTGTTCCTCGTTCGGGGCCCGCTCTGAGCCAAGAAAGATCCTTAGCAAGTGAATCCTGACGTATCCCTAACAAGGGTTCTTGGCCCATAATGCTCTGGTAATACTTTGTGATTCCGGCGTAAGCTGGTATTCGGTCTGTTAGGATGGTGAAGCTTCTTCTAGAATAATCTTCAGCCCATTTTGGCCACATTTGGAGAGTTGTGGGAACAGTTGTCTCCTGATGCAGACCAAAACCATATTCGGAACCGTCTCCATGGAATATCTGACCGGATTGGGTATGGTATAAACATCTACATTGCCAGTGGACCTCATTGTCCATGCAGTGTATGGTTCGGCGTGACAATATTTGCTCCTGCAGTACCCATCCTCGGGTACTGAGGTGCGCCCTTCGTCGTGCACTATGGGGGGATAGACCTTGCAGTCGGACCATTGCGTGCTTCCTGGAACGGGTCGAGTTTTCCCCCATGTCAAAAGAGTATACTCGAACATCTACCTCTGGCGTATTTGGTTTCAAGCCCTGCTTTCCCGAAGATCTTGTCTTGTTCGAATATTCACCGGGAACAACCTCTATACTATGTTCATCATTGGGCAAGCAACCCCAATGGCTATCTTCGCCATCACTCGCTGCAATTGTGAGAATACTCCCTGCATAGACATCTTTCATTTTTGATGCCTCCTCTTGCCAATCCTCAGGATCATCTTGAACAATACAAAGGGAATCTATCCACAAGTACGGAATCCCGAGTGAACGGGTAATTCTGATAGCATCTTGAAAGGTTTTTGGAAGCAAATCTTCTGAAATGGACTGGCTGAAGGTTCCCAAGGTTGCTTTGGTAGTTTTCATAGGGCGAAAATCCACCAGGTGACCCCAGCAATGACTCAGAGTCGCGTACCGTAAGCTTTTCAGTGGATGGCTTAGATTTCTTGTGTCAGCCAGTCGAAGTTGGCATTCATGGCGTACTTCGATAAGTCTTTTAGGTAAAAGAAATTGCTCTTGTGGAGGCTGGCATTCTTGATGGGATTTTTCGCAGGCTCTTAGCCAGGCTTTGGCGCACAGAATTCGGTCCTCCGCTATTGTGAGGTCAGGCTTAGTGCGGCCTGATATCCAAAACTGAGGATGCTGGTGATCTAGTCGTTCTGAATCAACGGCTGCCCATTATCAATCTCGGCATGGTTTGAATGATGAAACGGCTTACTAGGTTGGTCTTCGGATGTCTCAATCGAGACTCCGATGTTTCCATCGGCGAGGTACTGAAAGGCGCGCTGCTTAACTTCCAGCGTGGTATCTAGAGTTGCCCATGTTAATCCCGGTGTCTCGCCTGTTGATTTTGCATCCGAAAGTCGTAACGAGACCGGGAAGTTATCTTGGTGGTTAACATCCTCAAACCTTTCCACAACTGCGTCCCGGTTTGGTCCTAGGAAAAAGTCCCAAACAGTTGCACATATTTGGCACGTTTTCTTGGATTCGATGAGCGCCTTTGTGTTTTGATGCCAGTCAAGCTCTTTAGTGTGCCGGAAATCTCCTGTTGAGATGTTGGTTATCAGTCCCATGCATGAGCCGCATATCTTATCTGATTCCGCCTTCATATTTATTAGTTGATTGGATGTCTAATATGGAGGTCACAACGAAGCTGAGTTATCAACTTTTCAAGGATGCTTATACCTGCCGTTATCACCTCCCAGGTTCATTTTAAGAAAGACAAGAAAATCCTCAAAGTGCGGGGTAGTTAAGACTTATTAATCAACTAAGATATTCTAAGCGTTGATGGATGTGTCCCCTTTGCATCACGCAACCTAGGCAGGGATGCCAGGCCTGCCAATGAACGCCCAAGTTTGCCAACATTGCGGCACAAGGTGTAAGCCGCAGCAAACTTTGGACTAAGATACGAGCTACTCTTTTAGGCATGTCCAACTTTTAGAGATGAGGCATGGCGTTAGATGTGGATAACTGCGCGGTAATATTTTAGTTGCATCAAATATTCCTCAGGCCACAGAAGAGCAAATTATTTCCATTGACACGCTAAGAACTTTGAAGAAGAAAACAAATACATTTCCTATACCAACCCCTTTTAGAAGGCGTCGAACTACTCGGCGTCCTTAGTGTTTAGCAATAAGCTCTCCTCTAATGAGGTCCAGCCGGATTTTCCAAGCCTGCGAAGTAGCTCTTCGGCGCGCCCCCTGGGCTTAATAACAAAGGGATATTCGCCGTCAGAATAGTTTTCATGAAATTTCCTTCCAGGGTTCTGCCTTCGAAGGATATCCAAAATCCTGTCGTAATTAAAAGATTCTGCGAAGCCAAACACGCGCTCTCCCTTCACGTCAGGAAGTATAGCTGCAGCAACGTGCAAAAGAGCGTCATCTTGGACATCGATAAAGCACTCTGTATGACATTGTGTCAGTGATCACAGCTTCATAATGAGACTGTAAAACTTACGTGGTAATGAAAGGCCAAGAGGAGTGCGATTGCCGTTCATAAAGCTTCTGATTAATCCGGAAGTTGACGGGTAGCCTTGGTTCACTGGATCAAGGCTTTTCCCTATGTTGAAATCAGGAAGGACTAAGTCGTTAGCATATCAGAGAAGAACAAAAAGGAGCACGCAATGTCTTACCAGTGTTTACGACAAGGTCAGGACGTCTTGTTTGGTTTTCTTTATAATACTTCCACGCAGCCCGCTCCTGCTCAACTTTGCTGGCCATGTAAACAATACCGCCATGCTCTGGACCCCAGGGGCCAGCTTTCCAAGCTAAATCGACGGTTTGTGAGTTCCAAGACTCCTCAGCAATGGGAACACCTTTTGAACCCATAAACGGCTCTTGGAAAGGACCGCTGGGAACGGCCGCAAAGGACGAAGAAGTAAGCACAAAGCGTTTTACGCTAGACTCCCTAAAAGCAGCCTTGATGGCGACTTCTGTGGCGGTGACGGCGGCTGGAATGACTTTGCTCGCATCAGGGTTCAAGTTAACCACAGAAGCAACATGGACGAAGGCCGTTACACCTAGGTAAAAGGTTAACATTGGCACCTGCACATGCCGGCGCAATAACAGGGCTTACCTCTGACGGCTTCTTCAAAAGCATCCTCAACCATCATGTCAGGAACGGAGACCAACTCAAAATGACCTTTGCCATAGGTCGTATCAAAATAGGTATTGAGCCAGGCGTTCTTCTTTGCGTCGCGAACCGTTCCGCGGACCTTGTATCCTTGTTGGATAAACTGATCGGCCACGTGCGATGCGATGAAGCCGTTGACGCCCGTAACAAGGACAGTAGAGCCTCGTGGAATAGCTCGGTCTTCGACGTTAGTCATCTTATAAGTCGTTGCAATTTTGGCTGATTATAATTGTGTGTCTTGAACTGAGTTGGTATTTTATAGTCAATGGTGATCGTTTGCGAGGCTGTAGTAGGCAGGAGTAAGATGTTTGGCAAGCGAATGATGTATTAATATTAAGACCCAGAGTCGAGCGGGTTACGGCGCAGATTTATATCGCTAATATTTTTGGATGGCCCATGCCCGGGTCTGTCAACTGCATTTCTATGCAGTCAATTAGACCGGCTTGAAAACATTCGACTTACAAATGAATTGCGTATTCTGTTCCATCGACTGGGGGCTAATCTGGGTTTCGCCAAGGGGCGGGTAAACCAATCGGGCTCCGACGACTACCGGCTTCCTCAAATCCGGCGCCGAAATTTATAATACATCTATTCGCAGGAAATTCTGCTATGGTATCGGACCAAAGCTTTATTACTAAACCATGTACTGGCGGGCGTGGCTTGGCTTGATCTGACATGATTCTAGTTTTGGATTAGCTTTGAAATGAGTGCTTCTGCCGTCAATACACCAGTTCTTTGATGCTAATTCTTCGGAAAATGAGCATTAAGCCGACCATGACTAATCTGCCCGAAAAACCCCGAACATGTCATCAAGTCCGACTCAGCCAATCACGACATGCAGATGCCCAAAATAGCTTGCAGAGCATTAATCATCTTTTTCAGTAAGGTCACAAAAGTCCAAGAAGGTGCTGGGCAAAATGTGGTACAGTGTGATCTAGTCTTTTAATGATTGATGTGAAAAAATTACATGCCAGGTTTCTCCCTACAAGAGAATGAACCATCTGATTAAGTACGCATATTGAGTTCTGCCAAACCGGCAAAACATTTTTTGGTCAACAGATCCACAGGAGAAACGATTTGAAAGCCATCGCAAAACCTGCTTCACTGGCGGGTATAAGTACGCCGCAGAAGTGCCTGGACGACGCCTAGCAATGCCGCGGGAAAACAAGACGAAAACATCTACCAAACGTTGCCCTTGGTCTGGGTGCCTCTCTCCTTCTCGAGCTGCTTCAGGTTGACGCGCTTCCAGAGAAGAATGCATGCGAGACAGAGGGGGATGAAGCAAGCACCGGCAATGACCATCTTGTGCTGGACATCAGCGTAGGCAGCGATGATGGCCTCGCGAACAGGGTCACCCTTGGGGAATGACAACTGGACTTCGATGTCACCGAAAATCTCAGCCGTACGGTTCTTGGCGTAGTCGGGAAGGTTGTTCTCCAGCTCGCGGGGAAGAATGTTGTTCCACAGGCCACCGGCGATGGTGAAGCCGACGGTAGAGCCGATGGAGCCGAAGAGACTGTAAATGGCCATGGCGGCGGCAATTTCCTGGTGCGTAACGGCAGCCATGACGGCAATTTGGCCACTGGCAGCGAACATACCAGTTCCAATACCGTTGAGAAGCTGGAGGACAACGAGGACACCGACGTTGGTGCTCGGGTTTCGGTAGGGGACCAGGAGGGCAGTTCCGAGGAGCATGAAAGGAACACCAGCGAGAGCGTTGTACTTGTAATCTCCAGTCACACGGATCAAGCTGTGAAGAGAGTTCAGGTTAGACTACTTCGTACCCACTGGAAACACGATCTAGGCACTTACTATCCGAACAAGGGGCCAAAGAAGGAAGACGCCAAGGAGAAGGAGTTGAGGATGTAACCAGCGTGAGTAATGTTCTGGTAGTGGACAACCAGAAGGTAAGATTGATAGTACGTGTCCCAGCAGCTGGACTTTGTCAGCGAGAATGTCAACTTGAGCCATGACGATTTACTCACAAGATGGAAAGGAACATGATGCCGTAGAGCAAGCAAGATCCGAGGATGCTCCTGTTGGACAGGTAGTGGTAAGGAATGAAGGTGACCGGGGTGATGTATTTCTCCCAAACGTAGAAAGCGGGAATGCAGAGAACGCCAATGACCTCCATGGCGATAATGTGCGCCGACTTCCAGCCATGGGCTGCATAGGGAACAATGCTGAAGGGCAGCATAATGAGAGCGAATGCAGCGACAAGGAGGATAATTCCAACAACTGTGGTAATCATGTTAGCATTCAATCAGCATGGTACCGCGCTGTCAAGAAACGTACCGTCAAACTGCTTGAGGTAGTAGAAGAAGCCCTGCAGGTAGGTGCGGTCGGACTTGAGCTTCTCAAGCATGCCAGCCTTCTCGGCCTTGCGCTGCATCATGAACATGACAAGAGCGGCAGGCAGGCAGATACCAACCATGATGATGGCGAAGGCTCCGAAGGCCCAGCGGAAGTTGAGGTTCTGGTAGAACAGATCGGCGATCCTGGGACCGGCAAAGACGACAATGACGTTCGGGGTGCCGTTAATACCCAACATGATCATACGGTTCCTCAGGGAGGTCATATCGGCCAACATGATGTCAATGACGAAAACCATGCCGAAGTGACCAACGTAGTAGATGGTGTGCGCTGCGACGTAGGTCTCCATGTTCTTGGCGGCAGCCTTCATCACGACACCGATGACGGAGCACAGAATCATCACAAGGAAAGCCTCCGTGCGGCCCCAGATATCCATGATCTTGGCGATGGGAAGCTGGCAGCATCCCGAAAGAATGTTGGCGAAAATGCTGACGATGGCGAGAAGACCGTGCTTTTGGAACGAGGACGTAATGAAGGCGTTGAGGTTTCCCTGGATGGACTGCAAGAGCAAATCGATGAAGGAGACGAGGTAAAGACTATCGATCATGGTTAGTGGCTGCAACTATCGCCATGTTGGCGATCAGATCGAATTGCCGGTAATAACTCACATCACAAACATGGTGATCATGGTCTTCTTAGTCCAGACGGAGGTGATAGCTCTGACTCGCTGGACACCTCCCTGGTAGTTTTCGCTCTCAGCATCGGAATCTTCCTTGGTGTTCTGGTTGACCTCCTGGACGCCATTGTTGTAGGGGCCGGACTTCTCGATGTCGGAGCCGGTGTCCTGGCGCTGAGCGCTTGCCTCAATTGTGGTAGACATTGTGAGTTTTGTCGTCGCGGTGCGACTGACTAGGAACCACAGGACTCAACGTAGTACGTTGAGTAGGGATTAAGGGGTTCTGGGAAGAAAGGATGAGAAGTTGAAGGCTAGAAGATGCCCGTTGACCTTGCTTGAAGAACAAAGAGGAAGGGAGAAAATCCAGTTCATAAAGCGAGGGTTGTATCCGCTCTTCTATACTAGAAATAAACCCTGCCAAGCCCCTGTTGAAAAAAATCCAGCCCAAGCCGATGTCGCCCAGTTTTTTTTCCCTTTATCAGATGATCAGATTAGATGCCAAGAGACGAATCAAAAAGCGAGTACCATCGGAGGTATGTTTAGGTCGGTGCTAGCGTTGTGGGATCATCCACGCCAGTGACAGCTCAAGGTCGGATGGCCGCGTACTTGGCTGGACCCTCCTGTGACAGTGCCTAGCTAATAGACTAGATAACCGTCTACACCCGAATATGAAAAGATCAGCCAATGTACTGGCTCATAGCTGGGCAAAGTTTGAGAAAGAAAGTGGCGTGAAGGGGACGGAGCTTGGGAGGGCACCATGTCTCCACGCTGTCTGTGTCTGGTCGGCCCGTTGACGTGGTGGTGGGGGTGGAGCGAGAATGCTGTCTAACAGGCAGTGTCAGCTCTCATCAAAGTTTGTTCATTTATGGATATGTTCTCCATGTTCTCGACGCTGCGTTGCAACCCAAGGAAACGCAGGTAGACTTCTTGGGACTCGATCGCCAGATACCCGCATGAGGTTCACATGTGTGCCCTCACTCAAGCCTATACTGGAGAGCACTATATCGCCATCAGCCCCCAATGGGTTGTTGTCAACATGCTAGAAGGCAAGCTAGCGGCAAAAGTTTTTTTCCTTCTTTTTTTCCCCTCAAGCCTTGGCATGCAGGGAATATCGCCGGTAGCAAGGGTTCGTTGCCGGAGCGGGCAAGGAAGTGTATCCCACATACCCGTAGACTAAGGAAGCCTCCCCCACCCGAACGCGGGCTGCTATCCATGAACGATCGTGTTCCATTATGTGTAAGCCCACCAGTGATGGGTGAGACCGGCAAGGATCCCTGCAGAAACTAGCCCGTCACGCCTCCGGCAACCAATCATTGCCGATACCCGTGAGGAAAAGCTCAAGCTTGCCTTGCAGATTGGAACGCACAGCGCGGTAAGTAGGATCCAGAAAAGCTATGAAGTGGTGGGAGTCTCACTCGTTTGCCTCCCGCCATCTCTTACTTCCCTGGGTAAAGGATTGGCGTCGATGCTGAGCTACACTAGAAGCAAAGCAGGCAGTCCATCGTGGATCATTTACTGATCTACTGGGTTTTTGGCCCAAGCTCTTTGCCATGGAGGATCGAGGCGAACTCTTTAGGGTCTAGAGGGTTTGTCAGGCAATCAAGCCGCCCATGTCATCCGATGGAGTCGCTGAGCATGACAGGAGAGAACCCGCCCTAACGATGAGACTATTCCAACATACCGCTGTGCCACGCAGAGCCCGAGTCATAGAAGGCTGATGGTGGGCAGAGCGAACAGCTGACGCGGCTTTGTTGGTTGTTTCCCCGGTGTGACTATTTCCGCATGAGCTATTTTGAAGGCTTCCTTAAATCAAACACTGCTTTTTCTATGTGTCAATGTGTTATTGAGGAAGCCCAAGTGAGAAGCCCCCACGGCGGGATCCCAATATTTACGGGACGGCAAGCGATATTGAGTCTGCCGGCTGTCAATGCAAAGACGAAAAAAACAGGGGGGAGAGCTCCTATCTGGGAGAATCACCCAAACACCTACTGGCTGATGGCAGGTCCTTGTCGGTCTCTACTAGTAGGTGAGCGATGTGGGCTCTGGACCAACATTCTCCGAACACACCAATCAACTTGTTGGTGACTGGAAGAGGAAAACATGCCCGACGCGGTCAGTCCAGAAGCCCCCAGGGTGACGGAATGGTGTGTTCAAGACTTTTCGACCCTTGGAGGAGGAATATCACCTTGCCACAACTGTCCAACGCGACAGCATCGCTCAACTTCCAACACAATATGTAGGGTCGGAGGTAACATGAAGCGCCGTCGAAATATCGGGTTTATCTCGACGTTCCGAGGGCAAGTCCTCACGAGATGACTGAGTCAAGACCAACAGAACACACCAAAACTCTTGAATGCACAACCAACAGAGTGTTTTCCACGTCAAATCAAAGAAAAAACCAGGGACGACCAATTTTGCATCTTGTTCGGTTTCTGGGTCTGAGCTGCTAACGATTTGCTCACCTGAGTCTTGCATTAACCTGACTTCAGACAGCCGAGATCCCACCCGGTAGAAAACCCGAGCCAATACACCGCGGCTAAAGCTTCCCTTGAGAAAACCGCGATCTCACACCCACCAGGACAGTCAGACCCGTTTCTTGCGGCCTTAATAAAACGGTCATTCTGTTGGTTGGTGCATTGACATGCTGCGGAATTTCCCGTCTTCTGCATGACAAACAGTTGGTCCTTTGGCAGCACTGAGCAGTCCGAAATCCCTCATTCTCAGGCTGCGTGAGTCGGTGTTGAATGTGCTGTATGCTGGGACAAACTCTGCATCCAAGTCAGTTAACTCTTTTTCGCCATTCCCACCACCTCGTCCATGGCTGCGCTGGACCACTTGGAGGCATCTTGAAGAATTTCGTCTTCTGCGCTGATGGGCTTTTTCCAAGCTAGCTGGGTTGACCGCTGGTGCAGGACTGCGCTATTTCGGATAATACGGATAGTCTCCGGGTTGCGCAAATTATATGCCGTATAAGGTTTCCAACACAAACTAACGCGTAGAGACCGCAGAATAATAATTCTTTTCTCTGCTTTTCCTGTATGGAGTACTCGAGTAGGCCCTTAAACCTCAGCTTTGCAGCCACAAAGTGGAAACACCACTAAATACCTACAGCAGCCGGGCAAACACCAACTCGTTCTGACTGGAAAATCTGCATCAATTGCAAATGACTGGTAGTCGCTGGTTTGTATTGCTTGGTGGACTACTTTCCCCGCAACAGATGGCTCTGCTATGAAGTATGTCGAGCTGAGACTTTGGGTCTGCGTGTCAAGGAAGAAAATGATAGGTAGACAATGAGGGAATGCCATGATACCCTTCAGTCGTCGACTAAATATCTCACGACCGCCAAGATTTACCACGCGTTGACAACGAATGAAACTTCAATAAAGACAGCACCTACAAAACAAAAGTCCCTTAGGCGACAACTTAACAATTACCAAGGCCTAACAAATTAACAAATCGTTAGGCCCAAATATCTCTTCTATGCCGTCAATATACCACCCAACTACAAAATGAAGCTTGTGCAGTCACCAATCAACAGTTTCGTTTAGGTTACCACAAACTTTGTGTGCTCTGGCGAGATGCTAGACAAACAGGAAATTGAAACCCAGCTCTTGTACCATCGTTTCGTATGATTTGACGGGAAAGCGTCTAGACAGCCATTGTATGCTATCTTGACTGTGACAGATGAAGTTGGTTTCGTCCGATGTCGGCACGCGCTCATTGCATAGCATTTTTACAGCAACAACGCTTGGCTTTGATCAGGCCACTACATTAGGCAGCGTTGATGCCCCAAACGGAAAGGGAATAAAACAATTGAGATCAAGTTGGGAAAAATGTCCGCGTAATTGCAGGCAGTTTGATACAAATATTACCCCGGCAGAGCCACTCGGTGATGCAGGGAGAATAAAGAGGAGGAGCACTTGCAAGCCACGAGCCCACGTGAAATACGACAAGCCAAGACATTGAAAATCAACTAATGTAACCAGTTAGTTTGCAGCTCATGGCAGTAAAATGGATCTAATCAAGGGACTGGACCTGCAGAGGGTCTATAGGGCTGCGAGTCCCCAAAAAAAGAAAGCAGATGAAAAAAAAGACAGGATGAACTGGATCATCCATCCGCTGCATTGGCACCTTCTGCAGGTCCCGTTTCTATACCACAATACGGGAACAGGGGAAGACCCCAAGGCCGGCCTTCCAGCATGCGGATGCGGACCGCAGGGTGTAACTGTTTTTGTGATTATTCGGACAATGATCTGCGGCTGTCGGGGCCCCCGGTCGGCCTGAGCGAGACCCAAGATGGCTGTGAACTTGGTCCCCGGGTCAAACCGGCTTGTGGCAAAATTTCGGCGATCGTTCGGGATAAGAATGCGGCTATCCTGACCAGGGCAAGGCCCTTTCCGCGGTGCTCGCACATTTTCGTTCCTCATCTCTTCCCTGTCTCTTTTCTTCTTGATGGTCTCTTAGTCATCGCATCCTGTTGGTCGAGGATCGGGCTAGAGATGAACCGTCTGGGCACCACTGCAATCCAAAGTTGTTCCGTCTTCCATCGGTGGGGATTCGCTTGCCCATATACGCGAATCAAGACTTTTGACGGATAAAATGTTACACCGGTTCGTTCATCACATTGCCTGGGAAAATGGGGTGGGATAGGCCTGATTTATAGAAAATGAGTTGTTGAAATTCATTCTTGCACCCGGTTTCACGGCAAATCCTTGTCATCGGGATACTTGTCCCTCGTGTTCCATAGTCATCGGGCGAGTTGAGGCGCCCCGGGCACTTAGGCGAGATAGGCAAATCTCTCTTCGTCGTGATAACCTCAGACCACAAGATTGTTAGTCAGGATGATTAAGCTCAAAAGTCTAGAAGCTGAGCCTCATCCGGAAAACTTAGCCGGTATCTTGATAATCGGCAAGCCACTTCCACTAGCATTGTCCAGAATGACTGGCTGCAAAGATCACTTGTGGGGCCATCGTCACATCATGAAGTTGTCCCCTCCGCACCCCTCGGCCCGGCCTGCATCCCAAGACCCTTCTTGCGTGCCGTCTTGGCTCTCGTTTAGCCTTATGAGGCCTTTGTATACCCAGTCCCGCGGGAAAAGGACTGTGAAGAATTTGCTATTACGGACGGAATTCCGGAGCTATTAGTATGATGCTCGTGTGTGGTTGGTCCGCGTGTTGAGTCTGGAGTTTTTCCGCAACACTTGGGCCAGACCTCGACTCAGAACCTCCGCGCTAACAACGGCCGACTCCATAAGCTTACGCCAGTCTTCGGTGCCGTGAATCCGGGCAGGGTGGGGATTTGATGAATTGGCGGCCGTGCCGAGTTGCGGGACATTTGTAAGGTTAATAGTTGACTATGTTGGGGGAATAAAGATCTTACATTATCCTTCAGTTCATCTAATCTGATCTTATCTGATGACTTGATCTCTTGGTTTCATTTTTAAGCTTTCATCAAATCTGACCATGGCGAACCTCGAGAAAACGGCGAGGGTAGGCAATGACCCCGTTGTTGAGGAGCCAGAGCCGATCAGTCCAACAACGTCCATCGAAGAGGCCAAGCGTTCTTCCGGTAAGGCAGGCACTTATTTCGTGATTGCTCTTGCTGATGGGTCTTTAGATGAGTCCAGCGCACCTAGCCAAGATGTTCTCTACGCGGCCGGAGTCGGTCTTCGACCGGATGACCCGTCTTTGCCATGCTTAACTCTTAGGATGTGGGTGATTGGCATCGGTTTCTGCCTCTTGGGCAGCGGTGTCAACACCCTCTACACCTTCCGATTCCCGTCTATCAGTCTCTCACAATCGGCCATCCAGTTCTTAGCATATCCCGTCGGAAAGGCCTGGCAGTTTGTGGTACCTGACGTAGGGTTCAGCATCAGGGGGCATCGCTACAGTCTGAACCCCGGACCATTCAATTACAAGGTTCGTCCCATCAGCAACCTTAGAGTAAACTCAATTCGTGAACACACCTGATACGTTTTCATCAGGAAAACATCTTGATTTATATCATGGCAAACCTTAGTTTCCTTACTCGTCTTAGCGCCGATGTCCTGACCGAACAACGAGTATTCTACGGCTTAAAAGCAGGCTGGGGCTTCGAGCTCACCGTCACCCTCGCTACGATTTTGTTTGGTTTTGCTCTCGCCGGTATTTGTCGTTCCCTGGTGGTTGAGCCAGCCGGTCTAATGTGGCCTGGTGTTCTTGGTAACACGGCTTTGAATGCCGCGCTGCATGCCAGCGGGAAAGAAGACGAGACTGAGTAAGTGATTCCCGCACAACCCTGTTATCTACAGGTCTGACCTTGTGCTCTTGACAGAACCAAGTGGACCGCCTCCAGATACAGGTTTTTCATTCTTGCGTTCGCCGCATCTTTCTGTTGGTACTGGTTCCCCGACTTTATTTTCCCTGCGCTGGGTTACTTCACCTGGGTTTGCTGGATCGCTCCGCAGAACCCGGTGGTGAACCAAGTGTTCGGAATGAAGAGCGGCATCGGCCTGTTGCCTTTCACTTTTGACTGTAAGAACCGGTATCCCAGTGCCAGGCCCATGTTTGTCGCTCATACAAGATAGGGAGTCAAATTGCTTACATAGGATCTCCGTTGGTTGTGCCCACGTGGGCCATCCTGAACGTCCTTGCGTCTCTGGTCTTCTGGATCTACATTATATCCCCGGCCCTGTATTACTCAAACACATGGGGCTCAGCCTACTACCCGATTCAGAGCAACTCCATCTTTGATAAAATGGGAAAGACGTACAACGTGTCCAAAGTCATTGACAAAGCTGATGGGTTCTCCTTCAACGAGACCAAATACGCGGCTTATTCTGATGTAAGGACCAACTGCCGTCGCACATCCCTCTTGTCTGGGCTTTCAAGCTTACCATGAGTCTTAAGATTCACCTGCCAGTTACGTACGCCCTCAACACCTTTGGACTTTGCTTTGCGACAATCGGCTCTCTTTTCGTCTGGCTGTATCTTGAAAAGCGCCACAGCATTGCATCGGCATTCCGGTCCTCGCAACTACCGGCCCTGTTCGGCCGAAAGGTTGAGCCTCGAGCCAAACTGCAGCCAGCATACAAGGATGTGCCAATGTGGTGGTATTGGATCGCGGCGGCCATCGCTCTAGGTTTGGGTATGTTTGCCTGTGAATTCTATCCCGTTCAGCTGCACTGGTATGGTGTGATTCTTGCGTTTGTGGTATCGTCGGTCTTTTTCATCCCAGTAAGTCAACGTATCTTGGAAAGAGTCATCCACGATTCAATGTTAATGGGAATGCTGCAGCTTGCCTGGGTGTATGCCACCACAAACATGAAGATCCAGATCGACATCTTTTGCCGTATTGTTGCGGGCTATATCTGGGAGGGTAAGGTTCTTGCCAACATCTGGTTCTTTAACCTGGGGTACATCTCCGGTATCAAGGGTTTGGCTTTTGCCCAGGATCTCAAGCTAGGAATCTACTGCAATGTAAGACTGTCCAGGATACCCTAGAGACAACTTAGAGAAGAGTTTGCCGTTGACAGCCTTTAGATTCCGCCGCGGCAACTATTCCTCGTCCAATCCGTCGGTCTTGTTATCGGCAGTCTTGGTCAAGTTTCGGTTCTCAACTGGGCTCTCAATCACATCCCCGACATCTGCACGAATAATGCCCCCAACGGTTTCACCTGTCCCTTTTCTCGCACCCACTTCAACACGAGCATGGTATGGGGCGCACTCGGCCCTCGTCGTTTCTTCGAAGAAGGAGCCACGTACCGTGATCTCCTCTGGTTCTTCCTCGTGGGAGCTGTACTGCCGGTGATTGTCTACTTCCTAAGGAAAAGAATCTTCCCGAACGTGAAGTGGATGAAGAAGATCCACGTCCCGCTGTTCCTGGGTGCACTCAACTACATCCCTCCGGCGTCCGGAACAAACTACGGCAGCTGGGCGATCGTCGGACTTCTGTTCGGGTTGCTTATCAAGAGAAGACAGAGAGATTGGTGGAGAAGATATAACTTTGTGCTCAGTTCAGCCCTAGATTGTTCTGTGGCCATTGCTGGTATCATTATCTTCTTTGCTCTGTTTTACACCGGAGCGGCCAAGAATTTCGCGTGGTGGGGTACGGATGTCCACAAGGTAAGTAGTGAATGCTCTATTGTATGACAAGGGGCGACAAGATGCTGACTATTGCTGGTTATAGAATACTTGTGACTGGAACAGCTGTACATACTTACAACGAAGCAAGAAGTGATACAGTTGAAAAGATCGAATGCCACAGCCAAGCACTGGAACCCTTGCCTTCTGCTTCGTTGCGAGTAGTCAGACCAAAAGAAGGAAAGGGTCATTGAACTAAGGTAGCCGATGCCATACAATAAGCACCTAGCGAGTGAGGCTGTTGGCCAGTACCACCTAATAATATTTAGACTAATACTACTGAAATCTAACCTTAAAACTGCTAAGAGTCTTATGTCGTTCCTCCCACATTCCGTAGGGCTGGCTGTGCTTCTTGGTCAAGCAAACCCGGTTTAATCCAGTCTCCGCAGTTAGTGGGCAGTGTGCGCTATTAAAGTCCTGGATTGTTTGCCTAATGCGGATAATGGTTGTACTGTACTAAAATGCGGCGAGATCCATCTCACCTCAGCTTATGCCAAGGCCTGGGGTGCATGCAGCTTTCGGCCAACTTATGAGGTTTAGCCGTACGCGTGTCCTAGAGATAAGATGCGTTATTTGTCTCTGCCAGACTGTATTCAAGGTGAGGCAACAGAACTGTCAGTGAGGAAGGGTTGACTTCAATGACAAATCCTTTTACAGTCGCATGCTCTGGTCAAGTTTCCCGTGCAGTTTTGCCCTCAGGGCTGTGATTTTGCGCTGAGTTGACATAATATTCTGTCACAAACTAAATGCTAGACGACAATTTGGGATAAAAGTTCTATTAACAATGTACATAATGTTTCCGCGCAAAGCTGGAATCGTCGTGCAGTGGGTTGCTAAGAATGTTGAGAGAACTATTTGCGATCCGACGCCTCCGATGTACCCGAAAAGATGACCAAGCTATTATGAGGCACATTTGACCAGCCAACCAACACCGAGTTTCTCGAATATATCTTAGATTTCTAATCCGATTCAGGTTTTTGTAATGAAGAGCAAAGAGATAATTGGGCCATGGACTTTAAGGCAATTTGTCACCAGTGTCATTCTTCATACAACAAGCCATGATCATCGCCATACAGGAGACCCGAGGATTAGGAAGTCAAAAACTGGCGCCACCAAGTGAAGCCGGCAGAAAGCTTAGCCTGTTGCACATGCATGACACGCTGTAAATTGGGAGTAAATAACCATTGTTAGCACTCCTCTCAGCCCTGTAGTCATTCGGGGCTGTCGGACATAGCGTTGGTCCGCCGCAGCTTGAGTAAGCAGGGTGATTGTTGGCTATGCTTAGGCAGTGCTAAGAGGGTTTTTGGGGGCGGGAATGCTGGAACAGGGAAACAATCCCCCTGAAGAACAAATGGCGCAGTGAAAACTAGGCCTGTAGTGTCTCCGATCGGCGCCACTGGCCTGTACTTCAACATGCCCTTTCTGGATAGAGATTCCCCTGCTGACTCCACGAGGATAACCCTTGACAGAAATGCTCCGTCCAGTGCCGGGAACAACATATCGCGGCGGCATTCGTTGAGAGGTTGGGTCTGCCTAGCTCTGGATTGTTGGTGCAGCAAAATCCTGCGAGGCGTTTACGCCGTGAAGAGATGCGTGATAGAGCGAAGTCTCACTCATTATCAGGTTGAGATAGACGCCGATCAGTTGTTTGAAAGATCGTAAGTCGAGTATAAATGATGGGCTTTCGCAATGGGAAGATCAAGGCCTTGAACAACCATCATAGTCGATAGACCAGCATTCCCAGACACTGAAGAGAATTCTTTGAACTAGTAAACATCATACAACCAAGATGGCGACAACCACAATCAGAAAAGTCATGATTACCGAGTTCGGTGACGCGTCCAAGGTCCGAGTGATTCAGGACACCATCGGCCCTCCTCCGGCCCACCATGTCCAAGTTGCGCCCATCTACTCCGGCTTCTCGGGATCCGATATCAACATGCGCAAAGGCGTCTACCCGAGACAGAAACCAGCTCCGTTGTCACCGGGTTACTGCCTCACTGGCACGGTGAAAGTCAATGGTCGTGGTGCCTCCAAGTTTTCTCCGGGCGACGTCATCCTTGCCTTGACCATGTACGATGCTGAGGCAGACCTAGTCAATCTCCCCGAAAACCTTCTCATTAGAGTCCCTTCGGGTCTGGACCTGCAGCAGGTCACCGCCCTCATCGTGGACTGGAGCACGGCATACGCCATGGTTTACGACTGGGCCAAGGTTTCCAAGGGCGACCGCGTCTTCATCCACGGAATCAGCGGGGCTGTCGGTTCCGCGCTGATGAAATTTTGTCAGCTGCAGGGCGCCGAAATCTACGGCACCGCCTCGGAGCGGAACCACGAAGCTATTCGGGCTCAAGGAGGTAAACCATTCGTGTATACCAATAAGGACTGGATGAAGGCGATGAAGGACTTGGGAGGCGCCGATGCCGTGTTTGATCCACTCGGTTTCGAGAGCTACGATGAATCCTTTTCAATCCTGTCCAATACGGGTATTCTGGTTGGATACGGCGGTAACTTGCAATCGCTCAATGAGGGGGTCGAGCCGCGGTCTATTTGGATGCCAACGATTAAACTCATGGCTCGCGGTATGGTCCCATTTTGTGGCAAGCGGACAAAGTTCTACTACATCTCCTCCGACGACGCCACATTTGAGCCGAATTTGAAGGCAATGTTTGATCTCATCCGTGAAGGTAAAATCAGGGTGCCCATCAAGCATGTCTGGGAGCTTAACGACATTCAGGAGGCACATCGGCAGTGGACAAACAGTACAGGTGTTGGATCATCGCTTATTCGGGTGTCACCTGAACCCAGAAACTGGTGATTCAGTGCTGAATTTCCATATGGCACGGCGTTGGTTGTATATTTTGCGGGTGGAGAATACTACTTTGTAGGATTCTCGATACATGGGTCGATAGAATTGAAAGGATTATTTCACGTTACCATCTCGTTTTGGCTCTTCTTATCCACCTGCCTGATTCCGCATGGTACTTTTGCAAATGCGTACGTATTTGGGATTGCCTAAAACAATTGCGTTATGGCAGTGGTACGTGTCGAGTAAGCCTTGTAGGACATTTTGTTGCTTTTTTTCTTTTTCTTTGCTGACACAGCAGAAACACAAAAACTCCTGGTCTCCAATATTGGCCAAGCCTCCCTTTAGTCCATCCAACTCAACACTTTTCACAGCTAGACTCTGCTGATTATACGGAGTAGCAGTCCCAGACTGCAGCAAAGCAGGGGTGGTCAGCAAGCAGCCACTCAGAGTCGAGCGAAGCAAGGGTCCGCTAACCGACCTCTGCCATCTCGCTGACTGTTTGTGATCATCAATTTTCATCTGCAATTCATCTCAACCAGCTTGTTTCCCCGCAATACTCATCATACCGAGGTCCCTCACGATCATAATGAGGCACTGGATAAGCCGACTGGCGCTTGCTAGCCTCCTCGGCGCAGCCAGCGTCGAGAGCAAGCACAAGGTCGAAGACTTCGATTGGGAAACCATCACGCCGGCAAGAAAACTAGAATATCATTCCTGCTATGACGAATACAAATGCGCCCGTCTCATTGTTCCCCTCGACTGGCTGGATGAGAGCAATCCATACACCGTTGCGCTGGCCATTATCAAGCTCCCTGCCAAGGTCCCTGACAATGATCCGGCCTTCGGCGGCACCATTTTCACAAACCCTGGCGGACCCGGAGGCTCCGGCGTAATGCAGCTGCTTTCCGAGGCCCACATCTTCCAAGAAACAGCCGACACCGACAGCAGAAAGTATGAAATCTTTAGCTGGGACCCCCGAGGAGTACAGCTCACTTCGCCAGCGGCAGATTGCTACGCGGACCAGCTCGCAAGGGACACCGATACCATCCAGCGCGCGGCCATTGGGCCGACTATTTCGAGCCCTGATGCGCTGAGGAGGCATTGGGCGAGGGTCCATGGGTACGGGAAGATCTGTGCACAGAGCGCTGTGAACGGCTCCACCATCCCGTATGCTACGACAGCATCTGTCGTGCGCGACATGGTTCATATGCTGGACAAGATTCAGGAGCTGCGAGATGAGGAGGCTGCCGACCGAGTTGTTGTGGATCAAGGAGCGCAGCAGCCGTTGCAACGCCGTGGTGAAAAGGACGCACTGCGCTTGCAGTACTGGGGGCTTTCTTATGGTACTTTTCTCGGCAATACCTTTGCTTCAATGTTCCCCGGACGTGTTGGTAGGATCATTGTTGACGGTGTTGTCGACGCCGATGACTATGTGGCAGGTGTAAGTTCATCTTGTCCGTTTCTAAAGTCGAGATTCAAGGCTAATGTGATTTCAGGGCTGGAGAACGAACCTGCAAGATACGGAAGAGCTCGTTGCTGCATTCTACAAGACGTGCTTCACTTCGGGATCCAAATGCGCTCTTAACCGCCCCTCAGATAAGAAATGGGAAGACGTCCGCTCGCGTGTTCTCGATCTTATCGCCCATTTAGACAATGATCCCTTCTTTGAAGTCGACGGCAAGTCGACTCACATTCTTACCGGCTACGACGTCGTCAACGCCTTCACGAGGCCGATGTACGATCCCTATGAGAGCTTCGTCCCTCTTGCCAAGAAGCTCAATGAGGCGGTCGAGGGGAACTACACTGCCCTTCTCAACACCGTGAAAACCCAATTCCCCCGTCTAGACGAAACATGCTTGACGCCTAACACGTCGACACCCTCTACAGTTCGGGGAGGTGAAGCTGCTCAGAGCGTTGTGTGCGGCGACGCCGAGGATGCACGAAATCTCACACTGGCAGATTACCAGGAATACGTCTCGGAGCTCGTGGAGCAGTCTCCTACCTTTGCTGGGTACTGGTCGCAAATCCGGTTCGCGTGCACAGCATGGGATGTCAGACCAAAGTTTCGTTTTACTGGCCCGTTCACAACACCGGAGCATGACCCGGCCGTGGTGGAGGGAAAGCCGGCCGCGCCATTGCTGTTCTTAACCTCGAGGCTTGACCCTGTGACCCCTGTGCGAAACGCATACAGGATGAGCGAGAGACACCCTGGTTCGACGGTGGTGATCCAGGAGTCCCTTGGCCACTGCTCTATATCTGCGGGAAGTAAGTGTATGAAGGAAGTTATCCAAAAGTACATGGAACATGGAATTGTGCCCAAGGATGGGACGACGTGCGAGGCCGACTGTGACCCATGGGATGGGGAAACTTGCTTGCCTTCAACTAAGGGCATCAGTGTAGCAGGACTGAGCCCTCAAGATATGTTGTTTTGAGGATGTGTCATTGGCACACCCTACCAAGATAATAAAAATTTGTCTCAATATCCTGCCATCCAACAATGCGCCCGCTCCTGTAAAGGGGCATATGACAATACACTGACGACCACCTACAGCGGAGCCCAAGACATAGTCCAGCTAACCTGACCGTAGCTTAGGGAGACCAATGAATTCCGTTAAGACCAGCCCCGTTACATCCCCATCTCATGCGTGTGCCTGTCTTATGAGCAGACATGCTTTGAAAACTTCGTCATTGCATAAGAAACTCATAAGTTTCTGCCAACCGCCGGATGCAGATGTCAGACGCATGCCCGAGTGAGCTGAAGTCGATCACAAGGCTGCCGGTATCCGAGCCTGACACCACCCTTCTCGAGATAACCTCGAGCAGTGGCATGAAATGATTCAGATGTTGGTGCAGATCTACATGAAATGAATTAGTTGAGCCCGATGGTCTCCCCCCTATCCTGAGTCTTCCCTCTGCAGTCGCCAACAACTATCACCTTGTGTGATAACATTGTAAACTCACCGCTTGGCTTGTTTGTCTTACTAGAGCTGAAACCTATTCAACGTTACACGTGCTAGAAAAAAAGCACCTGAGACATACGTTTAGGTAGAGATCAACTTTCACATACACATGAAGCTGTCGGGCGCGTCAATACGAGATAGCTAACCCCGCGTCCGCCCTTGCGATCCGAACATTCCCCTACCAAACAAACCGACGCGCCCTATCCCCAGACTGGCGGCGATCGCCCATCCATGCACGCATCCGACGAAGCGACAGTGTCACCGCCGCCGCCCCCAAGAAAAAACATTCGGGAAATGATCACAAGGAAGCTACAAGCAGACGACATCTCGCATCCCCTCAAAAGCACTTTTCAGCTCCCCCCCGAGCCAGAATAACCGAGACTTAATCACGCTACCAAGCTGTCAGCCCGTGGATCAGTCCCGCCCTAGTGGCTTGCGGGCAACGGCGGCATTGGTCGAACTGACGCCACGAACGGGACGTTTTCCTCGGTTTCTGACAATCCGTGGTTTTCTACACGAGATTCATCGGTTCTAACCGGAGTTGGATTAAACTTTGACAGGTGAAAAGAGTACAGCTGGGCGACTCAACGGCGAGTGCTGTAAGTCGTGGACGAAAATAGATTTTCACTTAGATGCCCACGTGAGTTCGTATTTGAACATTTCATGATGGATGCGGCGTTGATGATTCGGGAGCAAGAGTTGTTGATCACAATTCTGCCCTATCGCAGGGCATTAGGTGTGAGGAATGAGTCCTGGCATACACTTACCGAGCTCAGATGCGCCTTGCGTCACTATGTGCCTCTCCTAGAGATGCGGATCTGCAAGTGATTATAAGAACCTTATAAAAGCCTCGTCAGGACGAACACAATCATCTAGGCTCATCAAAATATACTCGAGTACAGAAACTAGCTTTCCCATTTTAACTCACAGTCGCTATAACATCCAATCGTTCAATATGAAGTTCGCAGCTACCCTTCTGGCAAATCTGGCTCTGGCCCTCCCATCCCTCTCACAGCCACTCGAGGAGCGCGATGTCTTTCAAACCGTTCACTTGACTTTCCGTGGCGGTCCGGCATCTTACCAACTTAACATCCCTGCCGATGGACAAATTTATCCTACAAGTATGTCTCGCTTCTCTCTCGACTCAAAGGTGACATGACTGACACCGTCCATCAGACAATGACCTCTCCATCAACATCATCGACGCGCCTGATTATAACGCAATCTACCAGTGCACTTTCCACACCAACGGCGAAAAGGCTTTGGTCAGCGGTATTACCCCTCAAGGAATCCAGCAAGTCATCATTGGACCCCCGCAACCAGTCACGGGGGTTAGCTGCTTCGGTTTCTGTGTTGGGACATATGAGAACTGCTATGGAAGTGATGGCCAGTACATCGGGCCGTGTTGCAATGGATATTGCGCGGCGAACAAATGCAGGCCTTGGGTTTCGCCGTTTTAAAAAATGTCTAAATTGTGGTGCCACTGATTTGAAGCGGGATCTATAGGGCATCAAATAAGTTGGATCTAGGTAGAGACGCCAGAATGAGCCCCAGACTGATTCTCATATCTATGTCTCAAGTACCGAGATAAGGAGGTAAATCTCAAATAACATCATGTAGCAAGTTGGAAGGTAGTCAATTTACATATGTCATGCCGCGGCATGAGTCATGCGTTGCATTTCCGTGTGTCCGGTATCCAAGCCGGACTTGTGGGGCCGATCAGACACCGAAGTCCGCAATTCAACTTCCTAATTTGATCAAAACATGGGGGTTTGACTCTCGCAATCGGCGTCGTCAGCTGATAGGAAGACGGCCCGTCAAGCCCACCGGCTCTTTCGGAGTGCCACGGTAAGCTGACAGGCTGCCATCCCACCTAGACTATCTGTCGAGAACGCGTCATATCACCTACGCGGTGTGCGTTTCTAATACCGTTCTTGTCAAAGTGAAGCTGACTAGATCTCACACGACCCTTTGTTCCGGGAAATGCGTCATACCGACCGTGGGGTTGGGACTTGTGACACCGTTCAATCTTCTTGCTGGGATCAGGCTTAATTATTGGCTGGCCTAGCTGTTCTACATACATCACCAATTGGGATCTATTGCAGTAATCTAAATAGACGCTCAACATAATTCACATAAAATCTCATGCCAACCGCCATTCCCCATTTGGCGCTCACAAGACATCTGCCACTTCTCAACTGCGCCTCCTGAATCGAATCTTTTCCAGCAAGTTTAACCAAAATTCCTTCAAAATGACTTTTAGCCCAACTACCGCAATCGTCAACAACGAGAACTGCGACCTCCACTACTGGTACCAAGGCAAGGGTCCACTCATAGTCTTCATCCCTGGCGGTAACGGCCATGGTCGTCAATTCAATCCCATCATCGCCGCCCTGTCGGACAAGTACACCTGCGCTACCTTTGATCGGCGCCAGATGTCCGCCAGCCAGGTAAAGGTCAGTAAGCGCTTGAGTCTCCCACAGCAGGCGCGCGACGTCCGCGCCGTTATCAACGTTCTCGGTTTCGACAAGGCAATCCTTTTCGGCAGCAGTGGTGGCGGCATCATCTCGTTCCAGTTTGCTCTGGACTTTCCCGACATGGTTGAACACATCATTGCACATGAAGCGCCGACGTGGCCCTTGCTACCGGACGCGACTGAGGCGTACGAGTTTATCTACCGCTGCCAGGAGTTATACGAGGCAGAGGGAGTAGATGCAGCAGCAGCCTTGTTCCAGACAAAGCTCTACGGATACGATGACGAGGGCGTGCCGAAGCCGATGAAGCCCGAGCCGGAAAACCCCAAGAACTTCTGGGCGCACGAGTCTCTCGCATTTACAATGTATGTGCCCAACCTTCTTCGGATCAAGGAGAACGGGACGAGTATTGGGGTGATGAGGGCCGTTAGGAGTCGGGACGCGTGGTATGCGAGGGCGACGAACGAGCAGGCGAAGCTCTTGGATTGTCCGCACTTTGATGTGCCTGGTCACCACGAGGGATTCCAAGTCGAGTTGGAGGCGTTCCTGCCGTACTTTTTCAACATGTTGGACGCTCTCGAGAAGAAGTGTAGCGAGCGCTCTCAGCGATAGCTTAGATGATTAGCGGCGGCAGTCCCATTCCTTATACTCACCTCCGGACGTTGGTGCGCATGTGACATGCTCCGAGAGATCAGGCGAACCTAAGCTTCTTGAGGCCCCTTTTTTGCCGCCAGTAATTCGTCCCTTCAAGCATCTCGGTACAACCGGCCAGCAGCCAGCCCCATTTTCTTAAAAAAGGTTCCGTGGCCTCCCAGCCCCTGGGATCCCATGGCTCACCCCATACAATAAGCGCAGCTTCCTCAATCCCGGCCCCGGCCCCTACGTCAACAATATCCCGACACATATCATCTTCGTCTACGTAGTCTTCTCCCATCTCTGACACTACTCGCAGGAAGTTGTCGCGCATACGCGGATGCGGGAAGAAATCGATCCAAGGGTGGTGCTGAACAGTGACCTGTAGGGCAGTGGGACGCATGTTATCAGGACATGACGGGCCCGGCGTCGATGGACCAAGGCCGGGGCCGATCTTGTTAAACGGTGAAATAGCCTCGTAGCACAGCCAATCGGCACTAAAGTTAAGAGCGTCGGCATTGCGAACGAGGGCGTAAAAGACGTTGACGCGGACGAGGGCTGTGAGGTAGGCAGGGCAGGGCTGACCGCGGATATAGTCTTCGTAGGCTTCTCTAGCGAACCTTTCCATGCTTCTTCGCGTCTCTTCATGAGCATATTGGCAGAGATTGGATCTCCTTTGTCGACGTTCTTTGCTATAGTCCGGAGAGCAAGGCGCCAGGGAATGGATCTCGACACTCTCGTCGGGTGAGCTCTCCAACTTCACCATCGCGCTCGAGGAGTCACATTCTTCAGTCGAGCCCGACGGGGACGTTTGCTTCTCCTTCTGTTTCCTGCGCCCTATCATTGAGGGTAAGCTTAGGTCGGTCGAGAGTGGGCCATGTTAAGAGCTATAAACAGTCTGGCAAAAGGAGTTTACTAACGACGTGCGCGCTGGTTCAACCGGTTTTGCAACTTCCTCCTCTCCGCGGTACTTGTTACGCCGGTCCAATCTTCTGAGGGATGACGAATATCCTCTAGCCGCGGATTTGTCAATACTGGGATTGGCGCCCCTGTAGGAATAGCTGCGCCAGGGCTAAAACACACGTCCATCGCTGTACTTAGTCCTCTTAACCCCGAACAGATGTCAGCCGCTCTCCTGAGATTGGAAGATTAGTCGACAATATCAGGATCTGGTTCGCTATAGTCAAGTGGTTGGCGGAGAATATCCGTAAGAATATGAGAAAACATTGGGCGAGGTTGTTCAGAACCAAGGCCAGCGTCCCATATATGCAGCCTGCTGACGGCTCTCACCGGTGTTGGTGTCAGGGATGCTCCCACAATCTTATAACTCTAACGTCGAATCGGCGGTGATGCCCTGATCCGATGAGTGGGGTTCACCCTGACTCGGGCCTCCTCCTATGTAATAGACGATCCCCTTCACCCAAGTCCACGATTAGAGGCGAAGTGACGTTTTGCTGCGCCCAATAACGGGGGTTTGAAGGGTTTTAGAAGATACAATGGGATAGTAGATCGTGCCCCTCAGATCATCATTCCGGAAGTTGTATGCAAAAGTTAGAGTTCAGTTGCGTAGTATATTTTTTATGTTATGCGTTCATAATCGACTAGGCGAAGTATATCGACGAGAACACACGAGACGGATTTAAGACGCTACACCATTTTCTTAGCGTGTCAGCAGGCTGCATTAGCGTCCGCTACGTTCCTCCAATAGACCAATGAGGGGATAGTTTGAATGAAGCCATCCCTGTTCCACAGCTCGCTCTCGGTCTGTGTCAGTGCCTATCCAGCCAAATCATGTTCATCACGTCAAGCAATTGCGCTCTTTATACTCTTCCAAAATCCACAAGAGATACGAAAAAGAACCTTGATCGTATTCTCTAAGTGCCCGGTCGATCGAGTTACATAGTATCCGTATCCGTTCTACGCTACAGACTATATCGCTGTGAATTCAATTGCCTACCTTTACGGCTTGTTTACACGAGTAAGAACCACATTTCCATACTAGGTTAATGGTTATCAGACAAGATTCTAGTTCTTTCTTGGTATCTAGTTGGTACTTCACTAAGGGGCCAAGATCTGTGGAGAAAGGATGCTCTACACGGCCAAAAATAACCCTGACGGCACGTCCGATTTTCCCCGTGATCCGTGACAACACTATTACAACTATTTGTCAGCGGGTATCTCTTAAGCCAAGAGAACAAGGGTATAGAAGAATTGTAAAGACTCCTGAGACAGGCAAAGCAATCGTAAGGAAAGCTTCGCGGCTTGTTCCGCCAACTTTATTGGCCCACCAACTCCATTTGTGAGTCGACCTCTATCAAAGCACTTAGAGTTGCTCCATGTAACGGCATAATGGCGAACTTTGACATAACACTATTTCGTCATACAACATCCTAGGTCTATAATGTCACGGTTCAGTGAAATTAAAGACAATCCATTAAGTTTCATCTGGCCAGCAGCGACATTCCCCGAGGAACGTAGTGGAGTTCAACCGCTAGTAAGACTAATTGACGCTAGCCGAATGCGGAGACGTTCCGGGGCACACAATAGGACCATTATATGAGAGATATATCAATGATTTCTCGGCTACAGTCATACAGAATGTATTCTTCCGGATGTGATGCACCAAGCTTTACAGGTTTTTACAGATCGCAATCCGCAGTTTGACTCGGTACTTTTCTCGTTAATGAAGCCAGCTCCTCGTCCAAGGAGTTTGGTGGACGTGGACAGTGGAGGAAGCGGAAGGGGGGGAGCACATTTTCTTGTTCTTGATCAGAGATGTTTGAATCACGGCAGCCATGTATACATATCACTTATAGTCTACGACTTAGCCAGGCCGGAGGTGGTGCTGCGGACCACGCGAACAAATGTAACAAGAAGTGGTGTCAGATAAATGTGCATCCTTATTCCCAATGCAAATTTTGTGAAGACGACGGTCGGCGTGCGACATTCGCGCAAGGTTCAGGGGACATGAACCTCTGCCACACCACAAGGAACGAGAACCTCAGTTTCTTCCTCTGTTCTAGCCTACTCTCAGCTTTGGGCACTCTTGGTCAGAATTTGACTGTTTGGCGCTCTTGGCCCTTTACACGTATCTTTCTGTAATACTGGTAATTAGATCGTATAGTGGCGTGATATACGGACGGCCGCTTACCGTAACAGGCGTAGTGGTGCCGGTGTTCAGCTGACGAACATTGGCGGAGCAAACCTTGGGACTTCCGCATAGGCCCCCAGCCAGAACTTTCAACACTCAAGTCGGCTGAATTCCGGGAGTTTCTCGTCAATAAGATCGGGAATTCCGTGTCTGATCTCGTTAGGTTTCATGACAAGCTCAGGAAAGCCAGACCTCCTTCAATTCTAGGCTTGACCCGCTGCTTGTCTCGAGCTGCGGGCGAGATCTTGACCTTGAAAACCAGTTCGCCTGAGGTACTAGGCAGGGGACAACCGAATACGCTGCGGCAATGTGCCGCTGAGAACTTTTCAGAGGTTATAGCCGGGGCCGGGAACTATCTCTGGATACGATGATCAATGATGAATTACTCATGATACAACTTTTGCCGCAATTTGCCGAGTATCGTAATATCGTAAACATATCCCTAGCCATTTCACTTGCGCACCTATGTTGGTGTTCAGCCAAGAGGCAAGAAAAAATACCTCATAAACAGAAGGTGTACGATTATAATTGTGAAGTAAACCTCATTATACTCCTTATCCTTGAAGATTTTGTTCCCCAGTTTGAGAAGGTGATATCTGGGTGATGAAATGACATTGTGAACAATCTGCCCCAAATTGGTGTGAGTATGATGAGTCAAGTTGACATTCAATAGCCTACATAGAAGTAGCAATGTGTCAAAACCTACTTTGGCCCTCATATTGTCGTGTTCACCTCAGACATGTAGGATTTTCTTGTCCGGTCCATCCGCTGAAGTCTTCATCAATTCACGTAGAACAGCAGACGGCAGGAGAACCGCGATATTCAACTATTTTCTACTGCTTCACCGGTTAATAGCATTCTTTAACCCAGTACACTTGCCATGGCATGTTTCCACACACACTCACACTAGACATAATATAAGATACGCAGATGAATCGTGTTCCAGGTTGGCTACAAGGTTCACTTCCCGAGAGTAGCGGGGAAAGCAATTGGACGAGTCCCACATGGAACATGCGTCTTTCTGTGGTCTTCTATGAATGTAACGGCCGCTGAGTCCTTTAGGGGTGGTTGGATCACAAGGTATCTGAAATTTTAAAACATGGGTGAGCAGGAGGAGCAAGGCATCTACGCGAAAGCTTAGGTACAACAAGGCCCAACAGACCCATGATCGAGGCCCGTCAATCCAACACTATACATGACTATTATGTCAATCCCGTCAAAAACAGCACTCGCAGTCAGTCACCGAGAAATATTCAAGAAGGTTGTTCTTGGCTGTGCATGACTCACATGTTGTGTCACACGTATAACTCGTGGCTTCTCATCCTTAGTATATCCGTCCAGTCCATGAAGATCTGAATTCATCAAGCAGACCACGCAGAGGCTGCCACCCACTGGCTTTCTGTCCCCAACAATGTTCGATGATGTGTCGCCAAGCCGCCCGTAGACCAAGCAGACAGTTTGGCGACCATCCCCATCACTAATTTCCCAAGACGCTAAACCTTGGGAACCGCATGACGCGCGATTTAGGAGAGAGTGGCGAATCATGGGACTGAACTGACTGCACCGTACCCCGGTTGAAATGGGTGAGGCGCCATTGGCGTCACGGGGAACAGATGATGTTCTATGCCTGACACAGCCAGGCGCAGGAGGTACTGGGGAGCATTTAGTCGGTACCATCCAAGCCAAAGATGAAATTGGCGCTCGATCCCTTAGAAGCATAGCAGTCGATGTGGCGGGAAGACCCAAGGGAGGCAACCTCAGGGGTATACATCAACTTTTGCGCTTAAGACACGGTGCGGAGAGTGACAAACAACGTTCTGCAGCATATAGTCCCCGGGAGGAATAGGGACTGGAAATGGCCAGACCACGGGCGACGCAGTTAGGTGACGGAGAAGCAACAGGCCAAGGTATCAGTGTGCTATTTTATGAGGCCAGAAGTAAGAGAGAAACATTGATAAAGCTGCTTTTAGTGCCTAAGGTGGGCGGTAGGCGGCTTCGGGTGGCCTTCAATAGAGAATCCTGCACAAAACCAGCTTCGGGGGGCGTATCGCGACATCCGTGATCGCTTTGAGAGAAAGGGGCTAAGGATCCCTGAAAGAAATCTGGTACTCCGCGCACTCCCACATTTCACCATCCCCAGCATTGCAACCTTAACCGGAGACAATTATTCTTTGAAGCTCACGAGACTGGTTTTCTTATACCCCTCGAGGATCAGGTTTGTAATAAACTCCATGATGAACAAAGGCTTGCATCCATCGTGGGCGTCTCAACATCGTCTGAGTAAGGTAAGATGAGGCCGCGTCATCATGCTGATACTGCGTTCAGGAAGCAAGGAGGCACGAACTTTTTTGAATATCAGTAAGATGTGTGTCTTGTCGGCTTGTGGCTTCGGAATACGAAGAGGACACGATAGCTACTTCGCTCAGGAGAGCCTAGGGCAGTCCAGTTAGAAGCAACGACGAGCCTTCGTAGGAGAGTGCCGCGAATCAGTGAATGGAACCGGAAAGAATCTCGCTGATTACTTGGCAGGAATCTATTTCGCGATTCAACGCAGCCTATGATGTTAAGGAGACATCCCTAGTTGACATTTGAAGGCCGAGTTTGGAAGCAGCGTGATTCCGTAGGAGCTGGATGGGTGGATGTATTTTCACACGAATAGCAAATTTGACCGCAAGTGTCACTGTAGGCAGTTGCTGCCACGGAAAATCACCATGATCTGCTCCCGCTTCCTGTCTGCGGTTCTTGGGGTTAGGAGGATGAATATGGTATCAAAAATTTTGTAAAATGACAATGCTACTGAATCCGTACATATTTGAGTGTAACATAGCTCCTGGTCCATCCACAGGGACAATCGATATTCTACATTCATGATAGTTTGGTTACTCCTGGTTTCATCTCATCCAGTACATCCCTCGCTCTTAAATGGTAACCTGAGCTTCTAATTATCAACCAAGGGGGCTAGGCTGCAAGACCAAGCAAATGCTTCGCGGGATTTATGATAGATATCGGGAGGGGATGATAGTTTGATGAACAAAATAATCGCCAATTGATCTTGTTTTTTTGGGAACACCACCGTATGGACTGAAGCTATCTCCACGAGCATTGCGAGCCAAAACTGGCAATTTGGTTCGTGGACGCATGTCCAGCCCGCTATAATGTCCTAATTTCTCCTCTACCATACGCTAGGCAAGTTCAGGTCCATCGGAGCTTCGTAAATCTTTCAGTTCAAAGTTCTCCTACATTGGAATTCGAGACTCATGACTTGCTCACAGCGCGTCCTATAGAGTCGCGCTGCTTCTGAACATACCAGAACGACCGCTGCAAGATCTCAAGTCATTAGCGAGTATTGCATCACGCTCAAACGCAAGTCTTTTTTCCCACGGTTTACTGGTATCTTCTGGACAATGGGTGGTGCGGAAGATGCTGAGTTTTGTTCATCAAGCCATAAGCCTGCATCCAGCAGGCCAAGCCCACTGAAAGATTCCGCCGCGACCCGTTCTTGACATAGGGCAACCGTCGGCCACTTTTCATGGCCGTGATCAGTCGTCGGAATCTCTATGAATACACATCCAAGTGAACATTGCTGATTAGAGGAGCCAAGCTGATATTCCCGCCTGAAAGACCCTGCGACGCTGAACTTCCTGTTGTGAGATGTTCCAACATATGCCAGTAATTTAAAAAAACGCTTAATATCTCACCTGCTCACAACGGATGAGCTGCTTAGGGGTAGTTCCGTCCAGATCTTTCTTAAATAATGGGGAATCAAGCTGTAATCACCCTGTTCTACTTCAATATAGGGCAGCCTTACTAGCAATCTGAAGATCTTTCCCATTGCCCACAAAGAGCAACATCTGGGTCATTCTCATTCTCAATACGTTTGTGAGCGTTACCTTGGCAGGTGTTCCACTTACTGCTCCTACGCCAGGCCTAGTCTCACAGCTGCTTTGACCACTGATGGGCTTACCACGAGAATCAGGCGTCTACTCCAACGACCGATGCTGTAATAGCAGAGTCACGTTTGCGGATTTCGCCCCAAAGACTCCTGCGGAGTCGGCGGTAGACTCTGCACTCGACGAATGTTTATCCCCTAAGAAGTCAAGAAAAAAAAAAAGACAAGAAATCCGCAAAGGTCGAGCGACTCGTGGGCGACTTCAGCATCGGCGTGTTAGGAGAACTTGAATAAGGGGTAAGAGGGAAAGGAGGGACACGTAGCCTAAAGGGCGATCCCGTATAGGTACAAGACGTAAACCGTACATGAGAATACTAAGCCCTGATGCTCTAGGCCACCCTCTTCTCAGGCCTCTACTGATTCGTGCATAAAATTATGCGTATACTAGATTTAAAGGGCTGGCAGTGAGTTTCCAGCGGGGCGGACATTCCCCCCTTTGCGGATCTCAGCATTCGACTTCGTGTCTTCTATTTCACGGGCAATATGATCCTCCAACCCGTTGGGTGGTGTTGGTCGATTGATCGCAACAACCTTTGGATGAACAGAGAAGTTTTCTATCATTTCCTCCGTCGAGCGTCTCAGTATATTCAGTGCACTACAACTATGATGGCCCCTTGTCTGACACTCCCCGGCTAACGTGATCAACGTGGAAAATTAGTTGAACCTCACCCGATTCTCAACTCTGCAGAACTGCAATGATGCCGTATATTCGCGATCACTAGTCGCAGCCAGCTTGTCGACTACTTCTCATCCAAAACATTGGAATTGGGCCCTTACCCACTGCTTCGTTCTCGAGGATTCACCGTCTCAACATTCGGTGCGTGGCTGTATACTTCACCACCAGACTGCGATTTGTTTCAGTTTCAGGCGCCGACGAATCCGACAAACTTCCCTCCTGTAGTTGCTCAAAGTTTAGCAGGCCTTATGAAAGCAGTTAGAACCCGCACATATTGGTACGACGATCCGAGAGCGCGGCTCTAACCCTTTATTCCCGGTTACAGACTTCTGAAACGCTATTTCGAACCGGGCACTTGTGGAGGAGGTAAAGCTTGGAGTATCGGGCAATTTGCTCAAGGGGCTGAAGAGGCTTGGGGGGTACAATACCGCCGCCTTTGATGTTGATGTTCCGACCTTTGACCGATTTGATCTTGATCACTTTGTTCAAAATTTTCCAGGCTCAGCCAGAGGAAGTTGACGCAAGCATACTACTCTGACAGCAAAGCCGATGCTATGGGCCAGATCAAGGAGACGCATCTAGAATTGTGGTCCAAGACATGGTGAATGATGATGGGATTCTACAACACCAATATCTTGCCCAAATCTTTTTCAGGCTCAACCGCGAGGTTGATCGAGGCAGCAATCCTGGTCCAGCAAACGATGATGTTGCCATTCCTTTCGTCAATGTGTCAGCTAGTAAGCCCCTTTTATCAAAGCCTTGATTCTTCAAGACCCAGCTGACACTGCGCTTTCTCGAGTGCGGTGAGTTGAAGCCGACGAAGGGCCTGGTCGATTTTCCCACAAACTTGTGTGAAGCAACAAGCTTGCAAATGTGGAAAACGTCTGTTGAGCTGCTGCGTCTTCTTTCTTTACCTTAAAGTGCAGGAGACACATTTGTTTCATCGCTGAATATACACTCTTTAGTGACGACGTTGATGGACCGAGTGGTTCCTGACTTGGCCGACGGATCTCAAGAACAAGTGGGCAGTCAAGGCAGATATCCCAAGATACAGGACTAGCACTAAAACGCTTTCAACCCTGCGAGCTCTTTGGCAAGTTTTGTTCAAGGCTAAAGTAGAACAGGCCGCCTATATGACCAGCCACAAATAGTTCGATTTCTCCTCTCCATTAACAATGTTCGGAGTGATAACTCGGCCGAGATGGGTGCTTCTGCCACCTGTCCGGCGCCGGCGCGGCGAACGCCGGCGACAATAAATCGATCCACAAGCAGACGAGCTAGTGGCCGTAAATCTCGAGGCAGCACCTGCCAGCCAGCGACTCGATTAAAAGATTAGTGATTCAAACCAGCATGAGTTTTGTTTCTTTGAAAATGATGTAGGATCTCCATGACTCGAGGGCGTGATTGACCAGACCGGCCAAGGCCTACAACCTGGATCGCAGCGGTCCGATTGAGCAAGGGAAAGCTTTTGAGGAGGACATCAAAAGGTTTAAAATGGGGTTTGAGCTAACGATTCAACTTATAGGTGGTTTCCAATGCCATCTTGCGCGATAGAAGACAAAATCGACTCATACCAAGTTTATTTGCCACATATTGTTGCATGCTCTTAGCCGCTTGAATATTCCCAGCATCAACTCGAGGTCCAAACAGGATTTTAACTTTACTTATCCTAACAATAGATTTACACGAAAAATAAAGATTTCAGCAGCGGGTCCGCCACCCTAGATGATCCCGAGACGCCCAGAGGCTGCGTGGTTCTTGTGGTTTAGTTGTCGCACGACCAGCACTTCGCTTCAGCCGCGTCGCCGCAACTCTTGTCAAAGACTGCTTTCTTGGGGTATGGGCACGCAATACGGTTATGAACCTCACTCTCCGAGACCGTGACCTTGTATGGCGTCTGATCCGGCGCGGTGCCATTCTCAACCCAAGCCCGCAGCTGGTCGAAGAGACTAGTCGGCTCTCCGGCCACTCTCCCGGCACAGTGACCCATGCCAGGCACCTCAAAGTGGCGGTAGAAATCCTCGGCAGTTGGGATGACTGCCGAGACTTCGTTGAAATATTTGGCGGTTCCCTCGGGCGGGAGCAGCTCGTCGATCTGTGTTGTGTTAGTGGTGGTGTCAACTGTGCAAGTTGGGGGGATATTTGGAAATAGGGAGGAGGATTCTTACAAGACCGTGGAAAGTCACCATCTTTCCACCAGCATTTCGGAATGCATTCAAGTCCGGGTCACCAGTTCCGATGATGGAAGTATACTGCTGTCTGCTCTGGTGGGCAAGCCAGTCGAACTCTTCATGGGTGAGGTTGGAGAAATCCAGGCTGGGGTCCCTCGCAACGAACAACGACAGCCACTGGGTGGCGATTGTCAGTGGGAATCCCTTGCAAGGCTCGGTTGTGCAGTCCGTTGCCGCAACACCAATAGCCAAGTTAGTACCGGGGGCCAGCCCAAACCACGTCTGCGCTCCCTCGGCGTCACGCATACCCTGCCAGGTCGCGTTGACAACCGCTGCCGCTGCAGAGCTGATGTCGATTGTCTGGGTGCAGTTGATCGATTGGCCAACGAGCTTAAAGGGGTCGAAGCTGGCCAGACATTTGTCGACATCGCCAATGACGCCGTCAACCACGCCGTCCAGGGGATCACAAGCCGTAACTGCTGCGGCCGTGATGGCCTGTATCTCGCAAGGGCGCGGATATTCGCCCAACATGTTCATGAACTGCTGAGTCCAATGCAAGCTGGGAAAGATATCGGTCCAGTAGATGGCCGGGGCGCCAGCTGAGATGCCGTCGTAAGCCGTCGGGTAGCGCTGGGCGAGCATGATTCCTTGCCGGCCACCCTGTGAACAGCCATTCCAGTAAGAGTACTCTGGGCCTCGGCCATAGTAAGACTTGATGACCGATTTTCCAATGATGGCCTGTATCGTTCATTGAGCAATTTCATTCCCACTTCAGAGGGTTGTTCAAGCCTGGATGGTGTCATCACTTACCTCGTCTTCCAGTGACACCGATGCGAGGTTCTGTAGGTTGTACAGGTTCACGTTTCCAGGGCTGAGCAACGCCCACGGAGTTGCGTCCACAGCGCTCCCAAGGCCAGCATCGGTGGTGATCGTCGCGTAGCCGTCGCCTATCGCTCCAGCCATTCCGCTGTAGGCGTCCCCGAAGCGCCCGGCGACGAAACCGCCACCTCCCACGGCCTGAAGACGCTCGTTCCAATTGTCTGCCGGAAGCCAGGCTTCGACAAAAATGGTGTCGCCCTGACCCGGATGACCATAATTCACGGTGACGTTGCAGAAGCTGGCATTTTGCACTTCTATAGCCGGTTGCGAGAACCGGAGCATTGAAGGGACGGAGAGGCTGTAGTTGGTAACCAAGTTTGCCTCCACTGAATGAATCTCAGCCCCGAACAGGGAGATGTCGCCAAAGGTGGCTGGCACGCAAGATGTTGCCGACATTGTGACCGGGAAAGAAGAATTCTAGGGTTGCGATGAACTCAAAGAGCGAGAAGATGCAAAAAAGCTGCAGAGAATGGCATACTTGTAGCTTCGGACGTCTACTGCTTTCCTCTACGTCTTGGCGATGCCTCATTTCCTACCGTCGTCATAGAAGCTTGCCGTAAGACATAAAGACCTAGGGGAGCTTGAGTGATTTTGCGCATGTTCCTTGGCTTTACCAGGGCAAGTTGAGCGAGCATGTTGATTAATTACCCACCTTGTACTGACCGAGAGGCCTTGGTAGGGACAATTCTCGAGGATTGATTAATCAGGATCTTGATCCCGAGCCACGCATCATCGTGGTGTGGAGGCTACGAGCACAATAATCCTACACGTTTCTTCTGTTGACCATGAATCTAGCCTAAATTGTCCTCTACCGGCTGGTGTCTCGGGCGTTATGGGCACCCGCTAAATCCCACCTTCCAGTTCCATTTGGCACACCGTTAGCGAGAGGGGCGTTGTCGTGCGATTAGTTGTCTGCAAAAGGTCTGCTTCGGAGTCACCCCGAGCAAATGAATACGGCATTCGATTTTTCCAATTCAAAACTACCGGAAGGACATTTTTTTTGTTCATTATTTATTTCATTTTTTATTTTTCTTTCTTTCCACAAGTCTAGAAAGATTGATCTGTAATTGCTACAGTAGTATATGCAGCTACAGTACCCTTGGGTTCTAGCAGGCCGGGATAATCGGATGTATCAGGCTGCAAGTGAAGGGAAGTTGACGAGGTTCTATTCGTAAAGTCTTGTTTAAAATTGAACGCATGGCCTTATTCCCCCTTGCAACTTATGAATATCTGAAATCCCATCTAATTTCTGTGCATCGAGTAGTAACCAATGTGGCAATTCAAAGTCACTTTGGTAGGTAGCCTGGTTGCGCAAGAATGAGCAAGTTTCTAATCCTTCCTCACTTAGTCCCGATATGCATGTCAGAAAGGCGCACAATAAAGTAACACACCCAAGTCTAGTGACGGGAGAATCACACCTGGGCCTACCTCTAAAGAGATACATTTGAAATCCAATGGTCCTATGGTTGTTGATAGATTCACCATGATAGTAAGCCGTGCTGCGAGGATCACGGCTTCAAAGCTTGGCACTCGTGGAAGTGATTTTCTTGCCTGAGGGGTGGTTTTTGCACCATCACAAGTTCGCCAAGCATGCTTTGATGTTTAGCGAGCCTTCGCTTCAGCCATCCTGTCTTTGGAAGACTATAGAGTTGATAGATTAGCGACCATATGTAGAAGACTTATATAACATACCACGGCTATTTGCGCCAAATCGTATCGTGTGTCTACGGGGGTGGGTCCACTAGTATATAAATCCGGCCACGCGCCTTTGGCCTGCTGCGCGTAGGCCAACAGCCCACTGTACCTTGGGTAACGTTAAGTAGATCCAGTGTGGTGCAACATTTCAAGTGTAAATCCCCTATGCTGACTAAAAAAAGATTCGTCCAACCCAGAATGACCAGTAAAGCAAGTCGATTCGGTCTTTTTGCCCCTTTCTTTTCCTCTTTTATATTTCCTTTGGGCTCGTGACTTGGTTATAAAGGACGTAAATGTCAGAACACACACTTGAATACATGGTAGTGGCCTCCGAGATCCCATCATTTCCAATCTAATGCCCATCAAATCGTCAAATCGCTTCAGAACAGCCCCAGCTCGCATCTGCCCTTCCGTTGCACAATAAGCGCACCGTGTCAATAGGCATGGGCAGGAAGTCTCGATCTACGTAGGTCGTGAAATAAACTTACTAAAAAATTGAAATCGTGTGGGAGTACTCTCTAAACCCATATGATTATGGGCATCATGGTTTCACATTGAAGCTATTATCAGTTGACTACCAATTCCTCAACGGCCTCTTTCCAGGTGGAAAGGTGCTTGAGTAAGGATATCCACGAGGCATACATCTCATGCTTCGCATATGAAGATTCCGACGCGTGACACTCGACGGGTCATAACAAACAAGGAAACTTATCCCGCGGACCTGGGACGATGCCGTCTGGGTGGGCCACATGAACCTTGCGAGCAGCGACAAAACTGACATCTAATTGATGAAGTGATTGTCGTCTTTTGTGGCTGTCGCAAGAAGCCACCCGACCTTTTCAAGGTCTTGACCGCCACACATGCCGTATGCTAAGGGTATCCCTTCAAGCTACACCTGCCAGAGACTGTATTAACATCTCTCTACCGGAAGTTAAACAAGGAAATACGTAAAGTGGGTTAGAGTTCAATATAAACTGTGACATGGTGGAGCCAATTTTTGTCTTGGGACGATCTTGGGACGACAAGGAATAGACGACAAACCTAACACGGATGCCTACTGTGGCAGAAAACTGCAGATCATGGACCTTACACCGGGGCTGAGTTCGGGCGATGTTGAGACTGGATTTGTTCGTTCGGCCGATATGAGTCAAAAGCTTTAGCATACCCACAGACAGCAGGCTATACATAGCTCTACATACATGTCGATCCTACTTACCAAACTCGAAGCTACTTTTAGTACCTGGAACAGGTGATGCTGCTGGTTCGAATTGATGACCAACGCCGGCTCTAGACCAAATCGTAAAGTGCCCGTTGCCGTGTTGGTCAAGCGACCGACTACATAAATAATCTTTCCGTCGTTCCATTTGTCTTGTTCCAATCTTCAGAACTACCATATCAAGTGCAACGACAATCTTCTAAAATGCAATTCTTCCCCCTCTTCTACACCCTTCTCGGCGCTACTCTCGTCTCGGCCGGCTGCAAAAACTGCCTCGCGAGTGATAGCGGTCGCTATGCCTGCATGGACGACAACGGAGGATGTCTTGATGCACGAGTAAGCAGCAAGTTTCCTTTTGGAGCGAAGGTCTGCTGTGATGAAGCCTCCAACCCGCATGTTAGCTGCAATAGAGAGTGTGTCCATTAGGTAAGTGGTCAGGAAACGTTTGCGGATTTGGAGTACAATGGAAGGCTGATGTGCAAAACAGTAAAGGCGGTGATTAGAATACTGACGCATGCGGTGTCCATTTCGAATGCGGGACGTTCTCCCTTTACTTATTTGAACATATTGGTTGGCTTGGACTACATTTTATGGAAGGATCGGAGCAGTGGCAACAGTTTTGGTGGTTTCACCAACGCAATAACAACTAACGTTCCGCACCCACATTTGGGCACCCCAAAAATCATGATGCATTTCACTATACATCAACTTCAGCCATTGATTATATTTAATCTATTGCCACAACAATACTATTTCCCTCAAGAGTAGGTAAATCAGACTTGCTGGATTCATCTAAGCTATCCTCAATTTCGCCCGCTTCAATTTGAGCCTTCCGAATAGCTTCAATGTTGGCAAACTTCGAATTTAGGCTCGTTATGACCTTCTTCCGCTTCCTAGCCCTAGATGCCTCAACTTCTGCTTCCAGCGCCTCAATCTTTCGCTAAGCTACAGCCAGTTTATAGCTCTATTCATCAAATCCCTTTTGAACCTTGCGAAAGAGCAGTCGTTAAGTATTTCGATCATGCCTAACCTTGTTATATAAGTTGAATTGATCCTGTAGCTTAGACCGCTTCGTTAGCGTTGACTAGTATACTGCTAATGTCTCTGATGCCTATTTTTCGCCTGCTATAGCATTAGACAGTCCCTTATAAGGCTGATCGGTCTGTCTAGCTAGTATTGATAGGTTCCTAAGTAGAAGAAGGCTCATCAGCGGTTTGGCTATGCTTACAGGCCATAGACCTATATATTTCCAACCGCTAATGATGTTCTTGCTTGTAAATGCTATATGGCGTGCTTTTCCATAGCAGAGGAGAAAGTTTCTCTTGCCTATAACAGTGCTAGCGTCCCATTGATCCAGGTATAGAAGCTCTTTCTTATATATGGCTTTCAGCGGCCCAAATACTGACTGATCAAGCGGCTGAAGAACGTGGGATGTATGTAGCGGTAGGAAGAGTAAGAGTATCTTATTCTTAAAGCAGATATACATGAATTCTGTTGTTTCATGGCTACCATGCCCATCAAGAATGAGTAATCTAGACTCTTTAGGGTCTTGGGGTTGGGTCAATGGTATGAAGACCTTCTGTAGCCATTCAACAGCAGTAGAATCCGACGTCCAGCCATTTTCTGTTGCTGTAAACTTCCAGCCATCATATTCAGTTAAATCGAGAGGAAACCACTGCTATTAAACAGTCTTCCCCTTATATATCACAAGTAGAGGCAGTACCTTGCCAGTTGCAAAGATACACTCAATCAGAGATGTCTAAGCCCGAGACCCAGGCTATTTCTTTCGAATAAAGCAAGTTTCTAATGATCTAAGAACTAATCTATTTAATCCTCTGCCTTCTAGAATACCTGTTTCATCCATATTATATCGATTGCTTGCTTTGATTGCCTGTATCTCAGGTAGAGCGAGATGCTTAAACCATTCCCTGATTACATTAGTTGAGGCACCATTGACACGCTGGGAATCAATTGCTTTGCTTCTCTAAACCTTGATTGATAGATTTCTCTTAATAAATAATTAAACCCAGTTTCTTCCGAGAGGCTAGAAGTCTCTACGTGTCTATAGAATCCTCTCAGCAAAATCCTTAAGCTGTTAATAGGTTGGTAGAAGGCCTAAGGCAGCTTATATTCGAATCCATTCAGCCAAGTGACTTTCCTAGGTTGGTAATAGCCTCTATAACCCAGCGAAAGCAACACCTCTTGTTTAGTAACCTTTTATTCTGTTTTATAGTATAGTTCGTAGTATGCCCTTATCATAAGCTGCTTTTTTTATACTACAGCCGCTAGTAACAGCCTCAAGTGCCTTAAGCAAGTCATCTTCGGTATATTAGCGCATATAGGTATAAATAATAAGCATATAAAGTTAGATTGTAATTAGTGAAAAGTTGAAAAAGTAGTAAATAATTGAAGTTGAGGGGTAGTCATGGTGTTGAGCGATTTTTAGGGTGCCCAAATGTGGGGGGTGCCCAAATGTGGGTGCGGGACGTTATCCCTTTACAACGGGTGTCTTTTTTTCACGAGTAGCAAGCGACAGCACACACATATATATATCGATCGTCATACTACATGAGGCTGAGTTGTTAAAATCATCGATATCGTTCATTCATATGAAACAGATCCAATAGAAGAGACATTGTTATGGCACTTGTTTGCTCTAACGCAAAGTGAGACTGAACTCGACGTCAAACGCTCTGTTTCTTATGGCATTTCCCAAGCAATGTCTACCAGATAACCGGCTGAGTAATGCCATTTCAATTTATGCACAAAACCAAGTTACGTATACTTACCACCACGAGTGGTTTTAAGAAAGATTGAAATTTACCGCCCCAAGCGCAGTGTAGTCAAGACGTCTTGTCGACTAATGAATCAAATCCCACCACAGTTATATAGCCGGCAGACAAAATGGTGCTAGTTTGTCTCATGTCATCAACATTGGTAGCCATGGTCTTTAATAGTTGAGCCACGGTAATTCTATCTGAAACTTTAACAACATGTTATTGAGGGATGCATGGCTTGGATACGTTTATATTTGTAAAACTTGACTCAACCGGATGCCTATAGAACGGCGTCTATCCGACGTAAAGATCGAAAAAGAAACAACCTATGTTCTGGTGAAGATAAAGACTGAGAAGTAAAAGATATGTACAAAAAAGCGAAAGACCTGCACTGCCAATTTATCAAGTCTTGTCCACAAGGATTCTTGAAGCAGTCAAACCATTTAAACCAGTGCACAGATCCGAATCAGTCTAGACATTGTAGGTGCTTCCAATGGGACCGAACTTGACGTTCGACCAGATGACCTGCGAGTTTGGGAACTGGTTAATGACATCTGCAGGAACGCCGGAGGTGGTAGGGCAAGGACCACGGTCGACACCAGGCTCGCCGGCACGGTCGACGGGGTAGCTGGAGTCGAGCCAGAGCATGTTGGCGTAGTGCTACGGTAGAGTCAGTTTTTTGGTTCTTATGAATCTATACAATCTTGTGTGATATGTGACTTACGTCGCTCCAGATGGACATGACCAAAACCATGGGGATCTCGAGGGCGGCGTTGAGCTGGGGGTAGCCTCCAACCTCGTTGAAGCGGTCACGCTCACCAAAGACGGAGAACTGAGACCTGCAGAATTCGGGAGTGATGTCGGCACTCTCACCAGGAATACCGTCAAACTTGGCTCCGGGAACCTCGATGGTCTTGCCGTCCTGGATGAAGACCTGGTACATGCGGTCGGGCTCGAATCGGGTAATGACACTGTTGGATATTTGTTAGTTGGTCACGTTGCAACGATAGCCAGACTATTGTACGTACGTGAACTTCTTGGTGGTGTCGATGGTCTTGCCAGGTCCGTAGAAGTCCTTGTTGCCCATGCGGTACGGGTTGTAGTCACAGCCGTTGGCATCGCAGCCACCACCGTAGCGGTCGTCAGAGTAGGTGCCACCGCAAGTGTCTTTCTCGCAGACGTGGTAGTTGTTGTCAAGACAAGGGTGGGGAGTAAGGGCATAGGCCGCCTTGTTGGACTCCCAAACGTCAATCTCGGCACAGCAGGCACCAAGGTTTCCAACACCAGCGCTGGAGTCGGTCTTGGAGGGTTCCCAGCCCTCAATGTTACCCTGTCGCACCGTCTAGTTAGCACAGAGGCGTTGCCAGCAACTCTAAAGGTGGTAATATGCTCACCCTGCCGTTGATAAACTTCAAGTCGCGAGCGCACTGCGCATCGCAGTAACCAGTACCATACTTGGCACCGGCCTTGTTGTTGGTGTCGGTGGACAGGCCACCGTCCTCGTGCATGGCAACGAAGTAGAGAGCGCTGTTCATGCCGCACTCAACAGTGGACAGGTCCACGTCAAAGGCGAACTCGTTGTTCAAAAGCTTGAACATCTGATACTTGGACTCTCCGTTCATCAGGTACATGCGGGATCCGACGTTCTTGCCGTAGGCGTGCTGCTGGACAAACTTCAATGTCAAGGCATTGCCGCTGGTAGAGACACCGTAGGTGGCGCCGTAATCAGCTCCTTCGACGGCACACTTCTTCGCGCAGTCATCAGCGCCGGAGCACTTGTTCGTCCACTTGTTTCCCTCGTAGCAGTTCTCGTATCCACTAATGGTTGATGTTAGTCAAGGATTGATAGAGCTGACAGCAACGAACTAGGAGAGCTTACCCAACTTCGTGCACCCAGCGCCAGTTGGCGTCAATGACGACCTCACCGTTCTTGTTGGTGCAGGTTCCAGAGGAACAGTCGGACCAGTTCATCTTAGGGTGAACTTCAGGGTCCTCAGTGCCAACTTGCTGGGCCACGGCCATGGCCAGCATGGAAAGAGCGGGGACGATATACTTCATCTTGAATAAAACTGAAGAGAACTGGAAAGACAATTCAAGTCTGGCAACAACTGAGAAGGAGATTGCGTGATGAGGAGTGAGTTCAAATTCATCTTTGGCTGGAAACTCTTGCTCTACTTATGCTTTTGAACTTTGTCTATGCGTTCAGAATCGTCGTTGCATCGCGGAATGAAGCTCGCCGAACAGGTCATCTTAACAGTCCTGAGTTTCGGTAACTTCGCATAACGCTTCCGTGACCAAATCAACAAGCGTGTTGTTAGGGGTTGAGAGATAGGACTTACAGGCCGACGACAAGCAACCGCCAAAGGCCCCTCCTCGCGAAAGGGGCTCGCGTACCTTGGACATCAAGGCAGGCTATCCGAACCAAGAGACAATCAATTAACATACGGGACGAAGATTCCGTTTGCTGTCAAGGGGTTCACGTGAATCTCTCTTTCATGGAGAATATTACTCAAATCAGCGATGCTCACCAGGGAGCCATGGGGCTTGTGATCCCTCAAGCCGAGAATCTCCATATATCAAACAATCGCCAAGGTCTTGTCACTGGGTATGAGTTCACTCAATTGGCCCGTAGCATGCGAATGATGGCCGGAGTAGGATGAGCCAAGTCGAGCTGTCCAGGGCCAAGTTCTCGGCGTCGGCAGGAGTTGGCAAAGAGGTCCGGAATAGACGGGCAGCGGTTGTGCTAACCCTCAGGAACGGCCGCTGATCGCAGCCGTCTTCGGTACTCGCTAGCTCAGTCTCCGAACTGGCTCGGCAGGGCTCCCTGGTCCGCACCGGCGCTTCTGCTCAGGAACACACAGATGGGAACACGCGGGCACACAACGGGCTTCTGGAAGTGTTGTCTTCTGCATGGTCCCACGTGTCTTATTTAGTCCTTGGCAAGAGATTGTATAATTTTCCCGACCATACAGTGATACGCGAGGAAAAATTTAGATAGCAGGTAGTCACATCTTGTGTCGTCTCTTGAAAGGTTCCCGTTATGCTTTACCAACCCAGGCATGTGGCCATGTCTCTGAAAGCCTGGTCAGCACTGTTGCATCGGCAAACAGCATGAGCAAATAAATGAAGTTTGCGAAAGCGTTACATCTCGCCCTACGTCTCGTAAACTTGGTTCTGCGAACCAGAAAATGAGTTGCGGTAGCGTGGGTAATGAAAGCCGGACGGTCCGGCGCAAAACGACATGTAAAGTCGGTTCCGATGGCAGCGAGATGCGGCAGCCGGTAGTAGTCCAAGAAAGCAAGGGCTTTCAATCCTTCGATTCAGGGGTCAGAAGACAACGAGTGGCCTGGCGTTTCTTGGCTGTGGCTTTTTGCCGAAGAGGCGTCTGGGGGATCTGCGGGGAGAAGTCTCGGCGTGCAGAAGCCACAACGAATGGTGAGCGAGGCTGGGATAAATATACCGCCTTCATTGGTCATTTGGCGGGGAAGGTGACCATTCCACGGCACACGGAGGTAGAACCTCCGTTCGATTCATATATCCATATTGCAGTCATGCTGGCTTTCATTTATTGTTTCCCCTTGCTGACGTAGTCACTCATTTTCCGCCTTTGGAGTTTCGCAGCGTAGTATTTTGCATTGTAACATTTAGGCTCAGAGCGGTTTTGTAAGATGGAGAAATCGTGCTTAACAGCGCATTTGGATGGATATTTTGGAAAACACGGCAACAAGAACCGAATCCTACTGGCCAAGCTCACTCATTTTCATGAAATTATCATTGTTGTTGCGTGCGGATTGCGGCCCGAAGACTTACTATCCGTCTTGCATTATTAAACTTGAAACAGCTTTGGAAAGCATTTCTCGAATCGTTGGGCTCAGCTTGCCAATGCTTCATGTTTCCTTGGTTCGCACATGACTTTTTCCTTTTTAAAGGAAATTTGATGTTCTAAATTGCCGCATCCTACGTTGGTATTTGTCGATGCTATCACCATCACCAGCCTTTTGTACCTTTTCCTGTTGGGTGAGAATGCGATAGGGCTATTCGCAGCCCCGTCTAGGAGACTGACGCTCTAGGTGCCTCTCTCGCTTGCATCAGATAGCACAACCACAGGCGGCCATGTGCTACTTGTGAGGCTTTTACAGAAATACGAAAGACTGAGCCTCACATATCAAAGAGACACGGAAGAGCCAGCTGGCATGCGTTGCTCTTCAACTGACAATTTGTATTCGTATAAGTGTTGTCACCATTTCACGTCGCGCTTGACTGAGGGACTCCTTCAGAGCCCTGCTTCCAAAGTACTCTAAACTCCAAATACATGCCTGGAACATAGCAGACCAACTCTTTGGGGTGCGAAAACGATCCTAAAATAGTGACCTTGACATGGCCGGCAAAGCCACGGAAAGCCTAAATGCATTCAAAGCGATAAGAAGCCAAGCCGGAGTTTCAAAAGATGCCACGAGGAGTTGTGTTTAGGATGGAGTGCCAGTTCACTGGATTACAAGCCTCACAGGCTACGTCACGAAGTGGTTGTTAAAGCGACATGATACACGTTCACGAAAGAATACCCTGAAGTCCTGTGGTACATGCCTCATCGCGACGGAATCGAGCTTTAGAAGAAAGGCTCTTCTTCGTAGGTTACGCGGTTTAATCCTATCCACGACTATGCACAAATCTAGTAATAATACTGTTTACGATTCTCCGCCAATTCACGTGGACTATACTCCAATAAATGTACGAAAAAAGAGAACCAACTTCATGTATTGATGTAGGCAGGGCAGCCTTCGACCTGATTGACTGATGAACGATACTCAGGCCTCTCAGCACCGTGAGTGTGTCCAAAATTTCCAAGCTGATATTAGATATCTTCAACATGGCGTCATATTTAGGTTTGGGCAATTCTACAATTATGCGAAAAGTCAGCGCAAACCCCAATTATCGGTATGAGGAGCGACCAGGAACTGAGTTTAATGGGTTGGTGGAACAAGGCTGCTGCTGGTAACTTATTGCACCTATTGAAATCCGGCCATATGAGAACGTCAGGCTGGATACCCGGCCAGAGGTACATCACGTGTGGCAAGTAGTCCTCCCTTCCACACGTGATGGCCAGCCCGGGAGACCAGATCCCCCTCTTCACTTTAAACCCTTTTTTTTTCCTAAACTTTACAAGTAATCGATATCATCACCAGAAATCACCATTCAACTTCTTTTGTTTATCCGCTCAAGAATTTCCCGTGCTACCACTTATTCTAACGTTAAAGTAAAGCTCACCTCCGCTACAGGCTGAAATAACTGCGATACACTGCCGAGCCGCAACATGCAGGCTTACAAAATACAGCAGAAACAACTCTTCGGTAAGTTGTATGGTCCACACGAAGCAGGAGAAATAGGGTTACAGCGTGGGACAAGAAAATATTCTTTTCGTCTGTGCTCATAGTGTTACGTCTTCGATCTACTGATGACGTGAAAGCGACAAGTATGAGCAGGCTAGCGTCATGAAGTGTGGAAAGTCATTCTCACTAAGCACAAAAGTACCCAACATGGCTTTTGTCATTGTCATAGAGGATGTCTGTCTAAGCAAGATCAACCCAACTGGCTTTCAGATCTGCCCCTCCAGCACTATTCCTCACTACTCTACGAGAAGCTCAATCCATCCAGTCGTAACCAACCACAAGTCATATATGTTACCCTAATCCCTGTTTCGTGTTCATTCGGGCTTATCTATGCATACCCTAAGACGTACATGCGTGTTGGCTTACCTAAGTTTCCACGTCTTGCATGTACTGACCTGCAGTGAACTAGCTGCCTAGTGATCCTCTGCGGCTGTATATCCCATCGCTGACATATATTGCCATTTGAGACAAATGTCCAAAAGTTGAAATATTCTCCCTTCAATCTCTCTTACGCACCCCTAATTGATAAAGAGATTCTGTGACCCGGCATGGTGACTAACTGGAATGGGCTAAAACGAATCACCTTCACCCTCGCATGCTACCTTCAGTTGGGCAGCAAATTTTACAATGCTTGTAGCTTGTAGCACGTGGTCTAAACATAATCTCACAGTCATCTAATGAAACCCTTACCGCTTTTTTGCCACTCGTTTCTCTGTCTCGTATATCACAATGCTCTCTGCATGCAAGAAGCCGAAGCGGTTGCCTATTGCAGTCGCCTATCATACTAAGACGTTTCTTATTCATGACCATGCATCTCACCCTGTCTGCCCTAATCCTTGAATTGGTTGTAGATCCGAGAAGTAATCACGCCTTGCACATTCAGCGGTAAGAAGTGTTGAGGACGCGTTTTTGTGTACCAACTCACATGTTGCACCAACCATAACTAGCAGAAGCGAGCCTAGTCTCTCCACGATGTTACCCCAGTCTCATCGCCGCTTCGGGAAGGTTGCAACGATCTCCCCCAAATCTACTGGCATCCATACCTCGGCCCGCCGCGCTACAAGCCTCCCTTTAGTTGCCGCAATGTCCTTTGGAATGCATGCCGTGTTCTGGACCAATTGGCCTAGAACCAGCTCCTGCACAACCTCCTGTCTTACCCGCATATTCGATCATTGTCATTTCTGGCTAGGCATGTCAGATCTAACAGAGCGCATGGTGGCAACGGACTAGAATTTTGATAAGAGACTCGGTTTCTGATAGGTAGATGACCACGGGCACCGGAGTGGACATTGGGGTTAAAAGCTTGAGTTCGGTAGTCGTCTTCCTCCCAGAATTACTTGCTTCCGAAAAGCTTACTCTGTAACCGCCATTTTTTAGTTCTAGTGTGTGTACTGAGGTGCAGTCTCGGTTGCATGATGGAAGCCACCGACGTCGTGAAATCCGAAAAGTCGACTCCACGAGCGGAGTCGATCGAGGTCGCAGAATCGCAAGGATGGGATGAAAACTCAACGAAGAGGCTTTTGAAGAAGCTGGATTGGAATATTATCCCCTTCATGTCGCTGATCTACTTGTAAGCCTCAGCAGAACTCTACAGTCTCCGGTTGACAAAAAATCCAAAGTCAAATGCTAATCATGAAAAAGGTTGTGTTTCCTAGACCGGACAAACATTGGAAATGCTCGACTTGATCATTTGGAACAAGACCTCAAGTTAACCGGCATTCAATACAATGACTGTTTGGCAGTTCTTTTCCCTTTTTACATCGCTGCTGAAATCCCCAGCAATATGATGATGAAGCGACTTCGGCCTTCAATCTGGCTTACTTTCATCATGGTATGTTGGTCGGCAGCAATGATAGGACAAGGCTTCGTGAAGGACTACTCCGGTCTCATGGCTACCAGAGTCATTCTCGGCACCTTCGAAGGTGGTCTCTTCCCGGGTGTTAACTACTACATCACCCAATGGTATTGCCGACACGAGTGTGGCTTTAGAATGGCGCTGTTCTTCTCTGCTGCCACCCTCGCAGGTGCATTTGGCGGCATCCTTGCAAGAGGTATCGCGGAAATGCATGGTGTTGGAGGCCTTTCTGCATGGGCGTGGATCTTCATTCTCGAGGGTTTGCTGAGTATCTTGGTATCTTTTGCTGCCTACTGGGCAATCCACGATTATCCAGCCACGTAAGTCCGCTCATAGGCCCATTCTCGACGCAACCTAATTTTGAACTTTTAATAGGGCCCGGTTTCTCAGCGATAAAGAAAAGATGGAAGTCCAGCGAAGACTTCGGGAAGACTCTGGGCACTTATCCAATGAATTTAACATAAAATATGTGTGGCAGGCTATCAAGGACTGGAAGATCTACATCCACATGCTAATTTGCATGGCGGGTTTCTGCCCGATTTACTCCATCGCCCTGTTTTTGCCGACAATTATCAAGAATATGGGCTACACGTCAAACAACGCGCAATTAATGTCTGTACCGCCGTATGTTTTTGCTTGCTTTTTCACCATTATTGCAAGCTGGTATGCGGACAGAGTTCGGCAGCGTGGTATTTTCTTGATGGGATTTCAACTTGTTGGCATCTTGGGCTTCGGGCTTCTCGTTGGCACCAGCAAAGCGTCCGCACAGTATGCCGGAACCGTATTTGCTGCAGTTGGTAAGTTACTCTGATTTCTTGACTTGTCCCGACGAAGAAGCTCATCAATGTGATAGGAATCTACCCACAGATCCCCCTCGGAATGGCGTGGAACAGCAGCAACATTGGTGGCAGTCTCAAAAGAGGAACTGGCATTGCGATGCAAGTCATGGGTGGCAACTGCGGTGGCATCATTGCCTCTTACGTCTATCTTTCGCGTGACGGTCCGCGCTACACCACCGGACACAGCATTCTCATTGGTTTCGTGAGGTAAGATACACAATACATGTCCGAGTCGTAACTATTTCTAACATCTGTGTTAAAACAGCATGGCGTTTTTCTTGACTTTGTTCATGACAACTTGGTGCCGCAGGGAAAACGCCCGTCGCGATCTACTTGCCAGCGAGGCTGGGGTACAGGAATTGACTGAGGAGCAGAAGGCCATGGAAGCTGAGCTTGCCGATAATGTGCCTTGGTTTCGATACACCATTTGAAGCATTTTATTCATACCGATTTCTACATCATGGTCAATTTCTTAAGTAGAATTCAGACTTGAATATTTAGAGCACTCAGTGGGAAAGATATGTTTGGCTAAAAGAACTATTAAGAGCAATAGCCTCTGTGAAGAAAGAGAAAAGGAATGATCATACACTTTTGGCATACCGTAACCGGCAGGTATGAGGTCAGTAAAATACCCATACATACAAGGACAACACATTTTGTCTTAATCATCTTCAAATCAGGCTTGTTATTAATCTCTTGAATCGTGCATCAAGTATCATAGACATCATTGTAATAACCAAGCACGGGTGTCATGACTGATCGGATGTGGCTTTGAGGGAAGGGTGGAAGATACTAGTAGAGGGTTGTTCAATGAACATACCTTAAGGTATGCAGCAGCCTGAGGCGTCTCGACTACGTATATCAACGCTATGGACAAGGTAAGAAAGAAATCGTCGCCAGGCCCCTGTACCCGAAACCTAAAGATGTGGAATGGCGTGAGAAACTTGGTTCCCAGCACAGAGAGCGACTCATTACGTTTCTCAAGGATCTTGGGGGCGAAAGGAAAACATCTGGCAACATAGAGCCGGCAGAAGGTTGTGGCACAAGCAAGCAAGGAAGGAGGCTAAAATGATGGCCTTGAGCCATCACTATCTCGGTTAAATTATAGTTCAAAGTATAGATAGCTTCCCATTAACCAATAGCTTTCTCAAGTTGAGGTCGCAACTCTGCCATGTGAGCTTCGACATTTCCAGACTCTCTTCCAAATCAGTAGCCGAAGAGAGAATCGGCTCTCCGTTGCGAATGGCATTTAACATATCGAGCCACGCCAGAGGAAACATCAGCAGCTGTTAGCACTTCCAGTGAGAGATAGAAGCTGGCTAATGGAAAGGTTAAGGTGGGCTTGTGAATGGGCAAAAGTAGTGTTCAGATAAATGCAAAGATGACCGTCTTTTCTCCATGCCTTATGACTGGCATGATAGACCGTCATCACATTTGATAAAACGATGGTTGTATCCAGCTGCGATAGCGATGGCCATCAAATAGACGGACCAAAGAAATCACATATTCGCTGGCTCGATGTATCACGGCTGCAACGGCAGTGATGACTCGCATTGATTCGATCGCCCGGTCCGTACCGCCGGCATGAGCAGGCATGGGGCTGTCCACTGACTCCAGACTAGCTTGGAGGCTTAGGAAGTTGAAAGAGGCTCATAACGAGAAACACACTACTAGTTTTAACAAGACATGATGGCTAATCATGCTCATGCACAATATAGATATCTAATAAATCTCATACAGTTGATTCCGAACAGCGAGATTCCGTGCTGGGATCCCGAGACCGGTTGAGGCTGCTTGTCCTGAACGAGAAGGCGAGTCAACTAGTGCCCCGTCATTCAAGGATGGGGAGATCGGCCAGTGACAAAACGAACTTTATTGACACAGCCAACGAGGAGCTATCTAGTATTTGGCGATTTGTGTGACAATTTATGGGGGCGGTTGGACCCTTTTCTCGTACGATATCAGCCCCATAAACAATCCCTGCTGCTGGGCAAAACAGGCCACAAAGGATCCCTAATAGAGGACAAGCAGGTGTATTTACTGACCTGGATTCCTTGAGGAGACATGATGGGTTTTTAGATTCGATACAAGCTGAGTTGCTCCTAAACAAACCCTTTCAGTTGAGTTTGATCATGCGGTTTCTGTCAATTAGCTGGTTTCAGACAACGTCTAGCTCGCTATACAAATTTTGTCATGAAATTATTCTAGTGGGGGTTGATTTGAGAAGGCTGAGACTTAGTAGCGGAACACAAGTCCAAATACCTTGCCTTGATACTAACAAATTTTCTTATACGATTTATCTATCGCGTAGTTGCCATTGGTTTTGCTCATGATCATGAGCGTCCTGCAGATGGCAACTGGGACGATAGGCAGCTTGGTTAATGTGTCAATCGAGACAAACCTACTGGATGCTAGGTAAGAAATAACATAGCGAGCCTGAAATACAGTATCGAATGCCAGAGCTGAAGCCTGAGAGATGTTTTGGTCGTTATTTCGACCCGTTGAGGCTGTGAATGGTGGTTCGGCAGCAGACCATCTAGAACGACTTAGAATATATCTCGGTTTCGGGTTCTTCGCTAGGTCCCGGCAGAAGGGCAGTGAATTACCAAGTATGAGATTTTGGTATTACACAACCCTCTGGGGCATGTCTTCCTGGAGTATATGTAGGTTTCACAGGGGGTGAAACGGAATTCCGTTCGTCAATAACAAATAACAGTAAATTGGTTCTAATCGATGGTTCATCATAGTTGAAAGTGGTGTTGTTGACTAGAAGGTGGGGATATTCCCCCTTGGCCTGTCACGTGGGTCTGGGAGGCTTGGGCCTCTCAGCCTGGCGGGCGTGTGGCTGGAAGTGCCACACGACTCCGTATTCCAACTATCGCAACACTGGAAACTCTCTTTTTATAGTGTTGAAGCGGTTAGAATACGTTATCCCTATACAGTTCCGTCTCCTCGTTAATTCGGCCTCCTATCCTTACTTTCTCCCGTAGTTACGGTCTTGTTACTTATCCCTCTATACGTATCGTTATCGTATTGCTATTAACGAATCTCTCGAAGGCTTGATTTAGTTTGCTCTTCGTAAGGGTATTAGCAGGGTTGTCTTCGCCATTAATCTAACGAATTTCTTATAGTTCTCGTCTTTCGTACGATTGTCTTAACGCTATGATATCGATTATAAGTCGCTTTTCTTTAGTAGTACCTAGCTTTACGAGATACTCGTATAGCGAATAAGAATCGGTATAGACAACTATCTAAATCGTTAGTAGGTTAAGGTAGTTAGTAATTATCGCTAGGGTTATAGCGAAGGCGTAGGCTATATCGACGCTAGCGACTATCCCGTAGATCTCTAACGCTAATACGCTACGGGTAACTTATTTACTCTTCGTAAAGCTATAATAAACAAGGTTACCGTAAATCGTAAATTCTCTATTATTACTATTAGAAGAAGTATCGTTAGCTAAGATAATTAGAAACCCTAATTAAGAGGAAAGGTCGTAGTTATTAGCAAACGACTTATTAACGAAAATAAATAGCTTAGCTATTATAAGGTCGAGTAGGATAAACGTTATTCCTCGGTTAGGCGATTCTATTTACTATCGAATCTATTAATTTAGTACTTTTATTACTTCTAGCAAGGGGTCTTAGTATTAGGTAGTAGTAGATAAATCGAAACAAGCCTCGGGTTAGTAAATGTTAGAAGTATAAGTATATTATACTTCTATTTTACTTATTTATCCTATTTAGTCTTATCTAAGACTTAGTAGGACTTACAAAAGTAACTAGCTAAGAATGGCTGCTTGCTAGTTTAAACATATGATATTCAGATCCCTATGGAATACTCTCTTTAACCTTATCTAAAAGTCTATTTAGTTAAAGAAGATTCTAGTCTGATTTATAAGCTGCTTTATAAGCTAGCTGACGTATATACTTACGTATACTAAACCTAGCTTATAGCTTCCTATATTAGCTATTATAGGCGACGTTATACTACTATATAACTAGCCTAATTCTCTCCCTTAGCTAGCTATTAGTTCCTCAACCAACTCAGCTTCAATATAAGCCTATACATTCTTTACTATTAAAGCCCTACTTCATAAGTACAAGTTCCCTTACTCTAATACCCTGTTATAAGGATATCGTACTATCTACGAGATTCCTACCTACCGTTCCAACAATATATCAGGGACCCCTAGACTAGCTAGTTACCGACGCTAGAATAAACTTCTACTTAATAGAATTCCGAAACGCGGCGAGAAGAATAGTAATTAAAATCAAGGAAATTCTTATAAAAGCCTATAATAGTATTAAGAAAGTTAAACGATACTATATACCTCTAAGGAAGGCGTACGAAATTATTAAAGTAGAAGACTTAATAATTACGCTAGAATTAGCATTTTAAATAATAGTTAAAGTAGTTAACGATACTACTAGCCTAAACGGAATAGTATTAATACTCTTAGTATTCGGCTTATACTTACGAATTACTAACGATTTACTACTATCTCCCGAAGTTATAAGGTAGGCGAAAGCGATTAAGAAGGCGATAAGCGAAGTATATAAACTTTACGCAAGGCGACAGGTAGTAGAAGCTATCGCTACTTATAATAGCCTTGATATAAGGCTAATTATTAATTTACTACTATAGTTATAAGTATAAGTATAGCGCGAAAAGAAGGGCTAGACTAGACTGTTTACTTTAGTAGCTATAAACGGCGAAACCTATATTATCGATATGCTATATAGTCTAAAGACCTTCCGGTCTACCGTAGTTAAACTATACTACGAAGATCCCGATCAACTACCTAATTCTATCGCCGCGCTAGAAGAAGAAGAACCCGAAGCTAAGATACCGTAGTAGGAAGTAGTATGCGACGAAATTATCGTCGCTAGCAGAGGTAGTAAACCGGACGAACTGCAAGAGGTACCGGAGCTACCGAGAAGACGCCTAGGCAGACCCTAGAAGAGACTACTACTAATCGCCTACTTTATAAAGGAATTTAATAATAACCCGGATTATTAATAAATATTCTTATCGATTAAGGAGTAAGTAGACGAAGAATTAGTAATTAAACTACGACGAGAAGGTGTTATTACTATACTAAGCAAACCGTTTAAATAGTTAACTAAATAAGAGATTAATAGCCTTATCGCTAGAAGAGTATTTAAATTTACTTAGTTTAATAAGAGAAGGTATTAGAACGTACGAATCTTCCGATCTCGTATCGTTAACAAAGTCAAGGGTAAAATAACTAAACCTTATAAGAAATCGAGACTTATAATATAAGGTTATGCCGACGATAGTAAGAAGGCTATATTAACCTAATCGCTAACGATTTAGCAGGCAAGTTAATAGCTAATTCTATTAATTACCTTGTTACTCCTACGAGAAGGGAAATAACTATAGCTTCGAGATATTATATAAGCCTACGTT